GGGGGCCATGGCGAAAGCATGAACTGATGAGTTGCACAGGCCAAGTGAGATAAAATGCGCACAAAACACACACAGGCAGCGTGCCTGCCTGCAGTGGAGGAAGTACCGCAGGACATCAACATGGCATGATCCAAAGGGCACAAAAAGGCGGAGGGGGGACATGGAAAAACGGCAAGCAGGCAAGCGCCGTCCGAGATGAGGCAGGGGTCCAGGCCGATTACTTGGCCCCTCCTTTTCTCGCGTTTCCTCTGCTTCCACTCTAGAGCTTCTCGAAGCAACAGAAAAAAGGGAACTAGGGCAGACCCGTCCGGAGTGGACTCCGTTGCGGTGACAGGAAAGGGAAAAAAGAGTGGGGAGCGCAGCTAGGCAGCTTGAAAGGCCCCTCCTTTTTTTTTCTTTCACTTTCTCTAGTTCCGGCCCAGTCATTCTGCCCTTGACATGTTCGTTTCCCGTCACCGAGGAAGCATGCCGGTTGCCGTTTAGCCGCATGCACTCGTCGGCCCTGCCGCTTGGCTGTTGTGTTGCCCCGGGCATGACCGTCGGGGGCACAGGAGAGAAAAAGGAAAGGAGAGACATTTTTCCATTGTGGAGGGTGCATATGTGCCGAACGTATAAAAACAAAAGGAAGAAGAAAAAAGGGAATGCCCCAGGGCGTTACCCCGTTCTAGCCAACGGGAGAGCGAGAGCGAGAAAACGAGAGTCATGGTTGAGGCGGACAAGAGAAAAAAAAGGCGACAAACGAGACATGGAATGGGTTCCCGTTCCACGTTATGCAACAGAAAGCCCGCATAAGAATTCTGGAACGCCGCGCCCAGAAAAAACAAAACCTGCCCGACTACCCGCTCCCCTTCCCCGCGCCGTGCATAGAGCTGTATAGGGTTTTGCTCCATGATCTTCGTCCGCCGGGAGGAGGATCACGGAAGATAAGTGCGTTGTTTGTTATTGTGGCGACAGGGCAAGGCCGAACAGTCCAGTCCGGCAGTTGAAAGGGGGCTGATGTCAATCCTCCCCTTTCCCGAGGGGTATAAAAGGAATAATAGTGCAACGGCCACACGGGCTCTTCCAGCGAATCACGGGCGGAGGAGCTCGGCGCCGCGGCGGTATCGGAAACACTGGTGTTTTTTCTTCTTGTTTGCATTTCTGACTATTTTTCTTCCGTCATTGTGCAACCCTCCGAGAGCGAGAGAGAGGGAGCCTGTAGTTGGAAACATGATACTGTGTAGCAAGCATGACCGATGGGGGTCTCGTTCAGGGGCAGCATTTAGGATGTCGCTGGCGGCCGTCACAATCACCTTCGGCCGCGCGCGCCCACACGACTTGCGACGACGGGATGAAGGTGAATTAGTTGTCCGTCTCTCTTTCGGAACATGCATCACTACCTCAAGAAGCCGCCCCTGCTGGCTTGCCGCAATGCCCCGTCATGAGTCATCCCAACTGGGCCATTTCCAATCCGGTCGAGGGGCGGGGAGGAGGGATGAGACGCGACGGCAGGACGGGTGAGGAGAGGGAGGGGGGCCAATCCAGAAATCCAATCACCGACGCGTCAGATCTCGAGCGGGTTTTGATTGATGGACTTTGCCGCTCGAAGAACTGGACGGGGACAGTGAGCGGGCGTGAAGGGTGTGGGATGTGATGACGACGGGGTGGGCTGGTGACTGGTGGTGACTGCCGTTGCCGACCTTTCTCGGACAATATTCCCATCTGGACCAAAACCTCCAGGCACGCTCGCCGTGTCACGTCGTGGGGCGGGTCACGGTAGCGTGCCCAGGCGCGGTCGAGTGGTTGCATCGCGTGGCGTTCAATAGGGGTGAGGGTGTCGGGCATGGCCGTCGCGGGGGCCTTGTCCCCCCTCCCCACCCACCCCTGCCCTGGTCCTCTCCTGCGAGCACTTTCTTTTTCATCTCATGGGATTGCATTCGCATCGGGCTGTTGGGGGAAAAGAGGTCGAAAAAGGCACTCTGCAGTCTGCGCCTCTGATGGCCAAGGGTATGTACTGCACTAACAGGGTCCCGCAAGCCCAAAAGCGCAGGGCGGGCATCATCCGGTATTAGTGTGGTTCCCGTCACCCTTGTCTCGGCAACATTATTGGCACATATCGCTTCGCGACCATCACGGAGGGATGGAAGAGGAAAAAGCAACAATAAAGAATCGAAATCGCGCCCTTGCGAATCAGGTGCCGCCGCCAGGATCACCATCGATCAACCCAAGGGGTCATGCCAGTCAGTGGCCCGAGCGTAGCGTAAAACAATCATCCGTTTCTTTTTTTTTTCCTCTCCTCTTTGTGTTGCGTTCGGTTCGTTTGGGTTTGGTACCTTGCGCATGCCAAAAGTTGGCGGCTGGCTGGGGCTGCCGCCGCCGCTGTGCCTTGTCGACGACTGGATGGGTGGTGGGTGGTGGGTGTGCTACTCTGTGCACATTGGCTTATCCGTTTGCAGCAACGAGGCGTGTCGATCGGCCTCTGTTAACGCAGGGGGCGGCGCGCGCCGTTCGGGGTCAAAGTTGGACTGCACAGCCGCGAAGCAAGTCGAACGAACTGTCCCGTTTTTCTCGACTGTTGTTTCTTTGTTCTCCTTCTCCAGCCTGTCTGCAGAGCAGTGGGCCGTGGCGGCGTGCACAACGAACCATCGATATCAACGAGATGTGGGCTGAGCCACGGGCCGCACATCACAGAAGCGGCTGGGAGGGCACACAAAAGGAACAAGAAGTCCGAACCTGCACGCAATCCTGCGGGATGCCAGCTAGACGTATCCTAGACGTATCCGACCCAACTATCGGAGCACGGGCAGCTCACGGTGCACAACCGCGAAGTCTCCGCCGCGGCGGGTTGTGGGTGTAGTCTTCGCCTTTTTGGAAATTTGGAACGGCCACTAACCCATCGAGATGGCCTAGCCGACCCAAAAGCACAGGCCGCCCCGGGAAAGCTGTGGCCTTTGCCTGGTTGCTGCCCAGGGTCCCTGCTTAATTCCGCTTTTGGGAACACACCATGATGCCATGGATTCCCCTGCATGTCTCTCTGTCCCTCCTTCCCCCTTTTTTCAACCAAAACAAGAGACGCGAAGAGCGAAAAGGGCATGTCCTCCACACAGGCCACCATCGACTTTGAGCTTCAATGTTGCATTCGCAGTTGTGACCAGCCGGCATTTCCTCACTTTTCGCCCGTTCGTCACATGGGAGGGGGGTGAAGAGGCGGGCGAGCGAGCAGATGGCAAGACGGTTGAAATTAACCATTGCCCTCTGCCGCGCCGTCAAACAGGACTGGGGAAGAAGGGAGCCAGGGGACGGAATCTGCCCACGGCCTGCATGGCGAACGGAGCATGTTCATGCGCTGGTCGTCCGGAGGCAGATCCTCCCCCCAATCTTTTGCCTGCTCGCCGGGCCGTTCGGCAAAGCACGAGGGCACGAGGCGACATTTAAACAAGAGACAAGCGGAATTGCCCATGTGCACAGTACGATCAGGCTGGCCGCCCCGTCCGACGCTGGGGAGGCTGGGCTGTCGAGGCCAAGAGACAGGAAAAGACACAAGAAATTGGACGACAAGGAGTTACGCGTTGGGAACGACAGGAACAAGTCTATCCGGTTCCACAGCCCGCGCCCTTTGTGCTCACAACCTCGCAACCAAATCCAAATCGAGCTCCCCACTTCTTCGGACGGGGAAGGAGCCACAGAGCCCTGGTACCCCAGTTTTCTGCTCGTCGTCCATCTCGCTCTGCTGCGTCTGCTGCGTCGACACTGGGGTCCCTGCAAATCAACGTGATCGGGCGCTGGCCCCGTTCTGCTGCGTTGGCAACACAACGCTCCTCACAAAAAAAAGTCTTTTGCCCGTCGGCTCAGGTTGCCCGTCGTCGAGCCATCGTCGCTCGATAACACGCGCACGTGGCCAACCAGCGGGCGGAAAGCCCGACCCCATCTCTGATCAACCTCTGGTTCGGATGGGGTGTTTACTTTTGTCAATCGCCTGTCGATTGCTGTTGGCATTGTTTCCGCACCAGCCAGCCCGTTCCAGGGCCGCCGGCCTGGGCCCAATGGTGGGTTCCATTGACGGGCGGCAACAGACAAAGCCCGTAAACCACAAGATGTGCGCCTGCCGATCGGTTGGCATCGTCAACGACTCGGGCGGCGTGGTCTGGACAGGGCCCGTGTCGGCCGTGGCGTCTTGTAAATGTGTGGCCGTCAAGTCTGGCTGACGGCCATCACATCACCACCACCAGCTCCCCAATAGTGATTTGTGCAGACTGGTGCAGGCCCCGGTTGGGACACCCCAAGACACCAACAGCCTGCATCCCTCCCCTCTCTGCCAATTCGTACTTTAGTTGTCTTTGTTCCCCTGCCGGCGTGTTTGACGATTGGGGCCTTCTTTATTTCCCATGGACCCGAAACGGTGTGCAATCTTGTTTTTGTCGCCCTCCACGACTCGCCCCCGGTCGGCTGGCGCAGAAACTGACACCCCCGGCAGCCCTCTTAGCGAGATTGGGGGGCACCTCCCTCTCTCAGCCCACACCCCAGTCGAGCAGCTTCATGCCGCCGCACAGCGACTCCCGGTGGATTCGCCCACTCTGCCACTCTGCGGTCCCAAGCCCGTCAAGGCCAGCCCAACCAAAGCCTAGCACTCACCTCTGACGATCCGCAAGCAATTGGACGGGAGCCTGTTCCAATCTGTTCCAGTTTCGGCCCTCCGACCCTCTCCCTGCGAGCGTCGTCTCCTCTCCTGCCCCGACTCCATGCTGCATTGTTTTGCACAGCATCCGTATTTCATCTTCAACAGCCATTGCCAGCCAGCCAGCCATCCAGACGGACCAACCTGGGACACGCCCGCTGAAAGGCCCCTGGACCCGGCGACCCGCTTGATGCATTAGCACATCGGTCTGTGCTGCGCACTGCCTGTCGAATGCTGCATCTTTGCGAGGTGTATGTGGTGCAGGTTCGACCAGAGAGACACTGGCACAGACACAGACAGCCGTGCGCCCACCCGAGCCAGGCACACGCCCCCCCAGAAGGAGCACTCCGGACAGCACACCTCACAGCAAGCACCGCGCATACTCATACTAGTCGCAGCGCAGCCGGCCCACTGCTGCGAGCACAACTGTGCTAGCACAGGCGGAGAAAGCACTCGCTTTAAACGTGAACTTCGCGATCCCTTGTCTCTCCCCCGTCTTTCTTGGAGCCCGCTACAGCACAGCCAACAGCGGGCCAGACTGCCAGCCAGCCCAGGTCTAGGCACGCACTTTCTTTGTCCGCCCGCACGGCATTCAAACACGTCGCACCGCACCGTTTTGATTCCCCAGGTCCCATCGCGTGAGGCCCGTTGGAGAGTGCAGAGTGCCTAGTGAATACAGGTACCCATCGCGGCTCGACGACAACCCTCGCCCTCACTGTCTTTTTTGTTCGCCACCGTCTGCCCTCGTTTGCGCGCAGCGAAGCACTACGGCGACAAAAAAAAAAAAAACACTCGCCCGCCCAGCGTTGGAATCGGCTGGGCCCAAGCTCGACTCCTCCGCCTGTGTCAATTCCCGAACGAAGCAGAAGTAATTGAGGACCCGCCGCCCGGCTCCCTGGACCTGCACCCCTGGTCCCCTGGTCCCCTGGCCCTGCACCCTTTTTCTAATCATCCCAAAAAATCGTCAGGAGCTTTCCTGGGGTGCTCTGGTCCATCTCCCTCGCTCTTTTGATCGGCCCCATCTCCAGTCGTTCTTTTCGTCCCCCTTTTCGGGAAATCCAAGCCACATACGCACGCCGCTGGATCCCTGACCTGAAGCCATTCTTTTCCCTCGTCCTCCCTCTTCAACGGGAGACGGCCCTCCTGCAGCCTGTTTGGAACCTCTCCCTTCTCACCGCGTTTTTGCCCCTAATCCCGCCGCGGCCCTGCAACCAGCCAGTCCACCTGAATGCCCCCGTAACCGCTGCAAGCTCTTTCGACAAGAGCTTCTTCACACCAGACGGCTCAGGTCAGTTTGTGTTGGCGCGGCTCCTGACCAGGACTGCCCACGCTGACCAGCTGCCGCAGGACGGAGGCTCTGTTTGTTGCAGAGCGAGAAAGGGAGCGTCGACCACCCGCGGCAGTCCCGTCACCCACACCACAGACATGACGGTCGCACACGATCTCGGCCACCGGTCGTCCTCGACCCATCCCCCAGCAAACATGTTGGCCCTCGAGGACAGGTTCGAGGTGCTCAAGGAGATTGGAGATGGAAGCTTCGGAAGCGTGGCTCTGGCTCGCGTCCGCACAGCAGGATCCAGCGTTGCTAAAAGGGGCACTGTGGTAAGTTTCGCACTCTGAATGGAAGCAGCTGTTGTGCCAAGCCCAGAGGCACAAAGGCGGTGACTAACCAGCACCCCGTTTACGCTCTCAGGTTGCCATCAAGACGATGAAGAAGACTTTCGAGTCTTTTACACCCTGCCTGGAGCTCCGCGAAGTCGTGTTCCTGAGGACCCTGCCCGCTCACGCCCATCTCGTGCCGGCCCTCGACATCTTCCTGGACCCCTTCAGCAAGAAGCTGCACATCGCCATGGAATACATGGAGGGAAACCTCTACCAACTGATGAAGGCTAGGGAACACAAGTGCCTGGATAACTCTAGCGTCAAAAGCATTCTATTTCAGATTATGCAGGGTCTGGAGCACATCCACGCCCACAGCTTTTTCCACCGCGACATCAAGCCCGAAAACATCCTGGTCTCGACAAACGGCCACCAGGAATCCAACAACTCATTCAGGCGATACTCCTCCCTGGTCAACGGCGCCTCGTCTCAGGCATACACCGTCAAGATTGCCGATTTTGGCCTGGCCAGGGAAACCCACTCGAAGCTTCCGTACACGACCTACGTTTCGACAAGATGGTACAGGGCACCCGAGGTGCTCCTGAGGGCCGGCGAATACTCGGCCCCGGTCGACATTTGGGCCGTCGGCGCCATGGCCGTCGAGGTGGCCACGCTCAAGCCGCTGTTTCCCGGCGGTAACGAGGTCGATCAGGTGTGGAGGGTGTGCGAGATCATGGGCAGCCCAGGAAACTGGTACAACAAGTCTGGTGCGAGGGTAGGTGGTGGTGACTGGAGGGAGGGAACACGGTTGGCTGGAAAGCTCGGTTTCTCGTTCCCCAAGATGGCACCCCACGCCATGGACACAATCCTGCAGTCGCCCCAATGGCCTGCCTCGCTGAGCCACTTTGTGACTTGGTGTCTCATGTGGGATCCCAAGGCCAGGCCGACCTCGACCCAGGCCATTGCCCACGAGTACTTCAACGACGCTGTCGATCCCCTCAGGCCCAAGTCGTCGGCATCCAGGATACTGGGCCGCAAGCACTCGGACCTTCGCTCAGGGTCCAAGGACTCTGCCTCATCCACCCCCACATCTTCGAAGCCATCGTGGTTTAGGAAATCCCTCATCGGCCGCAGCGAGAACAACGACAGCACTCCTCCACCGCCCGTTGCAAAGGACGTCTCGCCAAGACCGTCCCCGCCCGTCCCCGCCACGTCCGAGATCTCGAACCCGAAGTCGAAGCCCGCCCAGTCCAAGCGGACCACATGGACCAACGGGCCCTCCAACGTCGCGCCGATGCCTATCCTCCCGTCCATCAAGCCGATATCGCCTGTTTCTGACCAGGCCACGGCTCAGGCCAAAACCCCCTCGTACAACGATTCATACGCCAATGGAGCCACTCAGCGTGGTAGCGAGAAGGCTTCCAAGAAGATCGGCCGTCAGCTTTCGGTCGCGTCGAGCACCAACAACTACGCCGAGATTCACAGGCAACAGGCCGAAAGGGCTCTCAACGGGAACGGTGGTCTTTCGTCACCCCCGAGTGCCCACAAGGAGAGCTTTTTCTCGCACCTGCGGAAGAGGGCTCGCCGCTTCTCGGGAAGGCACCAGACCCCAATGTCGCCCAGCTCCGACGACGTCGAGGCCCAGGCCGGATGCGGACCTTGGAGCAGCAACCGCTCCTCCATGGTCATCGATCAGCCGACACCCGTCGGGAAGGATGGCGTGTACGAGGCCCACCACGCTTCAGAGGCCCTTCTCCCGCCCGCAGTACCTGTTCACAACCTAAATGCGAGTACCAGCACTCTCAAGAGGCACCATTCCCTCCCCCACCACCAGCCGAGGTCTGTCGACAATTTGATGGCGACCAACCGCAGCGGTCCTGGTGGGCCCGTCTCGAGCCGGACAAGGAGGGCGCAGGCTGTCCAAGGCGTTCATCAGTACGACGCACCCGACGAGGAAGACGAGCTTCTGGACGAGGTGCTGAACTCGACCCACAAGGCTATGAACCGCCTCGACAAGGACCCCAAACCTCTGGGCCGGTCGACCAGCACAGTGGCCGTTTCAATAACTAACCCTTACCCGACCCCATCGCCCTCGGCGAACGGTAACTCGGTCCTGTTCGGCGACGGACAGGAGGCCGTAACTCCCAAGCCGCTGAATCTGAGCAAGAAGCCGGCGGCCGAGCACAAGTGGCCCACGCCGCCATACGAGGAGAGCGAGTGGGCTGCATCAGCGTCGGCCAGCATATGGGCTGCCAGCAATCGGTTCTAGAAGAACAAACACAATTGCTCGTGGCTGGACTGTTCTCACCCGAATCAGTATCATTCGTTATATCTCATCAGCAACATTTCATTCCATCACACTGGCGCGACATCAGCTTTCTCGTTCGACCACAGGTTTTTATCTTTACAACATGGGACGGTGTTTCGGCGTTGAAGCACGCTTGTTTCTTTGCGTCTCTATGGGTGGGCTGGACAATTGCATTCATTCATCGCTTTTTTTTCTCAGCCGTTGTCGTGGAATCTTTTTCTATTCACCCTTCCCGATAACTGTGTCTTCTTCCACCCTTTGGCACTTGCCACTTTCTCTCTTCTTCATGACAGGACCGGTGTCCCACTGCTGACCCGTCATCACATGCATGGTGACTTGTCTTGGTTTGATTCTCAGCGCATCTTTCACCAAGGGAACGACAGAAAAATGCCGCGTCATTGTAATGCGCTGACGAGAGGGGTTTTTTTTTCTTCGAGGGGGCATTTGCTTTTTGACAGGCCCTGCGACGTCCCAAGCGTCTTGTTTCATTTCCGTCCCGTTCTCTATCTACATCCAATGTCTACTCAATCGCCTGGACTCGTTACTGTCTGCTAGCTTTGTCTTTTTCCGTTTGTCCGATTTTGCTTCGAAAAAAAAAATACCCATATAGATTGTACGGCTGGCCACACCCCCCTTTTTTGAAATAAAGAAGCGGAGGCCAGATTACCGGGGCATTCATATCCCCCAGATATATGCACTGTTCTTTTTCTATCTTGAGCTTTCTTTTCTCATTTGTCACATCTCTTCGCCTCCTTTTCACCATTTCCCTCATGTCAAGACCTATAGCAGGCAAACCTGGTGATAGAAGGGGGTCGTATTGGGAACAAGGGATAGGGGGTCTTGCCGGTCACCTCGATCCTCTTCTCTGGCCCAATCACGCCTTTGGTTGATCTCAACTCGGACAGACTCTCTCCACATCCTTCCTCCCCCTCTCCCATCCCCTCACTTGTCCCAGGGTATGGCCTGTTATCCCTGAGTTCCCAACCGTCCCCCCCCCTCGCCATCCCGGGTTGTCCGTTGGTAGGGTCGTCATGACTTTCGGGTGGTTGGTGTCCCCTTGCTTCTGCTCCCGGCCTCTTCCTTACGCCTATCTCCTATATCTCGCCTGCTATATAGACAGTCTCTGTTTGGTCGCTCGGCAGCCGTTTTGTTATTATTCTCCTCTGTCATTCCACTATTGCTAGCATCAGAAAGGGCGGTTCGGGAAAAGCTATCTCATCAAGGGAAGGTTGTGTCCCTCTCCCCGCATCTTTTCTTTCTCTCTTCTTTTTTTTGTCTCCTTTTCTCTGCTCTAGCTCCTTTCTTCCCTTTGTCCATCATCCATGTTCCGTATTCTTTTTTCATATTTGCTGTATATGATGGTTTTGAATCTAGCACCGACAGACACCCCAGTGAACGGCTGGTTTCTTGGGGGTGGAGGGTGAGGGGATGATAATTGGAAGTACAATGCGAGACTATGCGAGAATATTGCGATGCCTGCTGTGTGCCATGGGGCTGCTGATGTGATAATGAATGTTTTGCTTCGCTGTGTCTGAGCCGTTTCTTAGTAAGGCCATTCGCACCTCTGTGATGCTCACATTCCTTCTAGTCCCAATCGTCGTTTTCTCTTTGCGGCGCATGTATCCTCTGGCCATTTGCGTGAAAGGCCGTCTTTCCCCCTGGACGTGTAGCTTCTTATGAGCGCTCCCCGAGAGGCTGTAGGTCATGACCGCTCTTCTGAGCAGCACGTGTTTTGGTGGTGATCTCCCGCCGACTACCCGTTCAGCCTAATTTCTTCACACGCGTGTTTCTGAGACATAAACAAGCCGTGAACGAACGGCTTGGCCTCTGCCCCCATTTTCTGCAATGCAAATCTGACAAGAGGTTGTGACGTCGCCAAGGCAGGGGGGCAAGGGCAATTATTGGATGAGCAAGCGATTGGATCAAGAGCGGGCTTTCCTGCTAAAGGGGTTGCAAAAAAATGGCAAGAGGCGGTGCAGATTGTAGTAGCGGCAAGGCGGGCGACGCAGCGACGCCGTGGCTTTGGGAATACTGCTGCCTGGTGGCGCCAACACCCCTCTCCTACCGCTTTAGGTCAGTTTCTTGGGGACCACAAGGATGTGCGAGCGAACTCCCGAGCATGATGCGACAATCAGCCCTCTGAGGCGTCGTCATCCAGGTTACGAGGACATCTTGTTTTTGTTGTTTATTTCTTTTTTCCCTTCCACCCTTCCTGATTGTCGTTTTGATTCCAGAAGCATCGTCTCGTCTCGTCGAATTAGGAGGCGTTCTGCTCACATTCCTGCGGGCTGCCGAGGAGAAATTGGCCTGGCGCGGGCGGGGGATTCCACAGCGCATGCGTAGGCTGGAAAGGGGAAGCCAAGCAGCTGCAAAGGGGAGGGAAAAAATACGCGGCTGCAGAACATCAGAGAAAAAAAAAAAACAGAAAACAGCAGACGCACAAGAACCGGAGCTCAGCTCGGGTTTCCTCACGCTCACCTTGTCAGCCTCCTTCCAGGGGCTGTGCCGACCAAAAGCTGATCTTTTTATCGAGAACGACCGGCTTGCAGAGTTGGACGGATCTTGAACCGCCGCGGCTGCGCCAACAAGCTACATTTTCTTTTCCCCCTGGTCTCACAACCCCCCGCGCGCGCGCGCAGACGATCGCACGGCTGGCGGCTTGCACGCACACAACAAGGCAGACACGCACGCACGCGAGAGCCCCTGTTTGCCCCTCTCAACCCGAGGTTCTGGTCTGGCGAGCCATCGACAAGGCCAGCGACAAGGCCCACCCATCAGTCGCGTCTCCCCGGCCGTCTTTCCGCCACCAGCCCCTCTCCCGGACCGACTCCTTATTTGCGTTATTCGCCACCCGGCTGGCTGTGTCCTGGCCTGGCGGTCCCCCCCCTCGCGCCCGGGGCTCTCACGGAGAAGGGCGCCGAACTCAATCGGGCGTGTTTTACGCTTGAGCTGCCGTTTGGCGCATGCCGAGCACGGCAACCGGGACGGCCTTTGTGCGGTTGTCTTTTATTTGTTCCTTTTCTGAGCCGGGATTTCCCCTACTTCTGCCCCTCGCCCGGGCCAGCTGCGTAGAGCCGGACCAAGGGCCCACTGCCCGTCCGTATTCCGGCCTCGTCGTCGCCGGACCGCCGCCGGGGATATCACGAGCAAATCACACCACCCACCAGGAGCTGACCGCCGGCCAGAAGCCATGGCTAGCTTCAACCTGCCCATCCGGTCCGTCTCGACGACCTCGACGACGAGCTCGATAAGAAACCGGGAATCCATATCGGGCCTGAGCACGCCGCCTTCGTCGACGGGCACCGCCGGGCCCGCACGGGACTTTGCGCCCATCGCCGACCGCCTGATTGTCGGGGTCGACTTTGGAACCACATTCTCTGGGTGAGCGAGCATCCCTGATCCTGACGACCTGCTTTGCAGAGAAGCACCCAGGTCCCCGCTAACCGCCCAAACCACAGCGTCGCCGCCGTCTACACGTCGACGCCAGACGACATCGAGATCATAAAGACATGGCCAGGCGGCAATGGCATCACGTCGGACAAGGTACCGACCGAGATCTCGTACGACGTGCCGCCCGACGCGCCCGTCGGCACGAGCCCGACGGTCAAGTGGGGGTTCCAGTTCCGGCCCGAGGACTCGCGCCTGCGCTGCATTAAGCTGTTCCTGGACCGGTCGCAGAAGCTGCCATTCTACGTCAGCCAGCTCGAGACGGCGACGCAGCTGCGGCGCTACAACAAGACGGTCGTCGACGCCGTCTCGGACTACCTGACCCAGGTGCACCGCCACACCATGGACACGCTCACGCGCCGCTACGGCGAGAGCTTCATGGCCTCGACAAAGGTCGACTACGTCCTCACCTGCCCGGCCGTCTGGTCCGACGCGGCCAAGAACACGACGCTGCAGGCGGCCGAGCGCGCGGGCATGGGCGCGAGCGCGAGCATCTCCATGATCAGCGAGCCCGAGGCCGCGGCCGTCTACACCCTCAAGGCGATCCAGCCCAACCACCTCAACGTCGGCGACAACTTCATCGTGTGCGACGGCGGCGGCGGCACCGTCGACCTGATCGCCTACAAGATCATGACGCTCAAGCCGCTGCGCGTCGAGGAGTCGGCCGTGGGCACGGGCGGGCTCTGCGGCAGCGCGTTTCTGAACTACCGGTTCGAGGAGCACGTCAAGGGCCGCCTGGGCGCCAGCCGCTTCGACGAGATGAAGGTCAAGAAGAGCAAGACGTGGCAGATGGGGCTGCGGTACTTTGAGGACTATGTCAAGAGGAATTTCAGTGAGGAGTCGGACGAGTTTAACGTGCCGTGAGTTGCCAGTGGAGGAAGATTTCTGAGCATTCTTTTTTACATGCTAACCAAAAAAAAAAAAAAAAAACCAAGTTTCCCCGGCATCGCCGACGACGAAGAGGCCGGCATCGACTCGGGCTTCATGATCCTAACGGCGGCGCAGGTCAAGGACATCTTCGAGCCCGTGGTCAAGGAGGTGTGCGACCTGGTGCAGGGCCAGGTCGACGGCCTGCGCGCAAAGGGCGGCGTCGTGTCGGGCATCATCCTGGTCGGCGGCTTCGGGCAGAGCGACTACCTGTACCGGCGGCTCAAGGCGCACTTTACGAGCGCGGCCCCTCCCCCTTATAGCGAGCGGCCGACGCACGCGGCGGGGGGCTCGTCGGGCCAGGGCGGCGGGGACGACAACGCCTCGATCGAGGTGATGCAGCCGCTCTACGCGTGGACGGCCGTGGTGCGCGGGGCGGTGCTGCGCGGGCTCGAGGGCAGCATGGTCATCTCGCGCAAGGCGCGCTACCACTACGGCACGTCGTACGCGACCGTCTACGACGAGGACAAGCACTCGGTCAACGAGCGGTACTGGTCGCCGCTGTGGGAGCGGTGGATGGTGTCTGACCGGATGCAGTGGCATATAGCCAAGGTGAGTTTTTTTTTTTTTCTTTTTTTTCTTCTTTTTTTCTTCTTTTTCTTTTTCTTTTTTAATGTCCGCTTTTCCATGTCCAACCCGTCGTCTGACCTGACCACAAAAAACCAGGGAGAGGCCATATCCCCCCTCTCGCCCATCGCCTTCCACTACACGCGCAACTTCCGGCCGGGCCAGTCGCTCGTGGTGACGGACGACCTGATCGCGTGCGAGGCCGACGAGCCGCCCGCGGCCTACACGCGCGACCTGATCCACACGTGCACCCTGACGACGGACCTCAACGCCGTGCCGCGCAGCCTCTTTACGCGCCTGACGACGACCAAAGGGGTCGAGTTTGACAACCTCGACTTTACGCTCGAGATGATTGTCGACAGCGCCGGGCTGGGGTTCGAGCTCAAGGTGGACGGGGTGAGGTACGGGAGGGTCGAGGCCGAGTTTCATTAGCTGTTCTGTTGGTTTGTGTCGTTCTTGGGAGGAGTTGGGTGGGAACCGGCTCTAGGCGCTGTTGATCTTTGTGTTTGGCCTGTCTTGGTTTTTTCTTGGTCTATCTTTTTTTTCTTTTTTTTTCTTTCCCTTTTGGATATTTGTCGTTTTCTGATGCTATATATTCACCAGCGACGTTGGAGCTTTGTGGTCTTGTACATGGAGCCAAGCATGCCATGCTTAATAATACAAACAGCAAAAGTTGGCTACAGAGCACGTACAATACATGAAAAAGACGGCCTGTCGGGCCGCCCGGAGCCTATCTCTGCCTCTTCTTGAGGCGCTGGGGTATAAGAACGATAGGAAAGAAAATACAGACAAGAGGGGTGATTTGGGCCTGTCCAGGCCACAGGTAACGTAGGATATAGAGGTGACACAAACTAGAACCTATCCGGCCGCATCGAAGATGGAAGGAGATAGGATATTGGCCGAGGGTTTCAACCTATCCAGGCCACAAGCAAAACAGGATAAAAAGAGAGGGCGTCCTTTGCGATATCATTGGAGTGGGCTGGGTGCTGATCGTGGAGGAAAAAGTGGACCGCTGTTGCCTGCTGCCGTGTTTGGTGTTCGTTCCTGCTGGGGGCGAAAACAGCAAAACCGACACAGCCCCCCAAAACCGAGGAACTCAAACTCAACACCACCACCCACCAGCAAAATTTTTGGTTTGCTGTCTCAAGTGGGTGTTTTTCACTTCTTGATCTTCTTCTTCTTGCCCTCCCTCTCTTCCTTCCTGCGCAGCCGGTCCTCCCTGGCCTGGTCAAACACCAACCCCCCTCCTCTGTCGCCGCCGCGCTTGGGCGCGCTCGTCCGCGGCGACGAGGCCGGCTTGTCGGCGCCGGCGAGGCGCATGCGCCTCAGCTCGTCGGGCAGCTCCGTGTAGCGCATGCAGCGGGCGTACGTGTCGGCGTCGATGATGGCGTGCTCGCGCAGGTGGCGGACGAGGTAGAAGTCGGGCCGCATGTGCGCGTAGGCGCAGCCGTCGCGCGCCTGGTGCGCCGCCACGTGCCGCAGGCGCTCCTCGAAGCGCGCCTGGCGTTTTTTACTGTTACTGCTGCTGCTAGAAGAGGAGTCGCCGCCCGTGTCAAAGACGACGTCGTTGCAGAACCAGCAGAGGCTCTTGGCCGGGAACCGCCCGCCCAGGTGCGACGCCACGTGCGCCACCCAGCCGTCGACTTCGCGCGCCCCAAATGTCCACGCGCACCCGAGCAGGTCGCGGAACTCGCACGCCAGGTAGTTGTGGTCGTCGTCCGAGGCCGTCTCGGCCGAGGTCGTGTACATCGTGTCGAACGTGTACACGGAGCTGCTCCGCCCGCCGCCGCCCGAGAATACCGCCGCCGCCATTGTCGAGGCGTCGTCGTCGCCGACGATCGTTGCCGAAACGCTGCTGTTTCTGCTGCTGCTACCGCCGGCCGGCCGGCTGCCGTATCGCGGATCTGCAAAAGGGGGCTGCGATGAGGGTCTGCGATATTTCTCGCGCTCGCTCACCCTCCCTTGGCGTCGTCGTGCTGCTGCTGTACTGGCGGCTTACCAGTCATTGGGGACAATCCCCTCAGTGAACTGGGGAAAGAAGACGGCAGGGAGGGGGACGGGAGCGAGAAAGTGGTCGGGCTCCTGCTTTCTTCTGCTCTGCGGCCACCCTCTTTGCACATCTCTCTCTCTCTCTCACTCTCCCCCCTCGCGAGTGCTGGCTAGCTGCTCGCTCGCTCGCTCGCCCGTTCTCGTTGGGCGCGGAAAGTGGGGTGCGGCCGGCCTGCAGGTTCGGTTGTCCAAGTGGCAGTCTGCAACTCGTCGGGGTGGTATATTGGCGCTTGCGGAGGATGGGTTTCACTGCACGAGCACAGCGACGCGAAAAAACAGCACAGTGAAGACCCGTTTCCGGCTCACGTCTCACGCAATATTACATCCTGGGGGGAGGGTGGCTCGAGTGGGCATCTGCCGACATCTATATACATCTGTCAGGTCTGTCTCTCTCGCGTTCGCGCCGTCTGTCCGGGTTGCTCTCTACGTGGCCCTGTCCACAATTCCCGATCTTCCGTCCTTTTTCGTTTTACGCGAAACCCACCCGGCGCAGATGCGCGGGCGGCGATTGCGCGTGGGGGGAGTGGACGAGGGAGAAGCGGTGGCAGCCCAAAAGCACCAAAAGGTAGACACCTCGCCGAGCTGGAATTGGAGATTGATGACTGCAGCAAAAAAAAAAAAAAAAAGCCACACCACGCACCCCACGCAGACTGCAGCAGCAATATGCATCATGTCTAGAGGTGCGTCTCGGACGTATACACAGCATCAAGTGGTCTGCTCACCCAACCCGTTTTTTGGGTGTGCATGTAAACACTGAGGGGGGCGCTGCGAAGAGCGGTCGAGTGTCTGACCCCCTGCCACCGCCTGCCTGCATGGAGGGTGTGGAGGCGTGCAGGCTCGACGGGTACCACTCCCAGCCCAGCCCGGAGCAGCAGCAATGCCTAATCTTGGGCTTACATTCGGGGTACTTTGGCGCTACATAGCACTGGGGATATTTGCGAGTGCCACGGGTGCGACCTGGCCGTGCCTCTTTTCGACCTTGGCTATTCGTTGCATTTTGACAGTATCAAGTTTTCCTCCAGCCCCCTTTGGCCACCTATTATCAGGCCATGTGTGCATACAGCTGCACTTGCCACAGAAGCCCTCATCGAATCGCCTGAGGGGAACTAAATGTGGCGTTTGCATTGTCCTGTCATGTTGGAGTAGCGGCGCCTCCTTCTCAGCCCTCCTCTTGGCACAGGGTTTTGATTCGCCTCCATCTTATCGAATTCTGCTGCTGAAACCCAAGAATCTCGCCCAGAGGGCGCTTCTCGGGCGTGAGGTCGCCCGGCTTGTATGTTGCGACCAAAAAAGTATAGCGCGACGTGGCCAGGCTGGACATGGACAGGCTCAAATCTCGGGGTCCCCCCAAGATATAAGTTTCTAGCGTTTCTTCGTAGTACATGCGCGAGAAACATCCCTTGGCAACCACAGAACGAAAAATCCCTTGACGACTACAGAACGAACACCCCAAACAGACCTCTTCGAGATGATCACTTTCACCCCAAACTGCACCTTCCCAACAGCCTATCTGGGCTTTGTACAGGCCCCACCGATCCGCGGCACCATGGAGATCGTGTGGTCGTGCCTATCCGTCATCTTGCTCTGCACCTGGTCCATCTTGCATCTCAACGTCCCCCCACAGCACAGACCCCGGGGATGGCGGCAGAAGATGCGGTGGGAGCTCGCTCAGCTTCGGAAAAAGCTAAAATGGATGGTTATAACCCTTGTGGCCCCTGAACTTTTGCTGGGGTTCGTTTTCGTCGCTTTCATTTCCGTCCGCCAATCTACCAAGAAACTGCAAGAGCTTGCCAACGATGATCGAGTCCCGTGGTCGAAGACGCATTCGTGGTTCGCCAATCAGGGAGGCTTTTTCATCCATTTCCCGCCACACCTATGGGACCCTCCGGCAACGGAGTCGGCCACAAGAAGCTTACAACTGGGTTCTGATGAGTCTGCTATCGAATTGGGTTCGATGGAAGAACAGGGCCTTGGGTTTCCGAACAGCAGACTTTTGCGCAAGAGGCAGAAAAAATATGACAGGCGCAGGGCGAGGGCTATACGCAAATATGGATCTTTGCCAGGGAAACTGTGCGACAACTTCCACAAGTACGTCCAAAAGGAGGCCAGACATATAGAGCAGGAGGGTGACGACGCCGCCGCAGATGATCATCTACGTCACATTAGCGACACCTGGGTAGTCAACTCCCAGCAACTGCTCTATCTTCGAGGGGAGGGCATTATCAAGAGGCTTCCAAAACTCGAGGAAGAGGAACTGCAGGACCGAAACAAGAGCAACGCCATCGTCAAACTCCTCGCAATCACCCAGGTGTGCTGGCTGGCCACTCAACTGGTGACCCGCGCCGCGCGTGGGTTACCCGTCACAACTCTTGAAATTTCTGCCGTCGCCTACGTTGCCAACTCGTTGGTGATATACCTTCTGCAGTGGGATAGCATCAAGGACTTGACAGTGCCCGTGCGTTTGGAAGCCAGTCGCCCGCCGAACAAGACACAATTCGTCCGAATCATCGAAAAAAAAGGCAAAAATATCCTTCCACATACGGTGGCCACCGACCCGGTAATTGTGAACGGCACGGCTCACTTTTGGCATACAGGGGACCCCGGGTGGTATTTCTTTGGCGTTGTTGGGCTCGGGGGGCTCCTCTTTGGAGGGATCCACCTCGCCGCCTGGGGCTTTGCCTTCCCGACCTTACTGGAGCGGAAGCTCTGGCAGGCCTCGGCACTGGTCACAGTCTCCACGCCCATGTTTGACTTTCTGATAATGTGGCTGGAAATTGGGTATATCGAGAGTACGTGGGCGGGCGGGACGATATCAGTGGGAATCACTGTTGTATCAATCCTCGTCTACGCGGCTGCGCGGCTTTTCACCCTGGTTGAGAGCTTCAGGTCTCTCTACTTCCTGCCACCCACTGCCTATCAAACGACATGGACCAAGAATGCGCCTCACTTTGGATAGGACTTATGAATATGTATGGCTGGCGAGCTGGTTTGGGTCGAGATTCCATATTCGAACGTTGTATCTATACCGATTAAATTCTTAGGTGGGGGATGGGAGGAGATCTTTACGACCTTTACCGAGGTGACTATGGAGGCGGGATTCTGGCCTTGGGCTGCCATATGGGGATCAGATGTGGCGTGGAACAAGGGTCCGAGTGTGGTGCAGAGAGTGAACGTCTCAGAACGCAACACAGGAAAAGTACCAGCAGACAGGTATACATACAGGTATTTATACAGGATGGGTGGGTGACCTGTTTCTCCGGTCCTAGTGCCAGCCAAGCCTGTCCCCAAAGCGGCCGCTTTGCCTCCCGGGCTGCCAAGAAAACACATCCCTCGCCTCCTTGACCACCCCTCCTGTCGAGAATAGAGTGAGAGAAAGAGTAAGGATGTAAACCAAAGAGACAAATCATAGCGACAACGCCAAAGCTGTCGAGCACCTGCAGCTCTCCTTAGCTGCCTGCCGTCTGTTTCTTCTCGTCTCTGTTTTATGCTTGAAGTTATGGCCCCCCTAGGTTCCTCCCATATACGTCATCTTCCCGTAGCTGCCGGGTATATGGGCCGAGTGAGGCAAGGACGGAAAGGGGTGTGGTTCGCAAACGGGTTATCAGGTCCGCTCTGTGTTGGGTCTTGTCCCGTTTTTTTTTGGTTCTATCCATGTCCCGAAGGCGGGTTTTGTGTGGACGGCAGTGGTGCCCAACAGGGCGGACTGAACAGCCACAGTCGACTTGGGGTTTGCCCCTTGGGCGTTTTACAATGCTACATGTCCATCGAGGGGAAAAGAGCAAGCTCAGTCGGCACCAATCTCCCCAGATTGTAAAAAAAAAAAAGAGGGGGGAGCCGACAAAAACCCGGAGCCATGCGGCTCTGCTGCCCTCACAGGCCCGGTCCAGACCACCCGAGAGCGAAGAAGGGGGGTGCGTATAGCAGAAGCGGAGATGCCAAGGGGTCGTCGGCCAGCACAACACTCGCACGTATCTGCAGCGCCCCTCTCGCTCCCACGCTGCACTCGATAGCATGTACGATGTACGATGGACAACAACACACGACAGCGACCCGGCCGTGATACATCAACCCCCCTCTCCGTCTTTTGCTGGTTGTCTGCCGTCCCCCCTCCTCGCTGATCCCCGAACCCGCTCTGCTGATTCCCGAGCCCGACATTTTGATCCGCGAATAGGAGCAAAACTGAGCAAGTGGAGGGAGAAAAAGGCGGGATGCGGTGCGAGGCATTGGGGGATGTGCATCGGGTGAAGAGCGGAGGGCTCCTTAGCCGGCTGGGTCGGGCAGACGGAGGCTTGGCGGGGGGCGGGCGGTCACCGGATTTCGTTTATTTGACTTCTTCCGGCGTTGGTCCGCATGATTAGCTCTTTTTGGTGTCTTGGGGGTTTATTTACTTTTGTGTCCATCGGGATTCCCGACACGTTACGGGGTGCTGTTCGCCATCACACCGCATAGACGGGACGTAACCGACGTGGGGGTGGCTGGATAGGTGGTTGGTTGGTTGGAGTCGATACTTGGACGGTACTTGCGAGGTTCAAGCTCCCCCTCTGGCCTATGTCTTGATGCGTAGGATGTCCGACACATCAACCTCGATCCCAAGTGACCAAAAACAAGAACAGAACACTAGTGATAACCAGTAAAATGCTCGCTTCTCCCTCTGGTCTCACACTAGAATCCATCACACAGACCAAGATGCAGGACAGCAAAATCAACAGCGCCACCGGAACCCAAAAGTTGCCTTCCAAGCCCGTCATGTTCATAACAAATCGTGACAGCAGACAAGCTCACCAAAAATAAGCAAATCAACCCGGGTTGCACAGCACCCTCGCCTTGGCAATCACGTTCTCGTACTGCTGCATGTGCCCGCCCGCCTCGTCGCCCCGCTTGACGATGCCGGGGAACGTAGCGCAGCGCACGAGCGCACCCGCCAGCGCCTCCTCGTCGAGCCCGCCCATGTCCTCCATGCGGGCCGGGTCGAAGGCGGGCGGCCGCGCCCGGTCCTCGTCCTCCGCCGCCCCCACCGACGGCCGCACCTCGGGCATGAAGACGCGGAACGACGCCCGCTGCACCGCGAGCAGCCGCGCCAGCTCGATCGACGACGCGACTAGCTGCCTCAGAGATGCCTCGGATGCCGCCGCCGCCGCCGGTCCAGGAGTTGATGAGAGGAACGGCGTGGCGGGGGCGCCGCTGCTGCTTGTGCTGCCACCGTCAGCGGCCGCGTGGTAGTCGGGCGAGAGCGCGCCCAGTAGGCGATTTATGCGTGCCACGACACTGTCTGTAAGCCGTGACGTCTCATCGTGCATTGCATGTGCTGCGTCCTTGTTCAGGAGAGTGAGGGTTGTGGACCGCCATTGGTTCAGGGGCTCCGGGCCAGTCACTTTGTACGCATAAGTGTTAGTCACCAGCCGTGAATGGTCTCTTAGTGGTGAATGCTCCTTACCAAGTGATTCTACTAGCGACTCCGTCTGAGCCAGCTGCAAGGCCTGATGCTCGGTCAAGCCGACAAAGTAGCTGTCAAAAATCATCTCCACCAGTATCCTGGACACGAGCGACTGCAGCATCTGTAGCTTGGACGTGCTGACGAGCTCTGCATACGTCGGCACCAGGGCGGCCACCTCCTCGAGCGTGGCCTCGTCTGTTCGTGACAGATCTATCGTAGCGGTATAGTTAGTAACCGCCACCACTTCACGTGCAACAAGGCAACATCCAAGACCACATACCCAGCTTGACCCTCCTAAAGCTCCCAACAAGCCAATTTTGCAGCCCGTTAAACAGGCGCGAGAACCCGTCGGCAAAGACGTCGTCCGCCGGCGCCACGCCCGCGGCCCTGGTGCTGGTGGCGAGCCAGTCCTTGAGCCCGCGGACCTGGCCCTTGAGGTTGGTCACCTCCCTCTCGCGCGCGGCCAGGTCGCGGCGCGAGGCGTCCCAGCCGGCGCGCAAGTCTTCGCGCTCGCCCCGCAGATCCTCGAGCTCGGCGCGGGCGTCGCGTAGCTCGGCGTCGACGTGCATGAATTGCCGGTTGAGCTGGCCGTGGCTCGACTGCCAGAACCCAGCATTTTCGGACTCGTTATGCGACAGGTTGTCCAGCGCCTTCCGGAACTCGTCCTCCTTCTTCCGGAGCTCGCGCTTCAGGTCTAGGACCTGTTGCCTGAGCGATGTGTCCGACTCTACCTCCGCCACCGCCTGACCGTCCTTGAGCGGGGACCCGGACCGTGACGCCGGGTTGCTGCTGCCTTTGCCGTGCCGGTCGCCCGGCGTGTCCTGGCCCATGCGGCCGCGCGGTCTGCTACCCTCCCTGTGCGTCGCGTGCGGGGTGTTTGGGCGACGGATCGGCGTCCCTGTCCGGGACGGCGGGGCGCCGCCGGTGCTGTCATCGGTAGCGCCCGCCTTGCCCGTGTTCCCGTCCGAAAGGGCCGCTCGTGGCGGCGTCGCTACCACGGGGCCGCTGTTGCGGTCGGCCGAGGGGGTCGAGGCGAACGAGGAAGAGGACGAGGAGGCGGACGAGGCGGGGGCGGCTGGCGGGGTGGTGCGGAGGACATGGCTCGAGGAGCCTCCGCGACGCTTGTCGCCGCCCATCGAGAGGCTGCGGTTTGCTTTCGCTTTGCTTGCTGGTTGGCAAGCGTAGCGAGCGAGGCGTGGCCTCAAGACGTGTGGGCGACGAACGCGATGCTGGCAGCAGTCTGCGGCGGGGCACTGTTCTCCTCAGGGATTCTCCTCAGGGAGAGTCGTCGATGACGGGCCAATCTTGCAAGGGAGAACGGACAGCGTCAGTTATGGCGGCCGGCATGGCGTTGCTGTGCCCCGCGAGATGGTCGCGTCGCGCATTCCCAATCGAAAACGCATCAATGCTATGGCGATGCAGCCATGTGTGGCCAGGTCTCAGCCACGCTGGGCTTCTGTCAGCCGCCAGAAAAAAAAACAATTGTGGCCGTTTGCCGCACGTCATTGGCCCACCTTGCGAGCGCTGCCTAAAGCTAAAGCCGCCTGACTGAGCACTATTCGGGCCCTTCGGATAGCGGGCATTGACCACCTGCACAGTGAGCGTTTGTTCTAAACGGGGGCCAAGCTTACAAAGTCCAGGCACCCAAATTGACCCCCGAGGACCGAATATTAGTGATATCCACGCCAGACTTCATGTTGATCATGGTGTTGACATTGAGCCCAAAAGTACACTTGATTCTACCCCGATTGGTCGATAGTCCTCTCGATACCTAGGCAGAATGTAAAATAGAACGTGATGTTGATCTGCAAACGTCCAAACCATGTCCTGTGTTCCTGTCCGCCCTCATATCTCAACCTCAGCAACAACCTCATACGCGGCATCCTCCTCCATCCCCTCCCCGCCGCCATTGTCCCTCCTCACCCCCTTGGCCCCGAACCTGTAGATTGCCAGCCGATCCAACACGATGTCGGCGCCCCCGGCCCAGTCGTAGTCCGCGTACCGCTCCAACGCCCCGCGCGCGTCCAGCGTCATCCTGCCCCCTCCTCCTCCTCCTCCTCGCTTCCCACCCCTACCCCCTCCCCTCTTCCCCGACCCCTTACAGTAGACCGTATTCACGACCGTAGCATGCAGCAGCAGCGGCCGCCCTTCGTCCCGCACCAAGCCCTCCCGCACAAACGCCGCCAGCACGCCCTCGCAGAACCGCCCCAGCGGCTGCTCCGGCCCGGGCGCCGCGTACATGACGGCCGCGCGCGCCGCGTCGCCGTCCCGCATCGTCCTTAGCCCGCGCAGCCGCACCACCAGCGGCCCTTCCTCCCCAGCACCACCACCACCACCACCACCACCAGCCCTGGCGGCCGCCAGCATCTCCTTCAGCTCGAGGGACCGCAGCAGCGCGACGGCTTTTGCCAACGACCCGCCGCCCCCACCCTCCTCCCCTTCCCCTCCTCCTCCTCCGGATAGGCTCATGACGCCGAGGGTGAGGTGCAGCGTGCCGGGCGGCCGCACCGCGTCGGCGGGGAAGCCGAAGCCGCCCGAGGCGTGCGGCGCCGTGGCGTCGGCGCGGAACGCCGCCACGGACCGGGACAGCTGCGCCCGCGCCGCCGGCGAGGCGGCGAGCGGTATCGCCAGGAAGTGCGTCAGGGCCTGCCTGCCGCCCGAGCTCGATGCCATTTCTTCTTTTTCCTTGTTTTCTTCCCCCCCTTCGTTTTGGGTGCAAGATCCTGACGTTGCGGTTGAACTCCTCGGATGGAGGTATCAGGGCCCGGATCCGGGTATGGACGGTAGGGCAAAAAGGCTCGACGTGGGTGACGAGGAAGGACGACTGTTGTTTGTGTTGCCGGATGACGGAAGCACAGCCCACCAACATGCAAGGAGCTTGGGGCGGATTGGGTGGAGATGCTTTGAAGGTGGGCGGGGATGCCGTTTTTGGGTCGCTAATGAGCTGTTTTGACAGGGCCTGAGCTATCGGCTTTGGCTTTGATGGGCCTGTGCTTCGGTGTTTATACTCGGAGGCGAGTTTTCTTACATCAGGCTAGAGGGATGTAGAGAGCGAGCTTGGAAGAAATGACCCTGATGACTACATCCTCCAGTGACTGCCCAGACACATCCATCCAACCAAACACATCACCAAGGGCACTTTACCCTCCAAGTCTCGGCAACAAAACTGCGTCAAAAAGGAACAAGGTATCAAGTAATTCCGAACTGGCTAGCTATCTACGGAAGCTTGCCTCCAAATAACGCCTGGCCCGGCAAAAGGTGAAGTTAAGGCTGTTCCCCCACAAGAGCCTGAGCCTCTGACCACTCCGGGCTCTGCTGAGCCGAAAATTCGTCACTGCCCACCCGGGCCTTGTAATCCCAACCCCCAGCTCTCCTTGCTGTCCGCGCCATGCTCGGCCACCGTGGGCTTTCCAGTCGTCCAGCTTCCGTACCAACCTCCTTCCCTCGGACTGCCGCCATGTATGAGACGAAAGTCTCCTAGCGATGTCTCGTGCACCTCAATTTTCCTTGATCTTTTTCTCATTTTTATTCTTCGTTTTTGTTTTGATGGGGTTTTTTTTTTCAATTGCCTTCGTGCCTCACTCCAAGCATGGCAAGAAGAGCCCGGCATCGGGCGTGGTCTTCCATCCTCCAAGCAGACGCGAGATTCGCAAGTCGCGGTTATGTCGTGGTGGCCGAAGCAAAAAAAGAACGATCGGAAGGCGCAGTATAATCGTAAACGAATGAATGCTGCAGTCGCAATAAATGCTCGCGTGAATATGGTTGTGTGGGGGTGGTCGGGGCCTCGAGGCCAGAGAGAGTCTTCCCCTCAAAAGCCTGTCCCAACAGTAGGCTTGCGTGGGTAGGTCCTCGTTCCTGCGCAGCCTTAGTTTCTTGTGCTGCTCTTCGAGGGAAGACGCCTGCGCAAAGTCACGCCATCGGTGCCGAGGGGGCACCTGTCGGGACTCAGCTCTGAGCCGAGGGAGCAGTTCTAGATCTCGGCGTTAAAGAAGACCAGCAGCAGTTTCTTGAGTTCCTCCATATCCCTCTTGGCCTGGGTCAAGGCACTGGCGATCTGAGAGATGCAGACGCCTTGGTCGGGCTCAGGGGTGTTATCCAGCGTGACTCCGTTGCCGTACTGCTGTATGATCTGGCAGCTGTCTCTGACTTTAGTAAAGCCGAGGGTGGCCGACGACCCTTTCAGAAAGTGCCCCAGGGCGTACAGTTCCTTCAGATTTTTCTGCTTACTGTAGAGCAACCGCACCAAGTCAGTTAGGCTATCACATACACCGCGACGAACGATAAACCATAAACGTGCTTGATCGGGCCCAGAGATCACTGATACCAGGAACCCGATCCACTGTAGAGCCGTCGGGGGCGTCCGTCAAGCACCGAAGCTGCCAACCAGGCATGTCCCTTGGCTGATGAGAAACAGTGGCGGCAACTTACAGTGCAACGTCCATCTTGTCAAACGTTTCCGCCGCCTGTTCAAAGAAGCCCATGATAAGGGGCTTGCTGAATTCTCTATCCTCTTCGCTATCATCCATCTCCAGGATCTGGTCGAAGGTTGCCCTGTCGACGTTGTCTCCCAACTCAGCCATCTTGAGAAGGATCTGCTTCTAGCCCAGGACTCTCGTGTTAGCGGGCCGACAAGCCAAGGCCAATATCCGCACAACTGCCGTCTATGTCGGGCACCTGTCGCGTGCTTCGAACGTGATGGCGGCTTGATGTGAATCTGAAAACGGTAAAGATAAGACGAGAGAAAGCGAAAAGAAATATTATTGTGCGTGGGAGGCAGACTGGCAAAGATGGACAGTGTCTGAGCCGCCTTGGGGTCTTTGCCAGGAGACGCAGGAGAAGCCTTGGTCAAAATGCGATGCCTTGGCCGCCGAGAGGAATGAAACAAGCGTCTGGTGGGCTTTTCCTAGTGTATACAAACAAGTCCCTGCTGGGCAACTGGGCGAAAGCGGGTTAAGAAGGCTGGGGGCCGTTTTCCGGGAGGGCTGTGGGGTATTGTATGTGATGTGACTGAGAGAATGCAGCGGGTAGTGGGGACCAAGGCCAGCTGGGTGTCCGGTATGACCCCTCCAGCCAGACCCGGCGAGAGGGGCGCGAGAGGTGGCGGAAGGTGAGCAAGCAGCCTATTTGCTCAAGGCAACGCCGAACGAGCCCCTCGGTCCATATCCCACGCCCAGCCGCGAGAGCAGGCCTTCGGTTGGACAGGCCGCTGGCGATGTCCCGTTGGCTTGCTCACACTCCTCGCCGCCACCACCTCGCTCAGCCTCTTTGGGGCCCTTCAGGTCTGCTTTCATGCGTGCTCTCTCGCCTCTTCTTTGTCCTTCTCGGCGACTTTTTCGAGGAACAAGAGAAGGATAAGTCATCTCCCAACCGCCGGCCACTCGGTTCGCCACTTTCAGAGAGATGGCGTTTGATCTATAGACCTAGCGGGGTTCATGCTTGATCCATCACGCCAAGGAAGACTGAAGGAAACGAACAAACCAAAACTCAAGGGCAGTCGCCGTGTGTGCCTGAGAGACATCTGAGAGGCGGGTGGTGATGTGTAGGCAAGCCAAGGCAGATCATGGTAGGGCAGAAACGCACTTACTGTCTGAGGTGAAGTATAGAGGTGGGCGGAAAAACACCAATCCTTGCGAGGGTCTTCGGGCTAGACACAAGATCGCGACGAGAGATGTCGCCAACTGGGGCGGGGTGGCAGCGGTAGCGGCGGCGGACAGGACGGGCCCAGAATGGAGGGGATACGGATGGACAGCTGCCGATCGGTGACAGGAAGAGCGGCGGTGGGATGCCGAGGCGGGATTTCTCTCTGCCTATTTTTCAATTTGGGGCTGTGAGGGCCCGAACAGGACGGTTGACGAAACTGGGGTACCTGGGTACGTCAAGGGGGGGTGTTTAGGAGGGCGCGGTTGAGGCTAATTCTCGAGGTGCTGCCCGGGCATGTACGATGGATGGACCAGGCCGACAGCGCGGTTTCAGAAGACGCCTTTCTGGCAGGGCTCGAGGGGTAATATTGGCACAGGCGAGGGAGAGAGAGGGGAGAGATACGGTCGACAAGTTGGAAATGGAGGTATGCCAGGGAGGGGAGTGACTGGCGCGTGAGTAGAAAAAAAAAGAAAAAGAAAGCGAGGTCGGTACCTTGGCTCGCTGTCGAGGTACTTTTTGCGGCCGCATGGATGATGGATGCGCTGCGGGTTGGGAAGGGACGGACGGAACGGCCTGTCCAACCCCAGCCAGCCGCCAGGTACCTTCCCTGGGCTACAGCCTGCAGCGCAGTTGGGAAGCAAGCACGCACGGTGGGCAACAAAACGGTGGCTTTTCAAGCTGCGCGGGGCGGGGGAGCCGGCGTCCCCCCCTTTTACAGCGGGACCTACTTGACGCAGGGCTGCGCTGGAATGAGGTGCTGCTTCCTGCAAGCAGCTGAGGCAGCTTCCCTGCACCGTCTCCAGCGCCCGCTACTTGCTATGCTACCCACAATGATGGGACGAGACCCTCGGGTGCGAGCTGCCAAGGGGGGAAATAAGGAAGACGGTGCAAAAAAAAAAAAAAAAAAAAACGGGACAACGACGCATCCAAATCCCATCGTCCAGCGCCAGTTTCCCGTTGGCCCCTCGAACATCTTTTTGCCTACCCGCACCAGGCGAGCCGCTTTGGGGAGCCGGGCGGGGGGTATGGGCTTCTAGATTCAGGTCCCTCTAGGTGCATCGCGTATGAGAGGTTGGTGGTGGTGGTGGTGGTGCTTCGCGGGACACTATCAGATTCCGAACATGCACATGACGTCGGCGTCGATCCACTTATCAGCCCAGCGGCAGTTGCTACAGTACCGTCGCCTACCACTCCCTCTGAGGCGAGGAGAAAAAAAAAGACGCACACACGACCCCAGGCGAAGCAGATATGGCTATGGCTAATGGTGATGGCGGCCTCGGCGATATTTGATACCGTGCATGCACCCTGCACGACGAGGGAGGTGGCAGGATTTCCAATGTCGGGTAGGAGGTGAGATTTTGGCCAAAGCTAGGAGTGAAGAAGCGAAGAGGCACGAGGGTTTGACGCCGTCGCCGTGCCAGGCTAGGGCGGGCAACTGGGCCCGCGTGCAGTTTCCAGAAACACAGGCCTGGTCTTTGCTTTCTTTCTTTCTTTCTTTCTTTTTCTTGTCTTGTTCTCTTTTCGGCCGCTGGTGGGTTCCATTTCAGTGATGGAGCTCCCTACATGCTTTTGCACGCCCCGCCAGTCCAACCGGCGGCGCCAATGCACGATGACCTCGACAAAAGGAACACGGCATCTGCCCTCCCCACCTCGTTGTGCGCGCATACAACTTCCCCAATTCTCCCATGGGTTTCCCAGCCATCCTCCGTGAAGATACGACGCCCTTCAAGTCGGGAGCACGACCCGAGGCTCTTTTTGTTTCTTACTTGCCAGCCAGCAGGGTGAGCTCCCTTGTAACTGCACGTTTTTTTCTCCAGCCACTTTTTGATGCTCCTCATGGACGCCAAACTCTCGGGCCCTTGAATGTCTCGGGCACCTACCCCGCCGACTTTTTTCTCTGTGGAATCGGGGACTCACAACCCACTTTCTCCCCATCAGGGAACCCAGAGAGAAAAAAAAAAGAACGCTAGGTACGTTACCGGTTGGCGGGATCTCAGCCGACCGGACCCCTTTTCTTGTACCTCAGGAAAGAGCCTCACAGCTGGCCAAGTACCCTGGTACACATATTGTGGCACGCGAGTCTTTGCGACAACCCCGAATCTCGGAGAAACCCTCTTGGTATTGCAGCCTCCCATCGCCTGCCCCTCTCTGCGACCTTCTCCACCGCCAGCACCAAGCCCGACGCCTCGGCCGGAAGCAGCTGCAGGGACCATACCGGTCCCCCTGGAAAGGTGAGCCGGCACCGACCTAAACGGCAAATGGAAGCTTTCTGCGGCGTTTGTTTCTCCAGGGGTCTTCCGGTCGCCGAACCCTGTGTTGCACATTTCGCACGCTGCACAAGGCCGTTTGCATCGGCCGCTGTTGTCGTCCCCATGCCCACCCGTCTGGACGAGAAGGACGGCAATTTTCACTCGGGTCGACACATTGGTCGCCTGGCACGCCTGGCTCCATCCATTGGACCCATACCTTGGGCCGAACCACGTTGGATCAGCCCGGCAGGACCACACAGGCTGCTGCTGATCCTGATCGGCGGCGGCCGTTCTAGAAGCCGCAGATCCACAGCAACAAACACCGCAAGCTGGCAGTGAACGACGGGGTTGGGGGTCCAGACGATGCGGCGAGATTGCATTTGTGACAGCAATGACGTTGGGTCGCGGGTGCGAGATGCTACGCCGGCGATCCGTCCCCCTCTCCGCTCCGTCCCATGGCGTTTTTGGCTTTCTCGACCAACCGTAGGGGGCTCCACCGGGACGGGAAAGGAAGGTCGTCCATCCACTGCCGGGTTGGACACTGTCCTGCTGTGCAGCAAAGAGGTCGCTGCAAGATGGAGAACGAGGGCAGCGTTCGGGCGCCGGCTGTCAGAATTGGGTTCGCTCCGCTTGCATCAGCATGACACATTGGGCGGGGGGAGGCGGTCAACTCTTCCTGGGAGGAGCTGCCTGGGAATCTGGGCTGATTTTTGAAATCTCTGGAGGTCCCAGGTGGTTCAGCCGCTGAGCATTTCCTGCAACGCCTTCCCTCTGGCCCCATTGCAGACTTGCAGACTTGCAGGCTTCAAAGCAAAAGGTAAAGGCGACAGGACAGACGAATGAATCCCGGGATGTCGGTATTCAGTGATGAGCAGGTAGGTATCCTGTCCCCAAGCCTGCCGACACGGCATGGTAGGTATTCAGCCAGAAAGTGGCTGGTACAACTACCCCGAGGAAGGTACTCCGAGCGCACGAATCCACTAGGTCTGGGAGCACGCGTCGAGGACAAAATGCGGCCGGTTCCATTTAATCGGGTGCATCAAACCAGCAAGACGTCATTGGGCTTTTTTTTTCCCGGCCCGCCCGCACCGTTTCGTGATTTCCCAAGTGGATGACACCGCCGGCCCCGCCCGTCCACCCTCCGTTTTCCATTCACGCGTATCCTACAGTAGCACCCAGCCTGCAAAGCACCTGCTCTCAGCTCCTGATGGTGGGGTCAACCTACTGGCGGTGTCGTTAACTTGAATCGCTTTGCCCGCGTTGGGTTTAGGCACCGGCCAAAAAAAGAACTGGAAATGATAAATAAATAAAAATAAGGGTTCCACGCACATCCCTACCATAGCAGAAAACATTCCGTCATGGGTCGCTAGCCCTCCACCCAACGACGTCATACCGCCTCAAGCCTGGGGTTCCACCGCATCTCATTGGATGCAGGGCAGACATGGGATTCCGATTTTCCCTTCCGTGCCAATCAGCGCGCCGCGGCGGATCCCCATCGTTGACTTCACCCCATTCTTGGAAGAAGTTGAAGGGAAAAAGGAACGGCCAGCAAACCAAAGCAAAGCAAAAGCGCATCGTGAGGTGACCTGTCGGGACGGGTGAAATTACAAGCAGGTTTTTTCTTCTTTCTTTTCGCTGCTGTTTCCGTTTTTATCCAGTAGGATGGGCCAAGGGCAGATTATGCCCTAACAAACGAGTCCGGGTATTTAAGAGAAGGCGCCGCGGTGCTCACCTAATGTCCTGATGTTCTAGACCTGGCCCCGACATTTCTTGGACGCTAGGTTCGTGCGGGCGTGTCCCCCCCTCTCTTGAGCGAGCGAGCGATCCGGGCAGCGGGCAAGCCAGCAAGCGGAACAGCCCAGTCCAACACGGATACCCGCTACCGCCGCATCAGTCCACCCTCGCTTCCGTCGCTCACTCCGTTCCTCCTCCCTCCCCCCCTTTTCCGCCAGCTGAACGAACCCTGATTTACTCTTCCTGGCCGGCTAGGTACCTCGGTCTAGCCTGCTCCGCAGAGTACCACCCCTCCACCAGCCGTCCGAACCAGTCACGCCAGCACTCGACCCAAAAGAAAAGCAAGCGTTGTGAGGGGGATGGAAAGAATAAGGAAGAAATAAAGGGGGGGAAAGGGAACCCGAACGGGGGTACCACTTTTCCAAACTAAGGATTTTAATGTGACGGGAGACTTGCCAACCCACAGCATGGACCAAGCTGGACCCTCCGCCTCAGACATTTTCCCCCCCCTCCCAGCTCTGTTTGCTGCTCAAGCCTGGTACGGGCTCCAGGGAGCACCCACATTCCATGACAAGAACTTGAGCACTTCTCGTCTCCAGCCCGGGATTTCATGTTATTCCTCGATCTGTACAAGAGCCGGGAAACTTCGTGGATCGAGAAAAAGGAGAAGGGAAACGAAAAAAAGAGAAGGGAAAAAAAAGGCCGACACCACACACTGGCTGTTCTCATCCCCCGCCTGCTCGTCCGCTATTCTACGCAGGGCTGGAGCGCCGATCACTGACTTAATAGGAATCCCGGACAGAGCTTCTCCCTGGCAGCGCCCGGCGCCCGGTCCTCTCTCTTTGCGCTCGGCACGGCTGTTCCGCTTCGTCGGAGCGTATCGGTTTGCTGTGGTAGGTAGTGACGGTGGTTTGGAGGCCGTCGCACCTCGCTCCCAAAAAAAAAAAAAACCAATTCAGCACCCACACCCGCACATCCAAGCCCACCACCACCACCACCACAACCATAGACCACCGTTTCCCCTATCGGCAACCCAAAAGGGCTGGCAACTCCTCCGTTTCTACATGCTCAGTGAGAAATCCCGCTGGGGCCCGCATATGCAGTCGCATAGTTACACCACGAAAACAGGTTTTTGGTCCACGCCAAAGCCTAGTAGTCTCCAAAAAATGGTCATTCTTCCCGACCAGCTCCGCCGTGTCTAGCACAACCGGGGACTCCCCCCCTGGCGAACGCGCACAGCAACGACACTGCTTCCCAGGAAGCAGCGAGAGGGAAGTCGTAGGTACTCTGTTCCCTGATAAAGAGAGGCATGGCAAGTGTACTTTTTTCTGTTGTCCTCGGCATGGAAAACATTAATTCTCCAGATCTAGTAGTATACGGCAGTACGGATACGCAGTATATGACAACCTCGATTCCTTAGAATCTTCTGTCGGGCCGCCTCAGAGCGGAATGCTCGTTGCTGCCATGGCCGGCGGCTGGACTCTCCTAGTTGAGACATGGCGCAAACATGCCCCCCTCTTCTCCAGGCTCTAGGTGATGGAGGACAAGGCAAAACCCCCGGAATACCAAGCGAGTGCCCGACCAAGTGTGATGGCTATATGCGAGAGCCCTGGCATGCAGCAGAGGGCGCAGTATCTTGACTTTGAGAGCCGCCGCCGGCAACTCCACGTCCGGTACCGCATGGCACGCCTGCTCCTCACGCGAAATGGGTGAACGAGACTCGCTGGGCGAATCCCACGACGCCACGACGGTAGCCTGTCGGCCCACTGACATGAATCGACATGGTGGGTGGTGTTGCTCAGCTGGAGGTGATGACGGTGTGCCGATGCCAAGTTCGGCGCCTGTACGGCGGCTTGGGGGCTGGCATGGGTGAGGCACACGGAGACGGCGTCACATGGTGACGTCGGGCTTTTTCCATGTCCGCCAATATGCAGGTAGATGAATATGCACTTGCCAAGCGGGGAGACAGACCTCCGGCATGTAGAGTGTCGGAGGGCGGCCATGCGCCAGGGTGCTTGGCACAGGTCTAGAGAAGTACCTTGGACGCAACGCTCAGCAGCCAAGCGGCATCATGCCAGCCTCCCTCGTCGGCCTTGGGCGGGGGCACCCGCTTTTCCGGGATGCTTGTAATGCCTTCGAACTGCCTCAGGCCACTGCGCTTCTGATCCGGGAGTCCGTCGGCCGAGACCCCGCCAATGGGGTCGATGCCCAAGTCGCCAGTAGCGTAGCTCTCGCCGTCTTCGTCATCTTCGTCCGACTCGGCGTCGTTCTCCTCCACCGAGAACAGCCTCCAACCCAGGACGTTGCCAAACCAGAAACCACCCGACCCGACCTGTTCCCTCTTGACGAGCCGCCGGACGACCGCCTCGTCTTCGACGCTCGTGTCCAACTCGACCGCTTCAAGGTTTTCGTCAAGGTTCACAAAGTCGGGCCCGGCCATCTCGTCGGGCGACTCTGCGTGTCGGTGGCTGCCAAAGTAGCTGCCATCCAACGACCGCCGGCGCTCGTCCATGGGCGTCATGACCCTGCTATGAGAGCGACTGCCGAGCCGGCTGCCAGGAGGAGACACGGCCACGAACTCGTCGTCCACCAGAGCCAGGGCGGCAGAGCTCCCCCGACGGCTGTGGCGACGGCTGCTGGACCAGAGGCCGTGGTACTGGTGTTCACGCTCGCGGGCGAGGTTCCGCTCGAAAGCCGCCTCCTCCAGGTCGAGCGGTGTGCCAGCAGGGCCAGCCAAGCTGGTCGAGCTGGCACGGGACACGAGCCAGGCCTGGCCCTTGGACTCACGGCACTCGCCGCTCAGGACCGCTCCGGCGCGGAGCATCCAATCACTGTCGTTCCGGTCTTTGGATGAGAGGCCGCCACCGGCTTCGTCCCTCCGGCGCTTAGTGGTGGGCGAGAGGATGCCCGAGTTTTTGTGGTGGCCACCGCCATTTGACTTGCGCAGGTGCAGATGAGTTGTAGATTTACTCTTGGTGAGGGTCCCGGCGGCTATCGCCCCGTCGTTTCTGGTGTGGGACCTCGACCTTGACCGGGCGGGCGAGTGCGAAAGGAGGCCCGGCGTGGTCGGAGCAGACTTGCCCTGCAGGTAAGAAGTGGTCTGCACCGGGGGCGCTGTGAGGGCTTCGGCGAGGTCTTCGGCATCGCCAATTGGAAGCTTTGTCGTGAGGGGCGCTAGCGTCAGGTGGTTGAGGTTGGTGCTAGACCAGTTTTTGCGTCGAGCGTGGCTCGAATGCTGATTGTACGCGACATCCATGTTATGACAAGTAGGAGTGGTCCCTGAGAGTGGTCCCTGAGAGGGTTATCGGCGTCGAGTAGATCTGAGTTGTCTCGGCAGAGTGCCTGCTCCAGAGGCGCTGGCTGGCTGGTAGATGGAGAGGTCGAGTGCAATGACGCGTGGGAGGAACAGGTCAAGGTCAATTGGACGTCGCTCTGTCTGAACAAATAGGGGTTTGGAGATTTCGGTACAGTCGTAAGCTGAAAGGCTGCGTAGCAAGATAAAGACCAGCCCAGACAGATCCAGGGTGATGGCTAGCAGCGAACTCCTCCTAATTTAGAGTTTGTCGAGGATTTCGAACAGACGTGACATGCCACTGCTTGCATGCTGCCCGCACATCGCCTCACCCGATGGCGCACATCGACTCACAAAAATTGTTGGGGCCCAGGAGGTCGAGAAACCTGATTCTGCGCGCCTATTGGCTGGCCAGATCTCGGTCAGGTCAGTGCCCCAGCCATGGCCTGGCGCCGTTATGCACCCCAGCCCCACCTGATCATCGCGACCCCACGCTGACGATTGGTCCCGATCTCCGCGGTGGCCAGAGCTCGCGCATGTACCCGGTACCTCGGTCGGGCTGCCCGTTTCCTGGTGCTGCCTGCCCTCCACCGCGACTGCCACAACTGGCTGCACGCCACCGGCAGTAGCGGGTACTTGCCCCTCCAAATCTGGGGAGCTTCAAAATTTTGACGACGGCCCCCTCCGACAAGATCTCGCCACTGGCCAAGCAGCAAAAGACTGGCCAAGCAGCGAAAGCATCCGAGGTCTGCAAAGCGCATGCAACACGACGCGCCAGGATAGCGCCCAGCAGGTTCTAGACGGCGCACATCGGACCACTGCACCGCCAGTTGCTGTCCTGTGAGAGGTGACGACATCGCCGGAACAATATCAACACGAGAGCGACACTTGCGAGACTCGATCAGCTGCGCCGGTCGACGCGGGCCTTGCCACCCCAGCCAGCGTCGCAGCCGCTATGCGAAACCTGCGCAACATCCGTCACGACCTGTCCAGGGCCGAGTCGGACATCAGCGCGGCCTGTTGGGATGCCGGAGCCGACGAGGTCCTGGTCACGTTTGGGCCGACCGAGGCAGAGGCCAGGATAACGCTCGCGAGGATCGTGAACCAGCCCGGCTCAGCGACCTTGTAGGTGCCATACCTGCGCTTTACAGGCCGGTGAAGGAAGGGGATTCTGTATATAGTGCTGACGGGAACGCTGCCGAAGGGAATACACCCAGATAGCCTCGTGGGATGCTCCGAGTCCAACCCCTGACCTTCTGGTAGACCGTGTCGTAAACCTCCACTACTTCAGTGATATCTCCACAACCTGTCTCGTACTGGCCGGCGGAGATGTCGTGATCGTTCGGGAGGACCGATCCGGAGGTGATGGTGCCACGCATATCGAGATCGTCGGGTCCATCGACGCTGGTATTGCGGCGGCCCGGTGGTCGTACGACGACGAGCTGCTAGTCCTCGCGACGAATGCGGCCACAGTCATCTTTATGAGCCGCAGCTTCGACCCCGTAACCGAGGTGACCCTGACTGCCGAGGATCTCAAGGCGTCCAAGCACGTCTCGGTCGGCTGGGGCAAAAAGGAGACGCAGTTCCAAGGCAAGGGAGCCAAGGCCCTGCGCGATCCTACCATCCCAGAGAAGGTCGACCAGGGCACGCCAAGCCCGCTCGAGGACGGCCGCACCACCATCAGCTGGAGGGAGGACGGCGCATACGTGGCCATAAATAGCGTCGAGCCCGGCTCGCGCAGGGTTATCCGAGTCTACACGCGAGAGGGTGCGCTCGACAGTGCCAGCGAGCCCGTAGATGGCTTAGAGGGCAGTCTCAGCTGGAGGCCGTCTGGGAATCTGATGGCTGGCATTCAGCGACTGAGCGATCGCATCGATGTCGTTTTCTTTGAGAGGAACGGCCTGAGGCATGGCCAGTTCACCCTTCGGCTTCCGTCCCTTTCGACCACAGACGTACCGATACATCTCGGGTGGAACCCTGATTCCACCGTCCTGGCCGTGAGGATTGCCGGTGTTGTCCAGCTGTGGACAATGGGCAACTACCACTGGTATCTGAAGCAGGAACTGCGGTCTGGCTCACCCTGTTCAGACCTGGCTTGGCATCCCGAAAAACCACTTCGACTTGCAGTGGCTGCAGCGCGTAAGTGATATTTCCAGAGACTCATACATGCTTTCCATCTTTCACCTCCATTTATCCTTGTCCTAACATAACCTTGGTACAGGCGACCTTGTACAAACGGAATGGGTCTTTCATACGTCCAAGGGCTCCGTGGTTGCTCCACACGACTTTGGCGCAGTGGCGGTGATAGACGGCAAGACGCTGAAGCTGACGCCCTTTCGCACTGTCAACATGCCGCCACCCATGGCCATGTTCGAGCTCTCGGCAGCAGAAAGCATAGTTGACGTTGCTTTCACCCCCGACAACTCACACATGGCCGTGCTACACCACCATGGTGTAGACACCTATGAGTGGCAGATCAAGGCTGGTCGGTCACTGGCGCCTATAAAGGCAGCTTCTGCTACTATTCGCAGTGATGCGGAAACAGAGGACATATCTTTCCTTCAAGTCGCCTTCTCGAGTCCCCAAGAATTCTATGTTCTTGGTTCCAAGCAAGGGTCCCCGAGTATCTACACATACGCGCTGGCTAGCGGAGCCGCTAAGCTACTAGCCACCCAGGATGCTGTCCTCATTTCAAGCATACTCGGCTCTGCAAATGTCTCCTCAGGATCCATCTATGCCCAGGATCGTACAGGAAAGCTTCTAGAAGTCTCGGATGAAGGACAAAAGTCACTTCCTTCAAGATTCGTGACGCACCTGCCGTGGGCTGAGATCCCCAAGCAAGGCGATAGCGAGTCCCTCGCCATCGGCCTGTCCCGGCGCGGACATCTATACGTAAACACGCGCCAGTTGGCGAAGAACTGTACATCATTCCTCGTCACGGATGATCATCTTATCTTCACAACCACCAACCATCTGTTAAAACTGGTCCATTTAGCCGGCGTCCATGGTAAGTGTGGACTAGGCCTTGCCTGGAACCCAAGCCTGGGACTGTTTCAATATTGACTGGCCTACAGTAGCAGATCTTGAGGTGCCGGCGGACGATCCCGAGACCGACGAGCGGTGCCGAAGCCTCGAGCGTGGTGCAAGGCTTGTCACGGCCGTGCCCAGCAACATGAATGTTATCCTGCAGATGCCGCGGGGAAATCTAGAGACTATCTATCCCCGTGCCATGGTTGTGGCTGGCATACGGCAGCTCATTGACGACAAGAACTACTCGCGGGCGTTTGCGTACTGCCGAACGCAGCGAGTCGATATGAACATCCTTTACGATCATCAGCCCGAACAGTTCCTATCACACGTTGGTCTGTTTCTAGAGCAGCTGGGAGATACCAGCTACATTGATCTGTTCCTTTCATCTTTGAGGTATTTTCAACGTCCTATTCAGGCAGCTCGGCAAGGGATACAGTCTATCCATTCGATAGCTTTGCTAACATGTCCGTTCATAGAGCGGAGGATGTCACGCAGACTATGTACAAGGACACAAAGAGGCCCAAGAGCTCTGCTCCTGCATTTCAAAGCGGCGCAGCAGAGGCCCCTGAGTTGGAAGCCAAACGGTCAAAGGTAAACACAGTCTGTGATGCTGTGCTGGCTGCACTTCAAGCTGGCAAGACATCAAATCTGCAGAACATCATCACGGCGAACGTCTGCAAAGATCCGCCTGCGCTAGGCGACGGTCTTTTGGTTGTTGCTGGCCTTATGAAGGAAGACGAGGCGCTGGCTGAGAAGGCGGTTGAGCACATATGTTTTCTGGTCGACGTCAACAGGCTCTACGACACGGCGCTTAGTCTGTACAACCTCGAACTGGCACTTTTGGTGGCTCAACAGTCCCAAAGGGATCCGAAGGAATACCTACCCTTCATCCAGAGCTTGCACCAGATGCCAGAGCTGCGGCGCCAGTTCACTATAGACGACCATCTTGGAAACCGAGAGAAGGCGCTTGGCCACCTCAAGTCCGGCGGCGAATTTGAGGCGGCCACGGACTACACGGTCAAACACACCCTCTACCAAGCGGCTCTGGGCCTGTACCGGTACGAGGAGGAGCAATCTCGCGCGCTCATGGCGCTGTATGCCCAGCACCTCGAGAACAAGTCCAAATTCCGCGAGGCCGGGTTGGCGTACGAGCACTTGGGCAACTTCGCCCAGGCGACGAGCTGCTACCGCTCAGCCGGCACGTCGAGCTGGCGCGAGTGCCTGGCGGCGGCGCACCAGCAGCGCGGCCCGGCCCCGGTCTCCAAGGAGGCGCTGGCCGAGCTGGCGACGGCGCTGGCCGACGCGCTGGCCGAGGCCAAGGACTACGCCGCCGCCGCCGCCATCCACCTCGAGTACCTGCACGACGCCGAGGCGGCGGTGCAGTACCTGTGCAAGGGCCACCTGTTCGCCGAGGCGCTCCTCCTCAACGCGCGCTCGGGCGGCTCGCTCGACGTGGACCGCGGGCTCACCGACGCCTTCGCGGCCTCGACGGAGCTGCTGGCTGACTGCAAGGCGCAGCTCCGGGCGCAGGTGCCACGAATCCTAGAGCTGCGGCGCAAGGCGGCCGAGGACCCGCTCGGCTTCTACGAGGGCGAGCGCGCCGGGGGAGGCGGTGACGTGCCCGACGACGTGTCGGTGGCGGCCTCGTCGCGCCTCAGCACCAGCGCCAGCCTCTTCACGCGCTACACGGGCAAGGACGGCGCCGGCGGCAGCGTCGGCACGGCGGGCACGGGCGTCAGCCGCGCCACAAGCAAGAACCGCCGGCGCGAGGAGAAGAAGCGCGCGCGCGGCCGCAAGGGCACCGTCTACGAGGAGGAGTACCTCGTCAACAGCGTCCGGCGGCTCGTCGAGCGCGTCTCGTCGGCGGAGGCCGACGGCGTCGCGGCTCTCGCGGCCGCCCTGTTCCGCAGGGGCATGCAGGAGCAGGCCAGGGCCGTCGAGGCGCTGCTGGCAGAGGTGCTCGAGGGCTGCCGCGTGGCCGCCGCGCAGGTCTGGCCGCCCGTGGTGGTGGGTGGCGGGCAGCAGCCTGCCAGTGCGCAGGCTCCTACTGCTACTGCAGCGGCGCCGGCTACGGGGGCCGAGGGGGTGATGGAGGCTTCGTTGGAGGCCATGGCTACCAGGCAGGAGCCGCCCGTGATTCCGGACATTAAGAAGCTATCTCTGCTCGGCTGATTTGAACCCGGATTTGGTTCAGAGGTGTTCAGGGACATGTTTCACTGGGAGAAAATGATACGAAAGAAAAGAGGACATAGAGCAAATGCTTCGTGGCTTTTGTTTTGTTTTGGGTACCCTCTATACACAATCGGAACGTCGTGACGCGGTAGTTTTTTGAGTATTGTTTTTACAACATTATGTACAGCAACCCAGCGCAGACAACGCCTATGACGGGGGCGGTTGGCTCGCGGCCGGCAGGTCCGCGGGGAGGGGCGCGGCGACGTCCTGGAAGTGCTCGGCCGCGGCCGCGGCCCTGGTCCTGTTCCTCTCCATGACCTCGCCGATCTTCTCCAGCATGGCCTCGGTCAGCACAGGCGGGGGCGTGGCGGCCCTGCGCTCGCGCTGGACCCGGTTGTACTCCTGGATCGGGGTGAGCATGGTGTCGGCCAGGCCGGCGGCGCGCGCCTTCTTGGCGTCGACCTCGGCCTGCTTCGCGGCCACGTACTCGTCCGTGTGCCTGGTCCTGAACTTGGAGAAGCGGTTCCGCAGCTCGTCGACGACGGCGGCGGGCATGGGCGGGGCCGAGAGGGTGGGCACGTAGGTGCGCTTCTCGACCTCGATGCGGAGCGTGTCAGACGGCTGGTCCTCGTGCTCCTCGCGCGCGCGCTCGGGCCAGGGGATGAGCACGTTGAGGCCGGGCACCATGCGGTTCCACTCGCGGCGGCCCGTGGGGCGGTCGTAGACGCGGTCGCGAGCGACAAGCTCGCGGATGACGACGTCGCGCGTCTCGCCCGTCTCCGGGTCGCGCATCGGGTGCACGAGGCGGACGGCCGAGACGGGGAGGCTGGAGTGGTAGGGCGCGGTGCTGTTCCCGTTGGCCTTGTGGCGGAGGAACTCGGGGATTTGAACGTTGACCTGTTGTGGAAGAAGAAAAAAAGGGGTTTGTTAGTTTTTGATATTCATGTTTTCCAAGAGCAACGGATAAAGCCAGAAAGGAAAAACGCACAATTCCAATGCCCTCAATCTTGAGCGTGCCCATACTCTCATCGACGCTCTCCACCTTGCCGATGTCGCCCTTGTTGGGACCGTCCATGACGAAGACGCGGTCGCCGGGCACGACCGAGGGGTACCTGCGGCCGCCGGCCCAGGCCCAGCGCTCCTCGAGCTGCCAGTCGAGCGGCTTGAAGGTGAGGTTGGCAGCCTCGCGGTCGATGCTGCCCCACGACGGCAGCGACAGCTTCTTGCCGCTCGTGCGGGCCCGCCCCTCGTGGTACAGCGGCTTCCGGGCGCGCGGCAGCGAGGCGGCGGCGTGGGCCTCGCCGACGTCGCGGCGCGGGGCCAGGGGGCCCAGGTGCCAGTCCTCGCGCCGCGCCACGCGCGCCATGGCCAGCCGGTACGACGCCTCCTCACGCAGCTCTCGCGGCGGGTACCGCGGTGGCCGCTCGTCGACCTTTGCGCGGCGGGCCAGGCGGCGGGCCACCTGGCGCTCGGCCATGGCCGTCCGGCGCGCGAGCATTTCCATTTTGTGGGATTTCTGTCTTTTTCCTCTTTCCTTTCCCCCCTCTTTCGTTCCTTCGGTCTTCAACACCCTCCTCCTATTTTCCAGTGTTTCGTCGTCGCAGGCGGGGGGTGAGGGTGGCTGCTCGGTGGATACGGCGTGAAGCTCCCCTCACTCAGCCCGTCTTCGAGGTCGTCTCCTCCACCATCGCAATCACAGGATTTCGACAAGGCTTGAATTCTTCCTCCTCCGTCCAAAGCGGGTCCTTCCGCTGTGCCGTTGCAGTGGCCAATTGGGTCAGGGCCAGTGGGGCCTTGGTTTTAAGGACCTGTGTGGACCGTGCGTAACGATGGAGAGCCCACGCGAGAGCACGTGCCCTCGGCTTTTATCCGCGTTCCCCGATGCAGCGCATAAAAGATTGGCAGGCCCCCAGCGGGCCCGTGGGAAGGATTGGTGGTTGCTGCTCCTCATTCCAGGAAGCTTTGCTCCTTTGGACGCAAGGTCGCTGCGTGGGATGTTGCTGACCGCCTTTGCCTTTGGAGCGGCAAACGAGGCTACGGCAAAGTACGTGCGGGATAGTATTCACCGAGTACAACCCGGGCTAGCCGAAATGACCAGAGATCAAAAGATAAAAAACCAAGGATAGAAAACGGGCGGTAGCCGCACCGCAAACACCGACCCGGGCGGGCGACTGCATGAGTCGGCATGGACAGGGCTGACTGGCAGCCATGGCATAAACCATCAATGGCGTGTGGTCCTCAATCAGCAGCCAGGTGTATCAAAGAAACGCGATGGACCTCAAGACTTTGAGACCTCCCAACAGAGGCCAGGCGACCAACCCCAGCCGGCCGGCCGTCGGGTCAAGAGGCAAGGGAAAAAGCCCAAAAGCAAATCGTTCCAATGTGCCGTCCGCCGCTGCAGCGCCAAGCCCCTGGGAGGGCGGAAAGTCCTATCATGGCGTCAGGGCCCTGCCAGACGGTACGTACCAGCCCAGCCGGATCTAGGACTTTGGCTACTCTGCTTTGGTGCACAACCCGAACGCACACACTGGCCAATTGACGGCACTAGCAGTTCGGGCCACGGGACCTGGAAGGGGGAGACAATTCGTATCGGCCGCCATTGCTGGGGTCCGACCCTTTTTCTCCATCCATCAACATGCCCGTTTCGACCGATTGCCACGCGTTCTCTGGTTGGCGGCCGCCCTCCTGCCCTTGTGCTGATATTGCCATGTTACCCTGGCCCGGTAGTCTGTGGGAGAGGTTCCATGGTTTGGCGAGCTGGTCTCTCCGCCTGGCGCGAGGCGCTTACTTGCTTTGTATCTGTATATCTGTATCTTGTGAATATCATGTGCAAAAGCAAGCAAACGCACACCCAGGTACATGCCATGCCGCCGGGCCAGAAGCTGCCGATCCCATCTGGCTGTAAAATAAGGGGGCCCATGCGAGGGAAGCAGCAGGACAGGACCACCAGGCTAGCGAGCTAAACAGACAGGCCGCATGCTGGCCGAGCCTCCCCAAGCTTCCTCCTCGGGCCGCCTGGAGTTGTGCAAACGAGGCAGGCTGGCGACGGGCGCTAGAGAGTGCTTGTGCTGTCAGCCCGAGGCAGCACATCACTACTCCAATGGCACCAAGCCAGCTTCGTGCCACTAGTGCTGGCTGTCCCACTGCCATCTAGTCACCCAGTCTGCCTAGAAGCGGCGTGCGGTCCTGAGAGACTCCGCTAGGACCTCTATGAAAACAAAAACAGGCTAGGAGGCTGTGCTGCAGCGGGCTACAGGAAAGGACAGGACCCCCAACCCGCACGGCTTTTGGTGACTGCGCTTGCCCTGCACAGTCGGCCTGAGCCTGTAATCAATGGCCAATCCCTGGTTGGGGCCAATGTTGGGGTCGGTGTTTCCAGCGCTTTGTCCAGTGGCATCAGCCCGCTGTCAGCCCCCTGGACTGGTGGTCTGGTTGTTGCTGGCAACAGTTTCCCCCCCACTCCGCTGGCCAACCGGCGCCTCTGAGTGGCTGCGACCCGGTTGGATGCCTCAGGAAATCCCAAGAAACCAGAAACCCAGGAACCCCATTGCCCCAGCAGCCAGCCCAAGCCCGGCAGCCAGCCCGTCAATCAGTTGCTGCTTCTACGCCCCCCCAGCCAGCGGCCAAAAGAAGCCCGGACCAGGCCAGGACCCAAATCTTTGTCACCCTTCGCTTCCAGCTAACTTCCCCTTCCCTTTCCAGTCCCAGTTCCAGTCCTTCCCAACGTCAATCCAGACAGAGCCACCCCAATCGGCCCTGTCTCTTCCTCCTCTTTCTTCAGCAAACCACCGTGCATCATCCCGGCCTGGCTATTTAATTCCACGGCCGCTTTTTTCTGCACACGTCTTTCTGCCCTCCCCCATCTCCTCTAGCAAGAGGTCGCGCGTCGCCGTTGTCTAGAGCAGAAAACCAGCCGCAAACAGATCTCGCCGTCAACAAAGCAAAACGCCCATCCTCAACCATGGCTGAGATTCGCCGCAAGCTTGTCATCGTCGGTGACGGTGCCTGCGGTAAAACCTGTTTGTTGATGTAGGTTTACCTATTCGCATCTGCCCTCGCTCGCCTGCCCTTCCACCCAGCCATCCCCTTTCCATCATCCCGCGCCGAGTCAACAAGACGACCGACGCCGACATGGCCTCGTCTCTGGCGTGCACCACCACCCCCAACCCCAAGCAGGAAACACTTCAAGTCATGGTCAATCGGCCGCGACGAGACGACACTTTCAACGGCGGTCGGCCTGCTACATGACACAATCCTTCCATCCACCGAACAACCCTGGGAGCCAAGTCACAGTGCCACCAGCTTCAGCTCTAGTCTCATGCTAACTAATTCGCTTCTTGCAGTGTCTTCTCCAAGGGCACTTTCCCTGAGGTACGATTTGATGCCGCTGCGAGCCAGCCCGGCTGCTTTCCCCTTCGTTGAATCTGCTCGGTTCATTTCCTCGTCGTCATCGGTTCCGAAACACGTTGCGATTGGCCCCTGCTTCCTGCCAAGGCCGACGTGGCTGGCTCCCCCCGACCGTACCACATGCCGCCGAAGCGTTCGAATGCCTCCTTGTCTGCCATGATGTTTGCGTCATGCGACGATGTGTTTGGCCGAGACGCGGAGATGGCATCGACTACGAGGCGATTGACACGTCGTCACGTCCAGTTGCCCTAAGGAAATACCCCAAACTCTAACGCGTTGAATCACACAGGTCTACGTCCCTACCGTCTTCGAGAACTATGTCGCCGACGTCGAGGTCGATGGCAAGCACGTCGAGCTGGCGCTATGGGATACGGCTGGACAGGAGGATTACGACCGTCTGCGCCCTCTCTCGTACCCCGACTCTCACGTCATCCTGATCTGCTTCGCTGTCGACTCGCCCGACTCGCTGGACAACGTTCAGGAGAAGGTTAGTCTCTCACCCCAGATTCCGTGAGAATGAAGCGTCCTTTGCTAACCATGTGCCCGGCACCTGCTTTCCAGTGGATCTCCGAGGTCCTGCACTTCTGCTCCGGCTTGCCCATCATCCTTGTTGGATGCAAGAAGGATCTCCGCTACGACCAGAAGACGATTGAGGAGCTCCGTAAGACGAGCCAGAAGCCCGTCTCGCCTGAGGATGTATGTTTACCCACGACAATATCTGCTCACAGTGACACATGGCCTTGAAGCGACGACTAACCACATGTTGTTGCACCACAGGGCGAGGAGATTAAGAAGAAGATCGGCGCGTACAAGTACCTTGAGTGCTCGGCCAAGACCAACGAGGGAGTCCGCGAGGTGTTTGAGCACGCTACACGAGCGGCCCTGCTGTCCCGCGGCAAGGCCAAGAAGAAGAAGTGCCTGATCCTCTAAGCGAGCTTGGTTCCTAGCAACACCCTGATCGCCCCTAATCCCTGCGTCGAATCCTTGTTCCTCTTTTGCGAAAGGCCCCTCCGCCGTTTGTATGATATCCCCGAAATCTATCACCAGGTTAGCACACGCCATGCTCTGAGCCATCGATTTTTCTCTCTGCCGTTAGAATTTCCGACGCAACCGACGGACCCGGGGAAGCATGCGATGGTCCTCGGAGGGGTCCAAAGGTTCTGGTGGAGTTACGGCTCAGTTAGTCTTGTTTCCCGTTGTTTCTCCTTGTTTCTTTTTCTCGACACTTCCGACTGGAGTTCTACCTGTTCTTTGTTTTCTATCCTTGACAAGCTCCGAACCCGCTTGGCCTGCGTCATTGCTCCAAGTCGTGCCGCACGGGACGAGGCATGGACAGGGTATGGGTCGGGGTTCCTCCAGCACCGCGTCGTGCAGGCTTGGGGGATATACACTTTCATAATCTCCCTTTGATTACGGCAAGGCAGCACAAATCTTTCTCGCATCTAAACGAGGGCGAGCCCTGGGTCAGAAGACAGACGATGGAGACCAGGGAGAGACGGGTGGCGGAAGAAGATGGGAGGGTAGGCGGGCCAGGACACCAGAGTGGAAAGGCAGCAAGAGGTTAAACTCGCAACTGCTATGGACTCTTTTCTCCCGAGTGACCGAACTACAACACTGTCGAATGGGAAGTAACTCGGGAAAGCCTGGCCTGGCTTGGGGGAGAGTCGTTGTCAATGTTTTGTTTTCGGAAGCTGGGTCGAGCCGCTGAGAAGTGACTAACCCAACTTTTCCAGGCGGAGCATTTTTATATCATAACTTGCGTTTCTTTTTTCTTTTTTTCCGCACTCTTGTTTGCCCCCCTGATATCCGTCTGATGTACCTGGTTTTACCCCTAATTCTTGTTCGATGTCCCCTTTAAGTTATATCATGCATCGTTTGGCCTCGCATGCTCATCTCGTGATGATTCTTATGGTGTAGACTTGGTCAGGGTCAACTGCTGTGTGTCTTGTCTCTGCCAGCTTTCCGGCTTGTCGTGACATGACCGAGATGATAGGATGATCACGGTACAGGCAGGCAGTTGGTCTGGTAAGCATTTGCGGCCTTGGACAAGGTGAGGTGGGAGCGAGGCAAGAGAGTGCCGAGTCGAGAGCATGATTCTTCTCATTTCACACCAGACAACACGCCTATCGTCGCCGCCAAGAGAAGCTAGTCCGTGAGATAGCTCGGCCCGCGCATCTTGATGGTTCCTCTATTGAGCCTGCTCCTGTTTCCGAGATTGGCCCAAGTGGGTGGTGGTGCCTTTGCTTCTGCCGATTCCCCCCGCCCCCATGTGATAGATATTTCCTCGGCGGCCCCGGCTTTGGCCCGTCCCCTTTGCTTAGTTGGGGCAGCTCTGCTCGTAAAAACACGGAGCGAAAGGAGGGTTCGGGCACAGTCAGCAAACAGAACAGTTCCCGTCTCATCCGAACCAAGGTTGGGAAAGCATCGAGCAGAGGTGGGGGAAAGGAGGTATCGGAAGGGCGAGTGAGAACGCAGGCACGAGACGAGGCGGGTGAGGGGGATGGAGGGGGATGGATGATGAACTTACAGCTCCGCAGGAGCCGCACGTCTTGGACCCGTCGCCCGAGGCGGCACCGCACTTGGGGCAGGAAGAGCCGTGCATGTTGTTGGACAGAAGATTTGTGGTGGGTGTTTTTCTTTTGGTGGGAGAGGCTTTTTGACAGAGTTCTTTGTTCGCTTGGCTTGAGAACAGAAGAGAAGAGGTGGGACGATGCGGGGTCCCACGACGAAGTTCTCCCGCGGAAGCTTTAAATACCCGTTTTTTTGGATTCCTTGGGGGTCCCTCCTTCCTTCCTTTGTTACTTCCCACCACCACTAACAAGCGTCTCTTCAGGTGGCTCCCCCTCCCTCTTTGCAGGATGGGTGCACGAGACGTCCTGCAATAAACCTAACGAGAGAGGGGTGTGAGCTAAAAGGCGTGGGGAGCGGGGATGGACGGCCGGCCGGTCCTTGTGCGTTACACATCAGGGTCGTTGTTGCGGCCTATGGTATCCCAAGTATGTACCTACGATACCTAGGCAACCCAGCCAAGGTTGCATGCCATGGATCTATCTGTTCCCGCCCGCACGCCTGACCATGTCTTGCCTGGGCTGTGGACGAAGCAATGAGACAGACTCCCGCCGGAGACATACCGACCTACCACCTACCTCACAGGGCCCCTCCTTGCCCACCTACCCTACCCTGACCTATCTGGCCTCGCCCAATCCGGGCGCGTCCGTTTCCAATAAACTCGGGGCTGTTCTCATATCCACTGGGGGAAAGCGGGCGAGAGCTTGTCATGCGCATGCCTGCCTGCCTATGTATACTAACTAGCAGGTGTGGGGGGCATAAAGTGCCCTGTTTCTTAGGGTCGGTCTTCATAAATGGAAACTTTCATGTTGCGCGTCTTCGCCTCTTCTGCTTTCATTTACCTAACATGTATAAACAAGTCCATAACGCATTGCACGACAAAAGGGGAAAAAAAAAAAAAGGGACACCCCTCGCCGCGATATATCTGCTCTCGTCGGCCCTCATCGTGGGTAGTAGCGGGGGGAGCAGGCATGGCGGTCCAGGCCGGGGGCGCGTCGTCATAGGTCATGTCATACGACTCGACGGTGGGAAGCTTTTGCAACGCATAATCGCGGCTCTGTGATAGGTGGACAGCCTCTGCACAGCACCCTTTTTCTTTGTGAATCTCCCCCCCGCACTCACCCACCTACCCACCCATACAGATCAGATACGTACCCCTCCAGCCCGCCGCCTCGCCTCGTCCCTTGTGATGCACGGCATGGCCTTGGCTGAACCCAGGCGGGCGGTGGTCGCTGGTGGTGTGTTTTATGTAGGACCCTGCTTTGCCTGCCGCCGTAAATCGTCCACATGACGTTGCGCGTCGGGCTCCCTGTAGTGACTGCCAGCTCGCTGCCTTGCTTGTTTGTCCATTGAGCAGCTGTCTAGAAGACGAAGAAGCGAGCAAATTCCACCTTTGGTTGGATTCAAAAGATCAAGATGAACGCCTTAGACCATACAGAGATTCATTCGCCTTGTCTTTTTGTGCTTTGAAACTCCTCCAGCCCAGTCTATTTCTGTCTTGCCGCTCTCTCCATGCTACCCCCATCAAAACACCTCGCAAAATAGCAATCCGGGAAACAAAAGGCCGAGGATACCGGTAAGAAAAAAATCATATAAAAATAAACAAAAATAAGGAATGATGATGCCGCAGATCGCCCGTCATTACACAGTATTGTAGGGTTTACATGGGAAAACACGATGCGCTTGTTCTACATGCATTTCGCATGGCCTCCTTCGCCTGTGGGAAGAGAGAGCAAAGGTGTTGGTTAGCAAAGGGGTATAAAGGTGGCGCAAAATAACGAGATGAAAAAAAAAAAAAAACGCCCAGAAACTCACCACTGATAATCTTGCCCACGGCCTGCACCAGGCTGATGGCCATGACGGCGCACCCAAACACCACGACGGCCATGGCCACGTAGGTGCGCCAGCTGCGCGTCGCGAGCTTGATGTAGCACAGCGGCGGCAGGATGTAGGCCATGGCGCAGGCCGAGGTGCTGCCGACGAGCTCAAAGATGACGCCCAGGTCGCAAGTCAGCAGGCTCAGTACCATGGCCGACACGACCAGCCCCGTGCTCAGGGCCAGGTGCAGGCGCAGGCTGAAGCCCGGCAGGGTCGGCCAAAAGTAGTTCATCATGACCTCGCGGCACACGAACGCCTCGAGAGGCAGCGTCGTCAGCATGTTGAGGCCGAAGCAGAGGCGCGCGACCGTGGCCATGGTGTTGTCCGAGGGGAAGTTGTTGAGCACGTTGCCGAGGGTGCGGTCGCCAAAGGTGAGGAAGCCGGCTAGGGCGAGGACGAGGCAGGCCAGCATGGAGACGCCCGTCGAGTAGTGCGTCACGCGCGAGAAGCGGTCGATGGTGGGGGTCTTGAGGGAGCCGTAGATGAGGAGGGAGTTGTGGTGGCAGACAAAGGCTGTTGTGTTGTTCTTCTCGTTAGCTCCTGTTCGGCACAACATGACAAATGGGGCAATGTCAGACATACCAAAAGATATCACGCCAATGGCCTGCGAGATGCCCGAGTTGACCGTGAGCAGCGGCGTGGTGAATGACCCCCTGAACTCGGGCGGCGTCAGCGCGCCCTGCACCACGACGGTGAGGACGATGACGGCCATGCTGACGAGCGCGAGCGTGCTCGCCTTTGCCAGCTTGGAGATGTCGCGGTAGAGCGAGAGCGGGTAGCTGACGCCCATGGTGAAGATGACGATGACGACGCGGCGGTCCGCCAGCACGCCAAACATGGGGTACTCGGGCAGGTTGGGCCAGATGGCCAGCAGCACGTGCGGGATGCTGTCGCCGACAATGACCCCAAACGCCACCATGCCGCCGAACGCGAAGGCCCACTGGGCCAGGCTGATGGCCACCAGGCCGGTGCGGCCGAAGCAGCGCTCGACGGTGCCCTGGAAGCTGTTTGCGCCCGACAGCTTGCTGTTGATGACGATGAGGCAGATGGTCCAGTCCACCACTATCGTGAGCACCACCAGCAGCACCACGCCCGCCAGCAGGCCCGCCTGCTTGAAGGCGTACGGCTGCCCGATGATGCCCGCGCCGATGATGCTGTTGGCCATGTTCATAAAGGCCGACTGCAGCGAGCTCTTGGGCCGGCCGTCGTGTGGGTGTTCTCCGACGTCGGCATCGTCGTCATGGTCGTCGTCGCCTTCGGTCGTCCACACGCCATCCGACGACGCGCGCCGCTGCCGCTGCCGCTCGCGACCCCACGAGCGGCCGCTGTTGGCGAGCGCGACGGCGGGGGCCTCGATCTCGGTCAGCAGCAGCCGGCGCTGCTCCTCGCCCGGCGCGTTCTCGGGCTCCGAGTCGACGTCGAAGCTGTCCATGCTGTCCATGCTGTCGCGCGACGAAGGGGAGATGAGCGGGAACTGGAGCCCGGGCGAGGGGCGGCGCGCCTGTTGCTGCTGCTGGGCAAAGATGGGGGCGTCGTCGACGACGGTAGGGGTCAGGTCGAAGCGCACGCGGTTCGGGGTGCGCGGGCCCGACGACAGGCCCGGCGAGTGCAGCGCCGGGCGTGGCGACAGGCTCTGCGGCCGATGCTTCCGGCGGCCCCCCAGGCGGCTCGCGGGCGGGGCGTCTGCTATGTGGGGGTTGAGGGAGCCGGGGCTGCGGCCGTCGGCGTCTGCGTCGTCGTCCCGGTGGTCGGTCGGGACGGCCAGGAGGCCCGTGTCTTCGTTGTCGTCGTCGTCGTCGGCATGCTGGGCGTTGGTTCCTCGAGCAGCTTCTGAGCGGTGGGATTTGGCCTTGGCCATTGGGGCTCGCGATTCCTCACCTGCTCATCTTGCGGCGCAGGGCGTTGGGGGTGGAGGGGAGGGAGCAGGCCGTCGCTCGCTGGGGCGCTTTGGTTTTGGGGTCAAGTGCTGGGTTTGTGCTTCTGTGTCGTGTGTTCTATGCTGTATACAGGTGTATACAGGTGTAACGGCGTTTCGCATCTGCTGTCCGTTTTCCGTGGCCGCAAACTGTCAAAACCGCTGGTCCCGTCGCGAAAAAAAGGGGTCCGGACCAGGAGACGCCCCTGCTGTCCAGGCGGGTCTCGGCCGCGATTAGATAAGGAAACGGGGCTAGCTCCGCCATAAAGCGTTAAGCTCGCTTGCCCCTGCGTCCGACTTACAGAAGACTCTCGCATTCGTATTGGAAGAGAAATGAAAACGGCTGCTATGAAATAGCGGCTGTATATTTAAATCTCGACTTTCCCGAATCAAGTCGAGGCGAGATTAGTGGGGTTCCAGGGTCCTTTCCGACCCTACGACGGGGCTATAAAACCGGACTTCACATATCTCGCACCAGCCCAAGTCCAGAAACTTAAACACGCACCCGGCGACCATACCCCCTGCGGTACCCCGGGCCACACCCCACGAACGGCAGCCTGTGTCCCCGGCAAGCTGCTTTGTGTTGCTGACCGCCATGTGGTATCGGCCGTTATCGAACGCGTAGACATATGCCCCATCTAGTAACCCCGTTTTGCCGAATTGGGCTGGGAACTTATGCCTTGGCCCAGACTAGGCCCGCCGGACAGAAGGCTTGAACCAAACGGGAACGTTTCTGTTGTATGAGCTGGAGGTGTTCTGGCACGGCTCAACCTGCACGATCGGTAGCGGGAGCTGGCAAACACATCAACACTGAAAGAGAGCTTTCTTTGTTGGTGTCGACATGATCCTAGCCCGCGACGGGGAAGCCCGGCTCGGGATGCCAGCCCGTTCAGCAAGTTGCCAAATCTTGCCTCTGGGTTAGTTGACGATGGTACCCTTCTTTTTTCATCTAGTCCGTCCAAAGACTTGCACCGGGCTCGGTAGTCGGGGAGGAAGACTATTACACCCGACACTGGCTGTACCGCAGCCTCGGTTGTCTCATGGAACCTGAGCCTTACTCCCGGACAGCCGGCTTTCCCGACGTTGAATGACACGGCTGCTGACCTCTGAGGTCCACCACCAAGAAAAAAGATGGCAGATTCACAATATGGCGGACGACAGACATGCGTATTCTTTACCCCCAACTCAGAGGCAACCACCATCAAATTACCGACCATATGGGCCCATTCGTGTGCGCATACATGTCCAAGTTTCCCCCGTCCTCCTCCGCCCCCGCATGGGTATCATGTGTTTCTACAGGTAGCTATCGTACAAATCGAATATCCAAGACACATCGCATAACAACTGGCGGGGTTTCCTTCTTGTTCAAGCTAGATTTTGTTCTAGCACCACAAGGAACGTCGCCGTTGCTGCCTGTACCCGTCTCCACGGCTCCTGATGGATATCATGCGCAAAACAACAGGGCTACCGACGTTGCGAGCACACACGCCACGGCCACGACGTATCCACCCACGCGCGTGCGGCCAGCGGCAGCAGAAGACGTCTCCTTGCCGGGAGTGGGCGACGACCCGGCCGCCTGCGAGTTCTGCCCACCTGTCTGCCCACCACCGGGCGTCGGGCCGGGGTTCGTCGGCGGCAGGAGCGTAAAGGGTGACGAGGACGTCGACGACGACGGTGGGCGGCTCAGCGTGCTGCCGCCGCCGCCCGTCGAGGAGCTACCGCTCCCGCTGCTGCTGGCTGGCGTCGTCGTCGTCGTGGCGGCGCCCTGGGCCGGCGTCGGCACGGGCGGGCGGGTGGCGAAGCCGATGCGGGTCCGGTCCACGTCGAAGACGGCGTAGACGTTCTTGAGGAACACGTCGCCCAGGAGCCAGGCGCCGCGGACGACCTCGATGCCGTAGACGTTGCTGACGCACTCGCCGTTGGCGTTTGGCCCCGACAGCCAGTCGCGCGTCTGGATGGCGTAGGCGACGCCGCCGAACGATATCGTCAGCGTCTTGGTCGAGTCGCAGGGCGCCGTGTACGTGGTGCCGCCGCCGTTGGCGTCGAGCTTGGCGCCGGGAATGGACTTGTGGAACGTGGCCACGTCGGCGGCGGGGCCGAAGATGTAGGTCGTGCCCGTGTCGATGTAGGCTAGCCGGCCCGTCACACCCGCCTTCTTGCCGTCGTAGGCGAGGTCGTCCATCGGGATTGCCCAGTCGCCGTTGGCCTTGTCCGACACGGGCGTGTACGACAGCGCGCCCGTGTACTTGGCTGGGTTTGTGCCGCCGAAGCTGACCTCGCCCGTGTTGGGCCCGTCGGCGTTGCGGTTCACAAAGACGCCAAACGTGTTGGCCTTGAACGTCTTCTCCCTCTTGAACACCTGCAGCAGGTTCTCCGTCGCCCCCTTGTTCATAGACATGCCCAGGATGCCGTCGAACGGGAAGTGGTTGAAGTCGTTGGACGTCACGTTCGCCACACCAAAGGACATGGTCACCTTCTTCCCGGCGATGGCAACCGTGTCCGTCGAGATGACTCCCACGACAGACCCGGTCCCATAGGCTATCGAGAAGCTCTGCGAGGTGGCCTTAAGGGAGGCCGAGTCGGCTGGGCCGAACGAGTTGTGCACCAGACACGGCTCGGACTTGCAGTCGGAGCCCATAACCCACGTCGTTCCGGCGCCGGTGTCGAACAGCATGTACACAGACTTTGCTCCGGACCCTAGTCCGACGTCGATGAAGTAGGACAGATCGGACCCATCCTGGTGCAACCCCACGCTGTCTGCCGTGCTGGTGCTCGCAGCCCTCGAGACCGTGTACTTGCTGTTCTGTCTCCTATCCAGAACCGGTGCGGCCGCAACATCCCCGCTGATACCAACAGGGGGCTTTCGGCCGTACTTGGCGGAGAGGTAGCGGGCGGTGCGCTGCACTCTGTCGGCCTGGGATTCGGATGCCTGTACGTGGTGCAAAAGCAAGTATCCGTAAGTGCCTAGATTTCTCATCAGGGAGCAGCGCGTGCTCGTCCGACTGGACCATGAGCGGGCACTTACATCGGGTGCTCTTTGTGACAGGGGGAATGTCACAGCTCCATCCTCCAACAACCGTTTCCGGTTCTGGGTCTGGCACGACTTGTCCTCGCAGAGGTACTCTGGAATAAAGGGGTAGAAGGCATTGCTGCCGGCCACCCACAGAGTCAACTGGACAAGGACTGTGTGGAAGTGCATGGCGACGGATCAAGTATCCGTCTGCAGCCTGCTCCCAGGCTCTCACGAGGGAGCTGGGACGGTATAGCCGGATCTTTGTGTGGGCGTTTCTGCTACACAGATCGATGCAAAACCGGACGAGGTTCCTCAGTCGCAAGTCAAGTTCGGCAGAGAGTCGCAGACCCTCCTCTCTCCAGGATAATTAAAAGGTATTAGTGATTAAGTGGACGGGCCAATGGTCAGGCGAACAAAGACCGGAACCGTGGCGACAAGCGATCTGACCGAGGCTAAGAGGGCGGGCGGCGTATACAAGAACGGTACGAAACGGCCGGGGTATATAACGGCGGATTCGCCAAACAATGCTATGCAATGCGATGCAGCAAACAGCAAGCAGCAAGTAGCAATCGGTTGAGGTCGCGGTGATGAGAAACAAAGGTCGCAGCTGAGGAAATAGCAGCACGCTCGCCGAGGGAACTGCTAATGGTAGAAATCGGGTCCAAATAAGAGCGGGGAGAGCACAGAAAGACAAAGGACGGCCTTGCTCGATCCGAAGAGACAACCCCGAGACTAGTGGGAAAGACAATGACAGGGCGTTGATCAGCCAGCAGTCCGGCTTTTTCTCGATGTGGCGGCGAGGGGGGAGCAACGCAACGGGTGGCGGTCCAGGGTAACCGAGAGTCCGTTCCGTCAACCGAGACAGGGCGACGGGCAGGGTGACGTGCTGGCTTGGAGAAGATCCCCGCGAAGCTCCTCTTTCTCCAGCCTCCTCGAAGCGAGAACGGGAAACAAAAGCAAGGGCGTAGGCAAGGGATGACACAGGCGCCAAAGAAGAAGGAAAAGGAAAGGAGGATAGGAAAAAAGAAGAAGGGTTGGAGCTCCCGGGAGTGATCAGGTCGACCGGGGAGGGCGCCTTGGGGGTGCACGAGTTGGAGAGAGGGACCCCCGTCGGATGGCGGAAGAGGAGAAGCAGGTGTAAAAGGGAGGCGAGCCGAGTTGCCAAGGCCAATGGCGGGCAATATGGAGGGGAGGGGGGACCCTAATCTAGGCGGTGGACGGTTATGTGGCGCTTCCCAGGTCATCCAGGTCTTGGAAGACGCGACAGCCGGCAGCACCGCACCCAGCGAGCGAACCATTGAAACGAAACCTACAGCAGCCACAGGAGTTCCAAAAGCCGTGCTGGGGTTGCGGGGATGGGCCACTGATAGCCGCCGACCGCCCGCCCAGAACAAAAAATGCCCCGTCGCCTAGAGGGGCAAGCAAGTTTGCGCCGTAACATCACGATGGATTCAAGGTGAGGGCGGCTGGGGGTGCTGGGGGCACTAGTGTCCGTCCCATCTCCAGTGGCGTCATCCCCCTGTGCCTGTAGTGTCTTTTTTCCCGCGACCTTCCCCTTTTCAGCGCGAGAGGAAAATCATAGTGTGGGGGAGGATTGCGATCGACTGAAATGAGAGACCGATGGCTGCACTCGCCATTTGGGATTCACACGCTAACCAACCCACCATGCGATCGTTTTCGTCTAGTCTTTAAACTCGCCCTGTTGCTGTGTCGCTCAGATGACAGGTCTTCACCCGATCGAGCATCGATATAAATAAGCATGCATGGGTGACGGATGCGGTTGAGGCAGGGCATGGCGGAACACGAGCTGTAGAGTTCAGAATTTGATGTCCATGGATGGACTCCGTCGACGGGCACTCTAGGTATTTCGTGCATGGCAAGGTTGGTGGCCGTTGGGGCGCTGGAGCGAGAGGATTCCCAAAGAGCCCCACGCCGAGTCGGGTCACATTCGACGCGGCCAGCAGGGGCTGAATCAGGCGCGTGTGGCTAGCTGCGGCCAATGGCAGCGCAGAGACGCTGGGTGCTTGAATTGAATGCATGTAGCCATTAGCCATTACATGCAGCTCACTTCGCTTGTCCTCGTCTCGCCTCCCCCCCACGTCCCAAGCCTATTTTGCTGCTGGTGCTTCAGTCAAGGTCCAAGCTACGGACGGCGAAGGTGAGAGCCAGCCTTTCCGAATCCAAGGTTGTTCTTATTACAATTAGCACGCCGGCTTGACGACATTGGAGTTGGGAGCTGGAATTTATCTGCCGCTTTTCCGGGCAGCAACCAGGGAGCGACCGAAAGGGGATTCTTTTGCATCAATCTGAGCAGACTTGGCCGAAATTAGAAGGTCGCATCCTGTCTCAAACTTGAGCACCACCCACCACGCTCCCAAAGCGCTGTGCCGCTGCGGCCTTGTCTCCCAGACGATGTGGCGGGACCCGTGGTTCGACCTTCTGACACGAGGAGGATTGCCGGCGGCTCCGCGGGTGCTATTTCCATTGATGCTGCGTCTCTTCTTGGCCGGGCAAGCCAACACCAACAGCCCGTCTGCTTACGCCCCCAAATACCGCTCGTGAGGTTGCAACGCGTGCTTTTGGTTGCATTCATGCAGACGACCAACATCAACCTGCAGCTCGTTCGAGCCGGTCTTTCCTATTAGCCGGAAATCAGCTGCGTGCCGACGCTTCTCGGAACGGTCTGGCCATCCAGGAAATGACCACCTGGAGCAGATGCATCATGGCTTGTTTGTGCTTGGCTTTGGTGAAACGACGGTCTGGATGTGCCATCCACACACAAGCCGGGCGGGATACTGGCCCGGCCGCAAGTGGCATGAACAACGGCCCGCCAGTTATTTTAGCACATATCAAAGGATGCAGGACGGCCCGTTGGTTGGCAATCACCAACCGTCCGTCCCAGGCTCTGGTAAAATAGATCAGAATACCCCATACGCCAAGTCGCACCGCTACTGTCATTTTACATATCACATACTAGAGACTGTTATTGCGGGGCTAAGAGACTAACAGCCACATCACATTTGCTCACCCTCGCGAAACAAGGCTGATTGCAATGTTGCCGAGGGTCGTGTTGGTATCCGGATGTACTATTCAGCGTTGCCTCGTTTCACCCAGACAGACATGCTGACATCCGTTGACTGTTTCCCATGCCACTATTGCGGATTCCATTGATCAACAAGTCGCCGCATTGCCAATCATGAGATACAGAACAAGACCCAGGTATCATGAGACTGAGATGGCGGCGACATCACAAGCCCCAAAATCGCGGGTCCAGTCCTCCGCCCGACGAAGAGTCTCCAGCCCGGGGGAATCGTGTGGCAAAGAGGCCCTTAGGCGCTCGTACACACTGCGGCCATGGGGCAATAGGCCTACAGCGGCCGCGGTGCGCAAGAAGGTCCAGACGGACTGGTTGGTCCACCGCAGTGAGACGGCCAGCTCGGCCGCCTCGGCGACAACGGCCGCGGCACGGCTTGTTCCCGGTCCTTCCTGGACCCACGTGGCTGCTGGAGGCCAAAGCAAGAACCACAAGAACGACCAGCCGGACACGTCCGTGTGGTGGCTAAAAGCCCACCGTTTTGTGCTGTCGAGTATCTTCTCGAGTGCTCCATTATAACAATCCACGCCACCCTCTCTGGGATTTGATGATCGTGATACAAGCGGTGCGACCAGGAACCTGGCATGACACCAGGCGTAGTAATTCCGCGGATGCCTCTCCGCCGAGACCATGACCACGTGCTGTAGCGCGTCGTGTACATCCGCAGCGGCAACCGACCACTCGGTGCACCTCTGCACCAACCAGCGCCGGTGGCTCCACAGCGTCGGCGACTTGGTGTGTCGGTGCAACCGGCTCGTGAGCAGCGAGTCCACCAGCCTGAACTCGGCCCGGACCGCGTCTGCGAGAGCGCCGCTGCCGTTGGTGGCGGCCCGCCGGACCAGGGCCCGCTTGCGCGTGTTGGCAGCCGTCAGGTGCTCTGGGTCCATAAGTAGCTGGACGGCCGTGACAGCAAGGATATCTGCATCGTTGGTGGCAGTATGTTGCTGCTGCTGCCACGCTATTGCCCGCATGCGCGCAACGATAAAGGCCCGGACCAGGGACAGTTTGGGCACTGCGATGGCGTTGCCGTCCTGGAGGACATGGCACCCTGCGGGAGTTGGATGACTCCGCCCCAGGAGCTCGATCTCAACGAGGCCATCGTCGGTTCCTGTTCCCGTTTGGCATTGCTGGGTAAGGGCACCAGAGATAGCCACAAAAGCCGCAAGGGCCTCGGCCTTGTCGCTGGACTCAAGGGATGCGGCTACATCTTTGTCCAGAGCCCTCGACATATTCTCCCAGTCTCCACGCTCGACTGATGCTTGTTTTGAGGGTGGTGGAAGTGTCGTTGGTGCCCGAATTGTGGCGGCTCAGTGACGTGATCTCGACCAGGGGTCCAAGCTCAGGCGAGGCCAGCCAGTCACGGAAAAACACCTTGCAAACTGCCCCTCACCTCACAAACCGCACAGCGTGACAGGTCCAACGACCACCTTTCCGCAAGCCAGCCCCAAGCTCCGAAAAGGGCGCGACGATTACCGAATCAACCACCAGCTTTGGTATCGCGGCCACCGAACGGACGCTCAAGATGCCCTCATTAATGGTCGTCATCCTCGCCCTCGAGGTGGCGGTCGAGCTGATCAACAACATCGGAGCGGCGGCCATCAACAGCGCGGTATGCGCAAACCCCCAGCGTTGCCTTCGGAAGTGCACCAGGCCAGCTCTAACAAGGAGGATACAAAAACGCAGATCTGGGCCATAATCAACGCCCTCCCCACAAAGCTCTCGACCGAGTTCGCCGAGCAGCGCAAGCTCCAGGCCGATTACCTCGAGGTCCGCAAGGACCTTGCCGCGACCAGCAGCCAGGACGAGTTTGCGAAATGGGCAAAGCTGCGCCGGCAGCACGACAGGCTGTATGAGCAGCTGGAGAAGAAGAGTGAGTCTGCCCAGGGCTCCTCGAGGAAGGACAGCCGTCACCTAACCTCGGAAAACGCCTCCTACAGAATCGACTCTCGACAGCACAAAGACCAACTTCGACAGATACATCACGGCCGCGAGGTGGATTGGCACCCGGGGCCTCCAGTACTTCCTGCCCTTCTGGTTCGCGACGACGCCCATGTTCTGGCTGCCCTTCGGCTGGTTCCCCTACTACGCCGAGTGGCTCATCTCGTTCCCGCGCGCCCCGATGGGCAGCGTCAGCATCGCGTCGTGGCAGCTGGCCTGCACGGGCGTCATGATACTGTTCAGGGACGCCATCACGGCCCTCGTGGCCTGGGCCCGGACTCCGGAGACGCCCCCGCAGAAAAAGAAGCAGGTCCAGGCTGTGCCGGCGTCTTCAAAGGCGAGGGAGAGCAAGAAGGAACTCTAGTAGCAACATGTCTACGGAGGTAGCCGATAGTAAATAGACTGAAATGCAAACCAATTCGAGGCTTTTGTTTGTCTCTCAACCTTTGACGCAAAGTAAATCATGGCCCGAAGGACTGACGCTCTGCAACACTCGTGAGATGACTCTTGGCAGAGTACTTGGGCTCATTCTAGGCAAACATATTGACTGTGGCGACCATTGTGCAAGAGGTCGCCAAAGCTTCGATAGTGCCGGGCTGGTAGTGAGGCTAAAGTTGCAAGTCGGCTCGCCGGCCGGAGATGCGGCCATCGAGCATCACTGCAAACCGAAGCTTTCCACGTGTATAAACACACCCTACGGAGTTAATAGGGTGCGCGCAGTCGCTTGACAACGTCGCGCGTGGTCGCTTGAGCAGGACGAGCTGGTGGTGAAGTTTTGGTTTAGAGCACGAGTGGGCAAGTGCTCTGCGTGAAAATTTATATTGCCCACACAAGTCACAGCGCCCCACAGCGGGTACCTGGCGGCAGGCGACCCGATAAGCTCCCTTATCAGACGATAGCCCCCTGCATTTACAGGGGTTCACTCACAGCTCTGACCTCGCTGGAATGCCCTTTGCTGTCCTCAGGGGTGAAGAGGACATCTCGACGTCGCAGCTTGCAAAGATCAAAATCTTTGTTCTAGTTTCCGACCAAAGCCCGCACCCTTGGGTGCAAAGAACCTTCACTTGATTTGCGCCATCTAGGCAACACCCGCACATCTCTCTCGCAGCCATGTCGATATTATCCTGGGGGACGTAAGTTGCATCACCCCTTGGACTCTGAACCCCGCCAATTCTAGCGCAACAACCACTAACTTCACGTCTCTGTGACAGTATCAAGTCCTTAATAATAGTCTTCGGACCCTTCTTCCTGCCCAAGATAATAAGCTTCTACCGCCGCGTGCGCCACGCGCCCACCCAGCCCGGCCGCCAGCCCATCCGCCCCCTGCCGCCTGCCGCCTCCCGCGCCCTCGTGCTACTAGCCGCCGTGTCGATAGCCTTCCTCGTCAAGTCGCTCCCGCTCCCGGGCCTCGCGCCCGAGAATGTCTTCGTCGCCACCGACTCGCGCCTGCAGATCCCGACCGACGTGCTCTTCAACCGCCTCGCCTCGCTGCGGCCCGACGGCGCCCTGACGGCCCGCGACGAGTCGCTGCGCGCCCGCTTCGTCAACCTCGAGTCGCGCCTCCTCTACCTCGCCTACGGCCCCGCCGCGCTCGCCGACTGCGCCTTTTGCAGCTCCGACGAGCCGAGCAGCTACCTCTGCTACGCTCTCGTCGACGTTGCGGCCGCGCACCTGCTCAACGTCGCGCTGCTCGCGCTCGCCACCTCGCGCGGCCTCGCCGGCCGCGACGGCCGCCCCTGGCGCGGCAAGGCCATCCTCGCCTCGGTCGTCCTCGCTGCCCTCGACGCCTACCTGCTCACGTCGCACGACTACCAGGCCAACGCGCGCGCCCTGCGCCTGGCCGACCTCGACTTCTTCCACTGGCGCACGCGGGCGTACCGCTACGCCTCCTTCGCGCTGCTGGACGCGGGGTTCGCGGCGGCCTTGTTCCTGTCGGCCACGCGCCGCGCCTTTGCGTCGCCGCGCCCGCTGGCCGAGCGCGTCGACTCCATCAACAAGAACCTGGCGGCGGGCGTGCGCAGCAGGCTGGGCGCGGCCGCAATCGTCAAGAACGCGGTGAGCAGGGACGCGGAGCTGATGCGGCGGGCGCAGGCGTACTGGGCGCACGAGATCGCCGTCATGGGCGGGGCGCTCGAGGACAGGGAGGTGGTGGAGGGCATCAAGGACGCCATGGAGAGCAGGATCGACATGAAGGCCATCTCGGCCGACGCTGAGAAGTATGCAAAGGCCATGCTGGAGTCTGTGGGCGGAGACGAGGAGTAGGGAAATTGGGCATCCTATGTTATTTACTTACCACTCGAAAGAAAAACATTAATAGTCGATGGCTAAAATATCCAGAAATGGAGACTTGGGAGTGAAGGCGTGAGCCCTGGATGAATTTTTTGGGTGAAGCTATAACATGTGAACAAGTTGATGCTCTCCATTTCGTATACAGCCGACAGGGTGAACAAAGATAGATGCTGTCTCTATCGTCAGTGGCCAGAACTTTCTCCTGACCCCGAGCATCTCAATGTGCCGATCAGATTTAGAGCGTATTGTGGGACAGCGAAGGCTCTGATTACTTATGGGGTTTACAGATAGTGCCGCGGGAAGATTTGATAGGGGCGGCCGCCGAGTACCGCGATCTCCGTGAGGCGCTCGACAGCTTTTCCCGAGTCCTCTCACACGTTTGTGCCGCGACGACAGCTTCCTATGGTAAGCCTCGCACATATGCTGATGTTCCTGGTTTGCGTCGAATCTATGTCATTGCGACATATAAACAGCACTCACAGGCCTCGTAGAGCCTGCTGACTCTCGAGCGCGACGTCGAGCTGGCCGTTCACGAATGTGGCGACCTGATCAAGGCCGCGCTGGACAAGCTTATCAACCGGTACGGTGACTGCTTGGGCAAGGGAGAATCCGGCAACAAACTCAAGGACGCATACAAGAAGATTGAGTTCACATTGCGGGAGAAGGATGACTTGATCGGTCTGAGGAGGAAGCTCTCCGAGACTACGGCCAGGATCTCACTCTTGTCCGTTCTCGCCGCTACGCATCTGGCTGGGGCGGGCACGGCGGAGATACTTGCCCGTATTGATTGTGCTCGAAAGTCTGCATCATCAGAGCAAGATCGGACCAATGAGCGGATCGAATGGCTTGTGCTAACCGGCGCGGGCGCGGCGGCGACACTACAACGCATCGAGCGTGCTCAGCAGGAGATCTCTGTCAGGCAAGGCCAGGCTCACGAACAGGCCCAAGCTCTCGTCATGTCCTCTCAGGTAGTCGCATGCTTGGCGCTTGGGATCATCGTGTTGCCCCTGAGGCAGCTGGCCCAGGGCGTGACCAACATTCCGGCCTCGCTCTTTGGGTGGATAACCCTGGACAGTCTGAGGCTCGACTCGACAAGGGGTCTTCCGGTGCATACAGAAGATGCTATGGGGAATCCAGTCGACCTCCAGCTCCACTGGCTGCATGACTGGCGGGTAAGGGGGAGCCCTTGAAGGCCACATCCGTATTTGTTGTACAAGTATAGACTAACCCACTATTGACACAAACAGAATTTTGATTATATGTTATGTAGGCGGTTTGAAGAGCTGAGACTGGCGGGTATCGAAAAGCCCAAAAACGGCAGATTGCGCTAGAAGACGACTGCTCCGGTAAGGATCTGTCTCGATCGCGGCCGCTGAAAGCATGGCTCCGTCGGGGCATGAAGGTCAATATGAGCATCATCTTCCGAGCGATAAAGCAAGACCTCACTGGAAGCCGGTGTCCCAGATCCCACAGGACGGTCGTTGCAAGAGAAGGCAAGTCTGTTCGGTGGTGAGTACCTACCCTGATTTCTTATTTTCACCCCTATAATATACACAGCGCACATCTAACGCCCGTCGTGGCGAGACCAACCACTGCGGGATGTGGCTCAAGGTTTCGGAACGACAGTGGCAATTATTCGATTACAGGACGAACTTCGAGGGGGGCCATAAGGGTAAAGCAAGCACCCAAAAGGGGAACGATCAGAACAGCCCGGTCCACAACCGCACGATAAAGGCCCAAAAGCGCCGTGCGGTCGACAAATGCGAGCCAGCAGACTTTAAACGCATCCGTCTCCTAAAAGAAGTGGACTGGTCCGGAAAGTGGATCGATCCGGTCCAGCTGGGGTGTCTTGACTGTTGGGGGAGCGTGCCTCCGAGCAACAAGGCTTTCGTTCGGCATCGACGCCACCATGAGAAACACTCGGTGTTCAACTATCGTGCTGGTGCGGTAGGATTATTTCACGTAACGATAATTACCATCGGCACATGAAGAGTTACCTTGGGAGTCCTGTTAAGTGGGTAATGCAGTGCGGGTGTTGCGGCGAGCAAACCAACCAGGTATCGGAGCACCAAGCTCATGTCAGGACTTGTGGTGATGGGAGAATGGGAAGGCCGGCAAAGTGAAGGAAGGGTGGTGATTATAGCAGGTGAAATGCTGAGACGGGATTTTTGTAAACAGGGAACTAACTGCCTGAGAAATCACGTTTCCGCTGAATATGCTGTGAGAGAGCAGGGCAAACAGAGGAGTTTATCAAAGGAGACATGCATACAGGAGATTTATAACTTTGGGGGAGCGCCGCGAGGTTGGAGACCCCGCAAGCCTGAGTGGAGGGCATCAGAATTTGGCGATAACACCCGGTTTATAAGACTATGAGCCGGCCTGATCAACGCACCGAACACCCTGTTTGCGTCCACAGAGTTGGTGAAAGACTCTGGAAGCCCGAGCAGAAACGTTATCAGGGTGAAGAAGGCACTTCAAGAACGAATTGATGGCCTTAGAAGTGATGTTCCGGGATCCACTATGGACCCCCCAAAAAGCCCCAAGTAGGCTACCTATTTTCTGCCCAAAATTTCCATGCATAGATCGTCTCTGAAGTAGCAGGTGCTTTCTGCACTTGGGTTTGCATTAAAAACGAAGTTCATCAAATGTCATTGTTCGTGAGGTCCCTGGAAACAGCGGGGACTGACGGGGAACTGAAGCTTGAAGGTGCGACTTCACCGCCTAAAAAAACGTGGGCTGGACCCCGGCGGCAGAATTCGTGATTTTTTCTCCCTTGGGTCCAGTCGCGCGATTCGGCGCAGCTCTTGTGCCATTGACACTGGACAAGATCCAAGATTCTGCTCGCCAACATCCTACTGTAATCCAATAAACCATGACCGCAGAGGTCCCCAAGGGAAAGGGCAGAGGTATGTTGGCTCCGTGTTGGATTTCTGGGATTGGACCCTTTTGCGCGTCGCCGCGGTCCACGACTAACGATTTGTCGACGCAGCTCTCCGAGCGAAGCCCATGGTGGAAGAGGAAGTCGCGGCCGTCGCGTCGCCCCAGCACACCAAGAGGAAAGGTAGAGACACCTCTACAGTCTATGTTGACAAACCCATCTTGCTTACACCTCTCCCGATTGAAATAGCTGCCGAGGATGCGTCTCCAATAGCGTCCAAGAAGGCGAAGCCCGCCAAGGCGGCGCCAGCGGAGAAGAAGGCCAAGGAGAAGAAGGAGGCCGCCCCGGCCGTTCCGGAGGAGGACGCGCCTTCCAAGTCAAAGACGAGGAAGTCTGCCAAGAAGGCGCAAAAAGAGGATCCCGTCGAGGAGCCTGTGGAGGAGCCCGCCGCCGCCGATACCGATGAGGGGGTCGACGAGGAAGACGACGAGGAGGACCAAGCGCTTGTGCAGACGCTGGGGTTCAGCGACGATGACGATGACGGCCAGGAGGAGTCGACTTTCAAAGAGGGCGGTGACGTCGGGGTCATACCCAAGGTGTCCAACAAGACCAAGAAGAGCATCGAGGCCTCGGCGGGCGACGGGCCGAGGGTCATATACATTGGCCACATCCCTTACGGTTTCTTCGAGCATGAGATCAGACAGGTTCGTTTCTTTTCGCTCTTGCCTCTGTTCGAACCGGCTTTTGGCTGACACAACCTGAACCCCATGCAGTATCTTACCCAGTTTGGCACCATTACCAACCTCCGCGTGTCGCGAAACAAGAAGACGGGCGCCAGCAAGGGCTACGCCTTTGTGGAGTTCTCCGATGCCAGCACAGCGGCCATCGTGGCCAAGACCATGGACGCGTACCTCCTCTTCGGCCGCATCCTCAAGGTCAAGCTGGTGCCCAAGGAGAGCCAACACGAGAGCCTGTTCAAGGGCGCCAACCGGCGGTTCAAGAAGGTCCCCTGGACCAAGATGGCCGGCAAGGAACTAGAAAAGCCCAAGGGCGAGGCAACCTGGGAGAACAAGGTCAGCCGCGAGTCTAGGAGACGGTCGGGCAGACTTGAGAAGCTTAAGGCCTCGATGGGGTACGAGTTCGAGGCACCGGCACTCAAGTCGGCGTCGGCCGCTGTTGCGGATGCTAAGAAGGCGCCGGCGCTGGAAGACAAGGAGGAGCCCAAAGCCATTGAGGCACCCCCGGTTGTGGACGAGTCGCCCGCGGCCGCTGAGCCCGAGGCGGAGGCTGAGGCTGAGAAGACCAACGGCGCTTCTACGAAGAAGGCCAAGGCGCCGGCCAAGGGAAAGAAGGGAGCCAAGGGCAAGAAGGTCAAGTCATGAGGGAGCGGTGAATACGTGTAAAGCCTGTGTTTCTACCGTAGGGTCACAGGTTATGTTATGGATCATATAATGATGAATGAAGGAGGTCCTTCAGACCCGCATCAGAGCATGGCATGTATATAAAGTGTGTGCACATAGCGAATCTGACACGCCAAAAGCAAGCCTCTGGGAGACTTGGGCAAAAAGAGCCAGGATTATTAAAGTGCGAGACAATTCGTCTGCTTCAGGCCTGTTGTGAATAGAGCCATTGGGTCCGGACCAGAAATGCATCTGCCGAGGCCTATTCTAGACGGGATGTCTGTGAGCCTGAAGGGTAAAATATGTGAGGAGAAAGGAAGAAAAAATGGTCGAAGCGAATGGCCCACCCGAAGCCGTGATGAAATGCTAGCTGGCTGGGGAGTGGGTCGGATCACCTGACTTGACTGGGTCAATTCAGCCTCAGCCTGGCTGCTGCCCCGCCTTGAGCTGTCATGGCGAGAAACACCACGGCTGAGGAAAATACGAGGTTTCTTTCGAGTGTTTTCATATCTAGGATGGCGCATGTCTGAGTAAAGGGAGGCCCCGGGACTCAGTGATAGCCCTATTATTGGCCCAATCAATGTTAGATGGCAGGTTGTTTGGCTTGGTTTGGTGACTGAAAGACCCAAGGCCTTGGGAAGGTTCGAAACATCTAGACGCCTGCATCTTCTTGGCGAGGTGCCCTGGTTATTCGAATGACTTTCCGACTCGGGTAATTATATCGATAGATGATAATTACACATACGGAACTTTAACACAGCCTAGGATTATCTAAAATGCCCCTTTTCTAATGAGCAGCTGACCATTTCCAAAACTCCATTCCAGGACCCAAGGAAGGGGTTTTGATGTGTCAAGCTGTACCTAATCACAGCACTTGTAGCGCTCGACGGCGCATCCAGTTGGCAGCCCCCGCTGTGCCGCTTACGTGTGGAAGCAACATTGACTGAACTCTTGCCTGTTTCAACTTTCAACCCAGCACAGACTGCGTCCAAGCCTCGGCGGCCCTGCGTTTCTGCCAACCGCCCTTGCTGCGAGTCTGGGCCACCAAACGCGGGCCTAAATCCGCGAGCGACTGCACCAGCGAGGGACCTGCAGACGACATCCCTTCTCTGCGCTCGCTGCTCTTGCGCCCTCATACCTGCCGCTCTGCCCTCCTCCCACCGGAGTCTGCAGCCTACGTGCCACAGCCAATGCCAATGCCAATGCCGCTCGTTCCATCATCCATTGACCATGTCTTCCGCCGCCGCGACCAACGACCCGACCCAGCAATCCACAGCCTCTCAAGGTCCGTCGCTCCGCCCCCTCGCTCCTCTCTCTTTGTCGCTGCGAAACGAAGTGGTCGCGTAGAGCCGCGTCTACGACGACGACATGGCCCACCACCAGAGCCATTGTCCAGTAGCTTGTCGAGCTGCTGCCCGTCTGTCCTGCAGCAGGGGCGCGGTGGACTCGGGCACAGCCGACACGTGGCAGACCCCTGGGGATCTGACTGACTGACCCTGTCGGAGCACACCCTACAGCCTCCAGGAAGAAAGGCAACAAAAAGAAGAAGACCAGCAAACCGCGGCCGGTGGATCCCAGCCAGCAAGATGACCGGCGCATTAACGAGGATCTATCTGACGACGACGCCCCGGCATTGGTAACGAAGCCCCCTCAGGCCTGCCTTGCCCCGCCCCACCGCAGCCGAGTTAGCTGAGTTGTGTTCTAACCATGAGTGGTCTGTCCTGCTCCGCAGAAATCGCCAGTTCCAGCCCCAGCCCCGGACGAGGACGCCGATGAACCGTCGTCACAACCAGAGGCCCCAGCAAAGCGAGACGGGGGCGCGAACGGCCACGCGCAGGCGGGGGGTTCCGCCAACGGTCACAAGAAGCCACAAGCACCACCGCAGCCAGCAAATAGCAAGGCCCAACCGCCACAACCACCGACCCCGACCCCGACCACGACGGCCGACGGCGCCGGCGACGCGGGCGCCAAGTTCGACGCCATGACACAGGAGCGGGATGCCCTCCGGGCCGAGGTGGAGCAGCTGCGGCAGGAGCTCGAGAAGATACGGGAGTCACACTCCACCGAGACGTCGCAGCTGCGGTCCGAGCTTGAGGAGTCGGAGGCGGCGCGGGACCGGGCCGAGGACCAGTATCAGAACCTGCTGGGCCGCGTCGAGAAGATTAAGACCACCCTGGGCGACCGCCTGAAACGCGACAAGGAGGAGCTGGCCGAGGCCAAGGACCGGGTGGAAGAGCTCGAGTCGCAGTCGGACGCCCTCGCCCGGCGGGCCGAGGAGGCCGAGGCCGAGGCAGAGCGGCTGCGGGAGGAGGCGCAGGACCAGGGGCGCGAGCTGGCGTCGCTGCGCAGCCGCAGCAACCTGTCGCAGCAGAACTGGCTCAAGGAGAAGGACGACATGGCGCGGCAGCTGGCCAGCTACAAGGCCGAGCTGGACCGGACCAGCAGCGCCATGGGCGAGTGGGAGGTGATCGCCATGGAGCAGAAGTCGGTGCGCGACAGCCTGGGCGACAAGGCGGCCGAGCTCGAGGCCGAGTGCGACAGCCTGCGCGAGGAGCGCGACCGTGCCGCCGAGGAGCGCGACTCGCAGACCCACATCATCGACCAGCTGCAGCGCGCCCTCGCCGAGCTGCAGGAGGCGCGCCGCCGCGAGCTGCGCGAGGTGGTCGAGGCCTCGGAGAGCCAGCTCGAGGATGCCAAGAAGGCGGCGCGCGAGGCCCAGGCCAACGCCACCGCCGCCATCGCCGAGCGCGCGCGCCTGGCCGGCGAGCTCGAGCGGACCGCGCCCTTTGAGAAGGAGGTCAAGGAGAAGAACCTGCTGATAGGGAAGCTGCGGCACGAGGCCATTGTGCTCAACGACCACCTGACCAAGGCGCTCAAGTACATCAAGAAGAACAAGCCGGAGGAGAACGTCGACAGGTTGGTGGTTCGCTTTTCTGCTGCCCCATATCTGACCCCAAAGTCAACTAACATCGCCCCTTTCACCGCCCCAGGCAAGTCGTCACGAACCTGTTCCTGCAGTTCCTCTCCCTCGACCGGTCGGACCCCAAGAAATTCCAGGTCCTCCAGGTCATCGCCGGCATGCTCAACTGGTCCGAGGAGCAGAAGGAGCAGGCCGGGCTGGCGCGGCCGGGCACGTCCAGCAGCAGCCTGCGGCTGCCCGCGTCGCCCTTCTACCGGACCCCGAGCACGCCCTCGCTCAACACCGAGTTCTTCGCCGAGCCGGCGTCGGGCCAGAACTCAAAGGAGAGCCTGGCCGACCTCTGGGCCGGCTTCCTCGAGCGTAGCGTCGAGGAGGCGGCCGTCTCGGGCGCCATAGCCGGCATGTCCTCCCGGAAGGGCAGCATGTCCAGCAACGCCACGGGAACGACGAGACCCGACACGAGGGGAGGGGTCTGACGGGGATTGTGAGGATCGAGGCTGGGATAGGCCCACGAGACAACACGTTGGTTTACGAAGGATGATGGCCAGCCGAGCGCTGTTCGCCCACCATGTTTTTTCTCCTCCTTTGGGCGTTCTTTTTTTTTTTTGCCTGGTGTGGGTGTTTCTTTTTACAATGTGGTATTCGTTTGATAAGATGGACGCAAGAACGGAATCCATGATTAGAGACAAGACAAAAGACCAAGGGAAGGCGAGTCCGTGTTCTAAATGTCCTCGAAAGATCTAGACTTATCTGCCTCGTACTTCATCTTTCTGTTTTTCGTTCTTTCTTTTTTGGACTTGCATATCTAGGTATATCATCCGGAGGGAACATTTTTTTTATATTTACTGCTTGGGCTTGGTGGTTGTCTCTGAGTGTGATTTTCTACCCATCCAACACACATAACAAGCCAATGTCATCTTTGGGCTCGTTTATACTGGACAGAACAGGCTCGAAAGTTCGATATGATCCAACAGGGGCAGCAGACAAACGCTTGCGTGAAGTGCACTTAGTTAAAGGACAGCAAAGGCTGAAGTGTTGGATACGGGCATAGAGACCATACAGCGAGCAAATGGCTACCTAGGTACCTCCCTCCGGCATGGACCTACCAGGTCGAACTTTCCTCCCAAATGTGTACGGGATTTCACCCGCCCATGGCCACTATACCATCCCCTCACCTATGCTCTCCATATCTATGGGTTGGGGGGGAGAAGGGGGGCAGGAGGGGGGGAGGGGGGGGAGGGGGGAGGGGAGAGGGCGGGGTCTGAACCGGGAAACTGCTCTGCCATGGATTCGTTTGCTTGGCTCGTACTGCCCGTTCTGGGGCTTTCGTTGTTGGATGGCTAGGAGCGTTCGCTCTCGGCCCTGTCCGAGTCGCTGCCTACGGTCCCGCCAGTACTAGATGGCCCAGAGGGGTGTGGCTCAACGTCTCGCACGTGTTGCTCCCACTCGACCCACGGTGGACGCGGGCGTGTTAGAACGGTCCTCTTCTTCAGCAGCAGCCGGGCGATGTCGGGGCGGACCGCCCCCGACACGGCGAGGCGGAAGGCGCTGTCGCCAGAGCCGCTGCGCGCGCTAGCGTCGGCGCCGCTGTCCAGCAGCAGCCGAACAATACCAATGTGGCCATTTTTCGCAGCCGCTTGAAGCGCGCTCCCGTATCTTCCCCCTTGCGCGTCAACGTTGGCGCGGCTGTCCAGCAGCAATTGGACAATCTCCTTATAGCCTTCAGATGCGGCCGCTTGGAGCGCGTACCCGTACACGCCCCCCCACGCGTTAACGTTAGCACCGCTATCCAGCAGCAATTGGACAATTTCCTTATGGCCTTGGGATACGGCCGCTTGGAGCGCGCTCCCGTGCACGCCCCCCTGCACGTCAACATCCGCCCCATCTCCCATCAGGCACTCTGCGCCTTGCTTGAACCCAAAGAAGCACGCGTAATAGAGCGCTGACCCTTGAGCAATGCGCGGGCGTGTTGCATGCCAGCTGTAGTCCCCCTCATAGATGCGGCGCCAAAGCTGAAAGGTCCTTTGGTCTTGTAGGAACATGGCAGCTTCTCGAACAGCGTCCTCTGGCATTTCGGCTTTTGCGGCGGTCAACATCCAGGCATCGGCTGCGTGGCGCGAGAAGGGAAATGCGGTCTCAATATCAGCGCAATCCCCGTCGATGTCTGCCAAGTACGCCAGGCACGTCCTGGTCATAGATATGTAGGAGGTCGTGGCGCTGAACCTGTCCTGTTCAAAAAGACCCTCCTTATTGAACGTGGTGTGGTTGATGGTGAGAATTTTAGGGTCCCTGTGCCCCGCGGATATCGGAGTATTCGGACTGGTGAACCACAGCATCTCAGGGCACTGTTTGATGATGTCAGCTTTGCCTATCGGCCTTCGTTTAGGGTTGAAGCCTCGGGGCTCGGTTTCGACCCGTGTAGCCATGATGTCCGTCGCTTCTGGCAGTGATATTTCTCGGCCGGAATGTAAGACAAACTGTAGAAGGCGTGTGGCTTCTTCGCTGAGCAAAGGCTCTTCGATCTGCGGGTTGCGTGTGCCGTCGGGGACAGCTGGCATTAAACCTGCACGCATGTCGGTTTCGGATGTCCTCCCGTCGTCCAGCGAGATGCAATTTTCCTCGCCGAACAAGGACGGTATGAGATCAAGTTCGAGTACTGGCTCGCTGGTGAGGATCAACCGGGCGAGCCCTCGTTTAAAGATATTCTCGATCCAGTTGACGATCACCCAGACCAGTGTCGACTCGTTCACGTTTTCGAGGAATATCGAAGTGTTGGGTTGTACTGCCAGTAAGGTGTTTACAATGTCTGAAAGTGTCCCGGTCGTAGGCTGGTCCGTGCCGTCATTGTGTGCTTTGAACGACCGAGCGATATGACCTTTGGCGTGCAGGCCTATGCCTTGAGTGTGCGCCTGAACGACGAACGCCCGCAGCATGTCATCCAGTGTCTTCCTTTGTTCGTCGCGCTTGTCGAAATAGAAATGGAGACTCGGGTGATCGACCTGTTCACGAAGACTGTCGATAATGGATGTGCCCAGAAACTTGCTGTCAGACTCGGGGAGCACACGGAGCCACAGATATTTATGTTGGCGTGCCCCGGATTTCCATTCTTGGAGGACCGAATTATTCGATAATAGGAGGTCGGTTCCAGGGTGGCGGATCCTCTTTGCGCGATCCACATTTCCCAACGGGCCTGTCGGAGATAGCCAGTCCATGATGGCATTGGTGTAATCTTCGAGAGGCTGCTGTTCTGACAGTAGGGCTTGCTGCGTTTCGTGCGCTTTCCCGTGGGCTGTGTTTGGCCGTCATTAGCGAGTGTAAAACTAGAAAAGGCAGTGTGACGGCGTGGGGACGGAGATATCGGTGCTTGAAGCCTGCCCACGTACCTTGACTTGGAGTCTCGATAAGCCGCGTTTCCGCTTCGACCAGGGCAGGAGAGATGTGTCTCAAAAGACCCTTCGCATAAGCTGCCGCCATCATAGCTGCGAAGCCTTGCCAGCTCCTATTTCCGTGAGAGTCCGAGTAGTCGCAGATGCCGCGGACGGCCAAGCAAGGGAATTGATCTATTAGATCGGCTGCTTTCGTCTCAAAGCATACCACGTGATGCCGTGCCGCCAGCTCATCACGGATACGAGAGTTCTTCATGGGTTGCTCGGAGCTGGCCATCCGCCCGAGGTGGATCGCGGGATCGTCGTCATCTACATCCCGCTCCTGCCGACTGACGAGGTGTTGCGGATCGGCGGCGCAAACACTACCACAGCTGGCTGCATGCTCAATCTCGGGCCGGAAAAGCGTGTCGGTATTGGCAGATGGGCGGGAGTACAGGTCCCCCTGCATATAGTTCAGGGCTTGCTCGATTTGCAGTGCAAGCTGACGGCCGGGTCGTAGGTACTCCCCAGCCAGACTTGCCACTGCGGTCCTAAGAACCCTTGGTGGCGTGAAGTGCTGACTTTTAGTGCCTCTTCCCAGGTCGTATTGGAAAACCGAATCACCAACAACGACATCACCAAGTCGTATATCGCGGCTGGGACGCGGTGCGCCACCTGCAATGCCGATAGAGAGCCCGATGCGGACATTGGGAAATGCCTGCAACATATTCTTGGCCACCGAGGCTGTCGAGACTGGCCCATACTCGGTAGGCCGGGACGCTATCACAACATTGTGCTGTCCAATTCTGCCTAGGGCGTACGAATTGGGATCTTCTCGGCTTAGGCGTTCGATGAAGTGGTGTTCAACTTCAAGAAATGACCTGGCGGCGATGAATTCCAACCGCAGTTTGGTGATCCAGCCAACGGCGTACGAAGCGGCGTTGGGAGTCTCGGGCGTAACGTCTTCTGCCTTCGTCGGTGGGACAGGGCTCGGGGTTGCCTTTATCAGCTGCTCGATGCTGCCCCTCAAGGCATCCGCCTCTCGTTTGCCAACCAGTTTCCGAAGTTTCCTCAGCGCAATCAAGACCTCCTTGGACTCGATCATGGTCTCTGGAGCTATGGGGCCGCCAGACTGGCGCTTGAGGAAAGCCTGTATAACGGGGTCGCTTCGCCATTCCCCCGTTTCTGGTGGACTCGCGTATTCGACAAGCATCTCATAGGGCCAGTATGGACTTCTTGGGCCTATTTGTTCCTCTTCCCGCTGGCTTTGAGGCGTATATTCAGCGTCATGATTGCGTCGGAACGCATCAATCTCGAAGTCGATCTCGCGGAGAACAATATCTGATGGTGGGTTGGCGAGGTATGCGAGGAGGTCCGTCTCTTCAAGATCCTGGGTGATAGACACCGTTGTTGTTAACACTTTCTGACTGTCTGATATATAGGGAAGGTGAGCGGTGCTTACGGGACCACCAAACTTAGCTCGCCCATATTTGGACGACTTCGGGATGTCCTGTTGTTCTAATGCTCTTGTCCACTCTGACCGCGCCCTCTCCTCTTCTTCTTCTTGCGTTGTCGGAAACATGTCCATTTCCTCGCTGGTGTGTGGCTGGCTGGTATCTGGACCTTCCTGCTCTTTCTCTTCCGAATCCTCTGCAACAGTAGGTCGGGTGGATCCTTGGGAAGCGTTTGAAGAAAGCCTTTCGTAATGAGGGTTTTCTGGGTCGTACTTCTCTTCCTTAGGAAGAGATGTCAAAGCCAGTGCCCTCAGATGGTGGGCAATGTGACTCTCTGAGCAGCCAGCTCCTGACATGTCTGCAGAATCTGGCATTTCGCCACATAAGGGGCAGGACGGGAAGAGATGCTCCGGTGTCCATGTGCTGGAATCGGCAAGCACATCTAGATCCCCAGTAGCGCGTCGGGGGTGGTCTTGTTGGATGTGTTGGATGTATTCCTCTCTTGTGTCAAAGTCCCGTTTCCCATGGGACTTGGTGATACACCGCCAGCGTTGCGCGTGCTTGCGCATGTGGCTGATCCAGGTATTGCTGTGGGTGTATAGCTCCTCTGGGCTTTCGCAGCCTTTGAAGAGACAGACGTATGCGTCGAGGTCACTTGTTACATGTGATCTGCATGTTAATCGTTAGCCTGAGATGCCATCTTCCTCATTGCAAAAATGATGTAACCTACTCCCATTTCCTCACATCGGTAAGATATTCGTGGTTGAGTGCGTGGAAGCATATGGGACACGTGAACTCTGCCACTGCATCCACGCACCCCTGGAAGTCAGATTTCATGTCTTTGTCTAGCTTCTGAACAGCGGCGACAAACCCGGAGGCCTGTGAGATGGGCAGCTCCTCATGGTCCCTAGATTTTCCCTCGGTGGAAAATATGCGCGGGATGTCTTTCACAAACACTTGCCATCTCGCCTGTTTCTTTTTCTGATACTTCTTGTCAATGCCGCCGTGGCGTAATGGGCGCTGGGGAAACTCGAGGGCATTGCCTTCTTTGTTGTAGCTTAGAGGTATTGTGCGGGTTCCCGAGATGGAGGATGGGGATGAAGCTTTCTTGTACCGGTCCTGGTGCAGGGTAGTTACACTGCCACCCGCAGACGTCGCCCTGGAGGTCAAAAGGTTTGGCGCGACCGGCGGATGATCAGCCACAGGAATAATCTCTGTGGACCGGGGCGTGACGAGCGGTGACTGGACAGGCTCCTTGGCCACATGAATGTCGACCTGGGGCGGTTGGATCATCTTGGCAGTTGCGATTGGCTTTTTTGAGCCATAGCGCTCTTTCCGATACATAACTCGCTTCTGACGGAGAAACATTGTGGAGGCGAGCCGCTGGGTGAGCTCCTCTGCGGCAGCCTTCTCGGCGGGGTCCTGGATATCCGCTGCGAACTGGCTGCGAATGTGCCAGACAAACCGTTGCCGGAGCAGTGGCTCCACGTCGTTGCCTTCGCCGTCTAGAATGCGGAATTTCCTGGCGGCCTTGATATTTTGGGATTCACGACTTGCTTTGCGGATGACGTTGGACAGCCTGAATAGCATGCTGATTTCCCCAGCCATATCTCGTAACGGACGCTCGAGAGTCTTCAATCTCGGGCTGTCACTTTCTGGACCGTGTTTGGGCTGGCTCTGCAACAACATCGAATCTGCTCATGGTCAGCATGATGAATGGTCAATCTTGTCTAGTGTTGAAGCGACAAGATGGTCGATATTGACGGCAGATATGTAGAAACGGGACCACATGCAGGTTTCAAGATGCTCTGCCAATCCTTCCAGCACGCTGAGAACTGTGTCCCGGACTTCAGGCGTTTCCCTAAGGCGGTGATCCATAGACGCCCGCGCCCCAGCGAAAACGCCCATCATGTTGGTCCATATTGTAAATCGGGTAAGCTGGTCCTCGAGCAGCGACTTTTGCAGAACGTTGAGGGGGCCGCCCAAGTCGTAGCACTTCTGGAACAGGTCGAAGCACTGCTTTCCGGCCTTGGCAATCGTCGGCGGCTCGCTGGAAGAGCCTGCGTCTGGAGGGTCGGCCATGTTTGCCTTGGCGATGGAGGTGGGGTGGGATGGAGGAGGAAGAGATGGCATTGAGGTGATTCTCTACAGACTGTCAATGCCCAGCAATCCCCTCCCATCTGCCACTCATCTACCCCTCCACAGGCAAATCATTCTTGTGCACGGGGTGGGCAGGCACAACCGACTGGAAATGGTCAGGCGACCAATCAAGATGCAGCCAACACAGCGCCTCATCAGCTCGGCGGATCAATTGATCCCCTCCCCCGCCCGTTGCTCTCTCTACTTGTGTGCGCCAGGAAGCTGACCATGCCTTGCTGCGGCTGGCGTCCAACATATTCTCTTCCTCGACCGCCACATCCTCTTTCCAAGCAGACTAGAAACACTGGCCAGCCTTAGTCTTGCGCTCCGGCATGGCAGACTGCAATAGAATTGCCTTGCTAAGGCAGTGCGAGACCACTTTCAAGGACATCTGGAACTTCCTCAACAAGTTTCTCAAACAGAGCCCCCAAAACGACACAGCAGACCACCGAAGATTGCGTAGATTTTATCGCCAACTGACACCCTGCTGTACGCTCGTCTTGAACTTGGCGTCTCCATCTGACATGGCCCTCGTTGGCACATTTTTGAACCGCCTTGGGTCCGTCGTCTCGGTATCCTGGACCACAAAAAGGGGGGCGCCCGAAGCGGCATACCAGGAACATTTAGGGCTCTTCGGACTCGTCAAGCAATGGAAAGATAGCGGAAGCTTGAGCGGCAGCGATGTCGTGAGAGTAGACTTCGTCAAGAAGTGCCTGAATGGGGGGTCACCTCTCGAGCAAAGCCAAGAAGACGACTTCTTCGAAGATTTCAACATGTGGTACGATGAGGTCGCAAAAAGTTGCTCCACACATCCGTCAGACCGCGGGATGCAGACCTACGAGGTCTCACGCAAGACAAAAAGCTCACCATCTCTCGATGTGTGGGAAGCTGCCAACTCGGTCCTGCTGGCTCTACAGAAGCTGGGCTGCTGCACTTCTCACTCACATTGCCACAACCCGCCGGATCTGTGGCCGAAGCTATGTGTGGCCACGCACCGCAAACTTTCAGCCGCCCCCGACTCGCGTGGAGTGACGGTGGATGCCTTCGACATCCTCATCGACGTCGGAGACGCAAAGGCCCAGGAGGCGCACATCCAGACATCCAGGCACCTAGCACCAGCACCCAAGGCTGTCGGGTTACCCACAATCGTTATTGCCCCCTTTGGGACTGCGAAAGCCGCTGTGAAACAGAGATCCATGGTAATCGACAAAATCTGCCGAGAATCAATGCTGCCGAAGCCCCTAAGGCGCCTCGACCTGGAATTGTCATGGACGAATGACGAGTTCAGGATAAAGAAGCTTAGAGGCCAGGACAAGAAGTTGAATATAGACGGGCAGAGGTCGTCAATATCTCTGGACTTCCTCCTCAGAACGGCAAACGAAAGGTCGCTCACGATCCAGAACAGGCGCATCCTCGCCGTTCTTCTGGGATATGCAGTCCTCAACCTGCACCGCACCCAATGGCTCCAAAACTCATTCACCTCCTCCAATGTGTTGCTTTTCCCCGCGTCGGTATCCGAAGCCTCAACAGTCTCTAAATATCATCTCAGCCCTTTCATTGCGACACAACTTCGAAGCCCTATCTCCACAGCGATTGGCTATCTTGATAGCCCGGACGACAGCCGGGCTAACACGGGTCTCTCTGGCGCAACAATCGATCCAGGCGACGCTGAGGCCGACCCAGATGACTCCGACTTTGACCCGGATGACTCTGAGATCGACCCTGATGACGTCGTGGACCATAGCATGCCCATCCTCATCACGTTCGCCGCCATGTTGATGGAGGTGTACTTGGGGGAGCCGTTCGAACTACTGGCCGAGAAGTACAACTTGGGAAAAGGGGAAACCTCGGATCATGAATTTGTAAAAAGGCTGTTTGACATGCTCAGGGTTGAGAAGAGGATCCCTGATCACGAGAGGATTGTCGACAGCCTAGAAGCATGCCTGAGCCTGGTGGAATGGGTGAGCGACGACGCCCAAGAGCTACCAGACAAGACACTGAGGGACTTGCTATACAAAAAGGTGGTTCAGCCGCTGGAAGACGACCTTTGCCGCGCGAACAACAAGATGAGCATTGACGACATTGACACCTGCAAGGAATTCATCACCTTCATCCCACGGCAACCCGCTCAGATGACCCAGTACACACAGCGCAACCAATCGTGTGACCCAAGGAGTCCCCTGGCGTCCCCAGTAGCCTCTACAGACGGACATCCCACAATCACAACGCCGCCGCCACGGCCGGCAGATCGGAGTGGCTTCTCACTGGCCATCATCTGCGCCCTGACACGAGAGGCTGATGCCGTCGAGCTGCTCTTTGACGAGTTCTACGACGATCGATACGGAAAAGCTGACAGCGACGAGTACCAGTACACTACCGGCCGCATCGGCGTCTACTCTGTCGTCCTTGTCGTCCTCCCCCGCATGGGCCCCGTCCCCTCGTCCCAGGTCGCCAACGGCCTCCGTGCCAGCTTCCCAAACGTCAAGCTCGCCCTAATAGTCGGTATCTGCGGCGGGCTGCCCAAGATCGGCAAGGAGGATGCCTTCCTAGGGGACGTGGTGATAAGCACAAGCATTTTCAGCCACGACTTTGGGCGTATATACAGCGGCGGCATGGTCTCCAAGACCTCGATAGAGGATAGCCTGAGCCGGGCCAGCAACCACGTCCGGGGGCTTTTTACATTTTTCAACCGCCAGCGCATGCTCCACGAAGTTGAGGGAAGCGCAAGAAAGAATCTTGAGCGCCTGAAGAGTAATGCGCAGGCCTGGTACGGGTGCGGAGCCAAATATAAACGCCCCCGGGACGCCACCGACCGCATCTTTGAGACCAGCTATGAGCACCGGCACCGCGGCGACGGCGCCCTCAACCAGTGCGCCGCGTGCGCCGCCGGCCCCACCAGCTTCTGCGAGCAGGCGTCGGAGAAAACATGCGTCGAGCTCGGCTGCGACATCAGCCAGGAGCTGCCCAGGACGAGCCGCATATCCCAGCGCCCGCCCGAGCTCGTGCCCAAGATCTTCTTTGGGAAGGTGGCGTCGGGCAACGCCGTCATGAAGTCGGGCCAGCTCCGGGACGAGTTCGCCGACAAGCACGACGTTATCGCCTTTGAGATGGAGGGTGCGGGGGCGTGGGAGCAGCTCCCCTGCATCGTTGTCAAGGGCATCTGCGACTACGCCGACAGCCACAAGAACAAGGTGTGGCAGGACTTTGCCGCGGCCACGGCGGCGGCCGTGGCAGTTGCTATGATCGACAAGTATCAACTGCCCGACAGCGCTATGAAGAGTACGGCAGCGAAATGGTACTGAAGTTGGGTTGGGTTTTTATTCGGGTCTGTGAACACGTCCAGCATGGAGTGCCACTCAGTAATGTCGGAGCTTGAGGGTGGTGCCTTGCCGGGGGTACAAGCTACAATCTACTTGGCTTTTTAGCGAGCGTCTTGGGTTAAGTGAATTGGCGCGGGGGAAAACGTAGGGAACACGGGATAACTGACATATGGTGACGCCTTGAATGATGTACTTCCAGCCAGGCGTTCAGGTCTAATGCATTTCACTGATTTCCATAGGAGTAGGGGAGGTGGCGATATATGTAATAGGCTGTGAAATAACAAGAAAATTCTGCATCCTGAGTAAAAAATGTGGAAACCGGGAACGTCTCAAGTCGCCTTTACCACATGATACGTGCCAAATACTCTATGGACACTGATATCACGGAGGCAAAGCGATAGCGCCAGGGCGAGGGACTGCTGTCGCCCAAACGCAGGAACCCAGTTTGGCCGCGGGGATACTCAGCCCATGCACAACCTTTGGCGGTAAGTATTAGCTGAGAACCATCGATGGAACGGCACGAGAGAGGTTGATGGACTTACCACGCTGCATATTACCAAAAACCATATGACGACCGTCATGACTTCCCCAAGCTGCTTGGCGTCTGGCCGTTGTGCGTCGCCAACAGTGACGGTCTGCAGAAACTCCAGCCCGACATAGAGATAAAAGATGGCCGACACCCCAATCGGCCCAAAGTGCCCAACGAAAAGCGCCTGCCGTCCATCTTCGATCTGGGGAATACGTCGATACAGGCCCAAGATGGCAGGGAGCCGCCTAAACAGCAGCACCAGCACCCCCAGCGCCGCCAGGCGGCCCGGGCCGACCACCTCGCCGGACCAGAAGCTGGCCCACGGGCACGCGGCGCCCAGCCACATGAAGACGGCGACGTTGAGGAGCATGTCGACCGTGGGCTGGATCGGGTCGTCGGCCGTCTTGAGCCGGAACCAGTCGTCCCACGTGAAGGCGTTGCCGGCCACGAAGCACGCCAGCACGTCGTCGCTGCCGGCCATGCCGCAGGTGCCGACGATAAAGAGCGCGAGCGGCACCGCAAACACCAGCAGGCTCTCCCGGTCCACGTGCCGCCGCCGCTCCGCCCACCGCAGGATGCGCCGGGCCGCCGAGCCCACGACCCAGCCGTAGCCAACGCTGAGGAGCACCACGTAGCCGCACGTGTGCCACAGGAACAGTCCCAGGGCCGTACCAGCCCCGCCTTCCGTGCTGCTGCCGCTTAACCCAACAGCGGCCTCGCCGACGCCGCCGGTGTACTTGATCAGATACAGCGCGAAAAACAGAAACGGATACCCCAACCCATCGTTCGCGCCCGACTCGGCCACGATCAGGTCCCGCAGCGCCGCGGGGACGTTCTCGTCCGCGAACCTGCCCTTGACGACGGCGCCCGCCAGGATGGGGTCCGTGGGCGCGACGCACGCGCCGATTGCGAGCGCGTGCAGGACGGGGAGGCGGCCCGGCACGGCGGCCCAGATGGCGGCGCTGCTGCACGCCCACGCGGCCAGCATGCCGGGCCCGAGCAGTAGCGAGAGCGGCCGCCACTGGGCGCGCAGGTACCGGCGCGGCAGCTGCACGCCCGCGATGACGAGCTGCACGCCCAGCACGAGCCGGCTGAGGGCGAGGGTCGCCGCGCCCAGGCGCTCGGGCGAACCGCCGGCGTAGTCGAGCGGGTCGAGGACGTGGACGACGTTGCTGAGGATGGCGCCGGCGAGGAGGGAGGTTACTGTGTGTGTGGTGGGGATGTTTGGTACTGGGTTCTGTGGGAGGGTGTTGATTTGCGTTGTGGGAGGTGCTTACCGGCTTCGGAAAGGTAATACTTCTCCTTTAGCAGCGACGAAAAGAGGCCGGAAAAAGTGATCCAGCCTCCCAGGACGCTGAGGATTATGTTGAAGTTGGTGATGGCCAGCAGCTCCATCTTGTCAGCAACGCGAGGAAATATTCAGAGCAATCACGGACGAGATGCAAAACGCTCAACAACAGGAAAAGGGGACGAGGCCTGTCGGGCAGATAAAGGGTTGAATGAGCCGCCCCTATCACCATTTTCAAGGATCCAGGCTGCTTGACAGGGTCATCTGCGCAATACAAAGCAGCGCCAATACGACCTAGAATTACATCAATGTATGCACGCTGATGGGCAAGCCCGAGTCATTTCCCGACGCTTTATCAACTGCCCACGTGCATATCAAAACTGCCATGCGTGAGAGCTAGCGGTCAAGTGCAGTGAGGGGCATCCCTGACACGTGGGCGGCGCTATCCGAGCCGCCCAAGCACGTCACGCACCCCCTTGCCTGACACCCCGCCAACAATTTCCCGGTCTTGACGACCGTCTCCCAAAAGCTCGAGAAGCCGGCCCCCCGGGTTGGTGCGGTATACAACAATAGAGCCCACCTCCTGCAGCAGCCGTCTGTAGAAGCCAGCGAGGCCCGAGGCCTCGGCGATATTCATCGCCGCCGAGGAGCCGTATACCTCGGCCGCGACCCGAAGCTCCGGCATCTTGAGGAACGCGGCACGCCGGACCAGGCTTGCCGCCACTTGCAGGGTAAGTAGGTGCTTGAGCCTCCAGACCGAGGGTGGGCGTTCGGCGTGGGTTTCGCAGATATCCCACACAGGTTCTCCTCGAGGCCATCAAAGCCGAGACGTGATCACAACCCCTGGCGCTAGCTACAAGCCCGGCCAGCCTGTCGAGAAAGGCCTTCATAAGCCTAAAGTCATGCCTCGCGTCATGGGGAGTGTTTTCGGTAGTTGAGCCGTCGTCTGGGCGTCCTCGTCGTTGCTGCCATCATCCGATAGGGCATCGACCTGAACTCGGTCCCTCAAACATACGAGTTTGGCAAACGCTTCGAGCTTGTCCTCGCCCAGGGGCCTGCCATCTCGAGTTTGAGATCCCGTCATTCATCTCGTCTTGGGGGTTTGGTGGCAAGTTCCGATTGAGTCGATGCTAAGCCCCACATGGAAAGTGCATAAAGCCGGGCGTCTGGTCGTTTGTTGGTTATACCCGTTCTGGTGGTCAGCATTTTATCTAATGGACGGGTACGTACGTATGCAGGCTGCGAGGGCGGGTACCTGGCAGGCCCGAATGGCACTATAAACAGAAAAAAAGCAGTCGGGGGATAAACGCCGTATATCTCTACCCTCAGTCAGTTTTCTGCCACGTTTCTCGCTTGACAAAGACAAGGTGGCCGGCGCCGCACCAGACGCGGTAAGCAGCCGCTAGTATCTATGCTCGATTTACCAACGCATAAATGTTATATTGGGCATGGTTGTGTAGTGCCATACCTTCCTCTGTCCGGAACGTTTACTTGAAGTTAAGGATCCATATCCCCAAACACGCAGACCTCCTCGTTGGCATCTGTGGGATCGTCGGCTGTCTCCTTAACCTCTTCGGCATCACCGCCTTTCTTTTTGGCGTTCCTCTGGCGCTTTTTCTCCTGATGCTCGCCATGCCCGATCCACAAGTTCTTGTTTATGGAACTCTGGCCGGGGATCTTCTTGGGGACCGGATTATGTTTGACGGGCGGGAGCCTTCCGCAGACTAAATTCCCACAAATTTGCCATGGATTCGCCACGCAGACGATGCAGTCCTCAGTCGAGGCATAGAGGATGGCCTGGCAGTGCATGCATTTGGCGAACTTGTCAGGAGGCGGGCCAGACATCTTATCCCGAGCGAGCGGTTCGGGCGTTGGCTCCTGGGCCTTTTTCGACGGCGGCTGGAGCGATGCGGGGGAGACGCAAGGGAAAGCGGGAGCCGATGGGGGCGCATTTTTGGGAAAACAGCAGCCGAGGCCACGAGTGGAACGAGTTTTTGTTCTCCCATGGCACAGAGTTGGTCAAACCGTGGACCCGTGGCAGTCGAGAAAAAAAAAGACAAATGCCGTGAGAGGAGGGCCTCATGATGGGCTGGGCGCGACGGGTGACAGAGGCCCAACCACGATGTCTAAGACAGTGACTGTTGGCTGTCGGTGGGCTGCCAGCCGCGAAACGATCCGGGCGCCACTCCCTCGCCGGCCGGGCCAGGGCAGTGCAGCTGCGGCGTGATGGTGTTGTTGATGAGCCCGGCAACAGGCTGCCAACCCCTGGATTCCAGTCTTTGCGTCCAATACAGGCCCCTGTCGAGCGAATGCTGCAGGCCCACCCCCCTGGACGCATAAGGCAGCAGCCCTGTCATAGCCGCAGGATGTGATGCCGCCTCGGTCAAGCGTCCAATCACGTTCAGAGTCCAGAAAACAGGCCGAGACAGAGACCTGCCAAGAACTTTCTCACTTGATATTATAAATAAGGTTGCTTCGCCCGACTTTGCAGCCTGCCTGTCTTGCGAGTCCCGCTATTCCTTTGATCGCACGGGAACGAGGGCGTCCCCGCTGTTAGCGGGCCGTCTCGATGCACCCGACTTGCCTGTTAGGTGGCCACCTGTCCGCGTTATGGGTGCCCATGTCCCCTCCACTAATACGACTGTTCGTTTGGAACGAGGGTGACCAGCTGGATAAAAAAAGGAAAAAGAAAGGGGAAAAAAGAGTCTTCAACCACACAAAAGAGAATACGCGTTAGTAGATTCATTCTTATATTAGAAATGGCTAAGCAGCAACAACCTACCCCGCGCACGCGCCGCCGTTTTGAAATTTACCTAGCTACGTATTTAGGTATTAGCGCAGGCCTGGCAACGCCTAGATCCACCCGCATCTTCACATTCTCGGACCAACAGTCCACCACAATATTGCTGCGCCCCAGACTTCAAGTAGTAATCGGATGTTCCTGGGAATAGTGCGGTGGGGAGACCAGGTAAGAAAAATGTAACGGAGAAAAGGGACGTATGTTGGTAGGAGTCTGGTACTCCTGTTGAACGGCTCGGAGATCTCCAAAGGTGATGAACAACGATCTCTGTGATCTGGGGTAAAGTCCTTGTATTGTGCATACTTGTGTTGAGCATAAGGAAGAAGAAGAACCTTTGGCGCCGAAGGGGTGCCAAAGGTAGGGTTTATATACAAGGGCTTGGCCCTGGGGCCAAGCTACGGGCCCAAGCCACGGGCCCAAGCCACGGGGCTTACAAGGGCCCAAGCCCTATAATCAAATCCTCCTTGGCCCAAAACAAGAGAATCCATCCCTATTGCATGCGCCGGAATATCGATCCGACAACGTAGAAGAATAGAAGAAGATTGTCCCCGGTTCTTCACCTTAACCTTGACGATGATATCGCTGACCTATACCACTTTAGGGCTAGGTTCCAAAGCATTGGACAGAGCAGACACCAAAATTTGCCTGATGCCGCGCCTTTGCGCAAGCCCATCCTTCCACTCGACGTGCATCACCCAAACCAGACAGGCTGTGCCCGACAGCGATGTAGTCTCGCCAAGGGCCAACCCAGCGGTTGGTGCACGAAAGAGAGACAACACCACAAGGTCAGCAATGGGACTTGAGGCGGCGGCGGCCGATGCCTCTGCCATGTTGTCCGGGTGCACTAATCTAACAACCTTGTTCGAAGCAGAATGCAGTGGGAGTGCCGGGTTAGACAGCACGTCGCTAGCTACACTTCCCCTTTCCGGCGGCTGGCCCATCTTCAGTCTAAGGCAAATTGTCCGGGCCTCGATCACGAGATACGGCAGCCTGTAGTCGTCCACGTAAAAGTGCCTTGGACGCCATCCGGGCGGAGGGGGAGCAGAGATCCTTCCGGCGTCCTGGGCTGTTCCGTTCGACTGGTACACGAACGTCACCATTCTCTCACAGTGGCGCTTGTCCCTCCCGGGGTCGCGGGCAAAACAGAGGGCATCGACACAGCAGTACCACTCACCCACAACCCGGAAAAAATCGATGGCATCGGAGACGGACTTGTCCAGACTCGGACGGACAGTCCCTAGCCAGCCTTTGGTGGCGGCGCTCTCCGGGCCGGACTTGGTAAGCCGGAACGAAGGGGAGGCGGCCGAGTCCGAGGAAAAGTAGCTGAAGGCAACATACCTGTCGTCCAGGCTTGCGTTCCTGACGCAGCCCGGCTCAAGGTCAAGCAACCTGAAGAGCAGCTTCGGGATGTATTGGTTCGGAAAGCGAGCCGCGTAGTCCCACGTGCGAAGCCGGTACTGTCAGCAGCGCGATAAAAAGACTTGGAGCACATTGGCAGGGCTCGCTGGGTCGAATGGCTGCTGGCATTCTTTGTGGTCATTGTCACAGGTCTGCAGCCAGCCGGCAACCCTGGCAGCAGGCTGCTGCATATGACCAAGGGCGTTGCTCATGGTAAGTCGCGCCCGTCGATCAGGCTTGATTGTGTGTGGCAGTTGTGATAATCAGCTTGGCTGAAATGCTGATCCTGTAGGTGGTGTAGCCCAGTCCAGACGAAAGTGTTGTCACCGACATAACGGCTAGAGACGAGGGCCTCTCTAGGGGTCACATAACCATGTCATATCGACATGGCCAGTCGCGTTGGTTGTTGAGCGAGCAAGGAGACAATACGCGAGGGTGCTTCGAGGAGCAAGCGTTGATAGCTTTTAGTGGGCCCGCTCCACTAAAACGACACCCCTGGAGCTCCACTGGCCGCCCCAACTCAATTCCACACGAGCCTGCTGGATTTTTTCTTTCTCACACATCAACTTCTCATTTGCTCCCTCGCCAACCTTCTCTCATCCGCCCCCGTGTCAAGGAATACTTTTCGTGCCGGGCTCACGCATCCATTTCAGCAAAGAAATAGTAGACTTTTATTTGTTCTCTGACTAGACCTAGCGTAAGTTTACATAACCTCCCTGTGCCGCAACGACTGGCTGCCCGCTCTGCCTGATGAATATCCCATGAATTCTGCAATTCCAAAACGGCGCAAGCCGTGGATGTAGACAAGATACAATTCACCTCTGATTGGAGCCGTGGAACAATCACTCGCCGTCGTCGCCGCTTTCCAGCGGAAACAAACCAGACTTGCTGACTTGGATGCGATAGATAGTTCCCTGCCCAGATCGCACTTAACCCATGACACCCATGTGTCGTCTGAACTGCCCTCTCACGTGTTGACGAGGGCGCCGTCGGGGTACCGGTTTCCCTTGACTTCGAACTTGGAGATGGCCTCCTGGATCTCGGACATGTCGGCGTCGGTCAGCTCGACCAGGGTCGAGTTCTCCTTGACGCGCGACCCCGCAGTAGCCCCCGGAATCGGGATGATCCGCGGCATGCCGGGCCGCTCGCTGAGGCAGCGGACCCAGTTGATGGCCAGCTGAGCGGGCGTGCAGCTCTTCTTGCTCGCGAGCTCCTGCACCGTGGCGAGCAGGCCCGCGTTGGCATCCATGTTCTCCTTCTGGAAGCGCGGCAGGTGGTGCCTGAAATCACCCTCTGGCAGGTCCGCCGCCGACTTGACCTGGCCTGTCAGGAAGCCGCGCCCGAGGGGCGAGTAGGCGACTAGCGGGATGCCGTGCTGCGCGCACGCCGCCGCCACGCCGTTGTGCAGCACGTCGAGCGACCACAGGCTCAGCTCCACCTCGACGGCGACGATCTTGGTCACCTTGACAGCCTCGTGGATCGTCGCGGCCGACACCTCGCTCAGCGCGACGCCGCCGACCTTGCCCGTCTCGACGTACTCGCGCTGGATAGTGCCCAGCGTCTCGCTGAGGGGGACCTTGGCGTCGCGCCGTGCGCATTCGAAGACGTCGATCTTCTTGCGGCCCTTGAGCTGCGCGAGGCACGAGTCGATGGAACGCCTCACGCCCTCGGCTGAGCCGTCGGGCACGAGGGTCGTCACGTCGATGCCGCCCTTGATGCTGAGCACCACCTTGTCGGCGTCCTCGGGGTGCTTAGCAAAGTAGCGCTCCAGGAGCACCATGCTGTTGTAGCTGGGGGTGCCGTAGAACACGCCGCCGTTCCAAAAGTTGCAGCCGCCATCCAGAGCCGTCTTCATAGCCTCAAACGCCTGCTCTTCCGGCACGGGAGTGGCTCGCCAGGTGAGGCCTGTCTTGCGTGTCAGTACCGTCGAAGAGTTATCAAGGGTGATGGATCGTAGGGGCCACTCACCCATCAGACCGTAGCCGATAGGGCCCACCTCTTGACCATTGATATTGGACATGTTTACTGTCTTCTTGCTGGGTTTCTGCTGATGTTTGTTTTCTGTTTGGAGTGACAGATCAAAGGTGAAAAGATAGCGGGCGAGGACAGTGGATTTTGAGCTGTGGCTTGTGCGTAGGGGTGGAGTTTATCAGGGAACACAAATGGGACGGCGATCCAGGTATTTATCCATTTCTCTTCTCTTGCCTCCTAGGCACTGGTGCCAGCCGGAGATGGCGGCACAACTAGAGCTTTTGTTCAGACGCAATAAACCCGCTGGCGCATGCCGCGGCTGGTCGAGGCCTGCTCCGCTCCCAGATCTGGAGCCTGTCGTCGATTGCATACCCAGGGGGAGGCCGCCACTCGGATTAAACAACACCAAGACACAAAGCCCCTCCAAACCCGCGACCCCACCTGCACTAACTCCATCTAAAGCCGCAGATGGTGGGGAGGCACAGCAGGCGAGAGCACGGATTTAGTCACCAATATTGAACCCTCCAGCAATGATTGCATGCATTTTCTACCAACAACTCCGATGCTCGGTATTTCCATCGATTGGCTCGGACCTAAACCGCATCCGCCACAAGACAACCCCCTTGGAGACCGCCCACACACTTGGACGACGCAGATAACCCCGTCCAACTTCAAACCCGCCCCCCTCTAGCGCCACATCCAATGCAACGCCGCTCGATATGGCAAATCCTACCCACCGCTGACGTCTACGGGGCAGCCGGCCTCCTGCTCCTGTTGGCAAACATGCTGGTGGGGTAGCCGTGCGCCGCGACGGCAGCCCGCAGGGCCTCCTCGTCGTCTTCGCGGATGACGCGCGTCCGCGCGGGGGGAGCCGGGGCGGCGCCCAGCCGCACCTATGCCGCCTCCTCCTGGTCCGGCGGGCCGCCGCGGGGAGGAGGAAGGGCCTTGGCCTCGCCCGCGGGCTGGCGGTGCCGCGCTTGGTTGCCGCCGCCGCCGTCGTGTGGCTGCTGCTCCATGCCGGGGCCGCCGCCGCGCGCCGCCAGGCCCACGGCGGCCGCCCACCACTCCGGGAACTCGCGCAGGCCCACCTCGGCGAGCCCTTCGGGCGTCGCGGGCATGGCGTGGTTGTAGCGGCAGTTCCTGCCCCACTGTCGCGGTTTTTTTTCGCGTTTTATGATTACCGCTTGGGTTAGTATCGAGAACTCTATAAAAGTGGTGGTCCGGGGAGGCTAGGTAGGGTCAGATAGACGGGGGAAAGAAAACAGTACCTTGCAGGTGCCGTGCACGCACCAGTGACGACAGTACGACGCCCCTCGGCCGTGGCCTGGAGCCGCCGCCCGGCCCTGGATGTGGCGGACCCAGGCCGGGTCATAAGCCTCGGCCGTCGACGGAGGGCCCCTGGGTTGCTGCGCCCCTGGAGCACGGCTGAACGGCAGCTTGACCAGCGACGGCGGCGGCGGCGGCGCCGCCGCCTTGTGCTCGGCAGCCATGCGGGGGGCGTGCATGGAGCTGGCGAGCCCTGCGCGGGCGGCGGCGGCGACGACGGGCTGGCGGCTCGCGGTGACCGAGGCGCAGCGCGACGTGGGGTAGTGGCGGTCGCCTTGGGCACCACCACCGCCCTGTAGCTGCTGCTGCTGCTGCTGCTGGCCATCATCAAGTGTGTTCTCGAGCGGCGGCGGCGGCGGCGGCGGCGGCTGCTGGGCAGCGCGCGAGTTCCGCTGGCGGGCTCGCTCGGCGGCGGCGGCGGCCAGGTCTTCGTCCAGCGCCCGCAGCAGGTCGGATGACAGGGAGCGCTGCTCCGGCAACGCCACCGCCGGCCGCTCCGCTTCCGTGCCGTTCTTGCCTGCATGTGCCTGCCCGACAGTGCCTAGCGTCTGGGCCTTGATGAAGTCGCCGGGCCTCCGACCAAACTGCTGCTGCGGCGGCGGCGGCGGTGGCGGTGGCGGCGCATACTCCTCGTGCTCATTCTCATTCTCATCCTCCTCTCCCTCCTCCTCCTCCTCCTTGGCGGGCAGCCGAGCCCGCAGGACACAGACCTCGAGCGTCTCGGGGGGCCGGCAGGCCAGGCCGACGCTGGTCAGGCCGGCGGCGTGCTGGTCGCTGAGCACGCGCGGCACGTCGACGATGTGCAGCCACTCGGGCAGCTGGTCGACGGGGATCAGGGGCACGTTTGTGCCGTGGCGGACGCGCGACTTGGACGTCTGGACCGCGCCCGGGCGGGTGAGGAAGAACTGCAGCGAGGCGGCCATGATGTTTTTGTGCTCAGGAGGTTTTCTTGCCGCTCGATTTCTGTACTGTGACCCAGATGTGGTAACAGTGTCGTCAGGAAATCTTCCAAGACGAGATCCGTAGGAGGATGCGTTTATATAATCGCAAGGGCAAACATGACACTGGACGCAAAATCAAATCCGCCCATGCTTTGCGGTACGCTATTGGTTTGCCGGGAAGCCGGCGGGCAGTTTCGTGATGGCTTTGTTTCCTCCTGCCTCCCGTGTGTCTCTGTCATGTTTGGGTGCAAGCAATGAATGCTTGCAACAAGCTTGGTTACGACATTTGTATGGACAAGTCAAACCTCGGATACATCTCTGTTTGTTTCTGCTAGCCAAGTTTAACTACACCACCTGCTTCTTCTCCACCCGTATCCTGGCCTCGGAGCCGTCAATGCAGTAGCCGAACTGGCGCGGGCTATCGATCAGGCGGACCTGGCGCGGTACCAGCCGCCCACGCCCCGCATCGGCGGCCCCCGAGCCCGCCACCTCCTCTTCGGCCCCGCTGCCCTCGCCGGACTCATCATCGAAGCCGGCCACCGGATCCCACTCGCCCGTCTCCCAGACCAGGCTCAGCCCCATGGGCGAGAGCCCAAAGAGCCGCCCCGCGATGCCCTTTACGGCGTACATGTCCAGCGAGCGGGGGATTTCCGCCATCTTGACCGCCTCCCCGGCAGGCGCGGCAGCGGCCTCGCCGTCGTCGCCGTCCGTGCTAGGCCTCTCGGTCAGATGGAAGTGGACCTTGACCAGGCGGCCGTCGAGGAAGGACTGGCTCATCTCCTGGCGTCGGACGACTTTGGGCGCGCCGTACTCATCGCAGAGCTCGCTCCACCGCGGGTGCAGGGCCAGCACGGCCGGCTCGGAGCCCTCGGGCACGGCGGCGAGCTGGCGGGCGATGCGGGAGAGGTAGAAGGCCTCGGCGTTTGTGCGTTCGGCCGGGGTGATGGTGCTGAAGTTGAGGTGCCGCAGGCAGGCGATGCGCGCGATGGTGATCATGTAGGGGTCCTCGTCCAGAGCCTCGGCCGAGGCACCGGAGCGGCCCCCTCCCGCGAGCGGAGCTGGGGTGGTGGCGGCGGCGGCCGGGGCGACAGACTCGTAGATGGGGTTGTGGGCGAGGCGCAGCGACACGAGCCCCGGGAAGCAGGCGGGTAGGGCGTCAACCAAGGCCCAGCTGGCGACGCGGTTGTACGAAAGGTCTAGATACTGGACTCTGGCGGGAAAGCGAGGGGGGCTGGCAGCGTCCCGGACGACGTCGCAGATGTTGTTGCCTTTGAGGTGTAGGTTGCGGAGGCATGTCAGGGCGGAGAGGGCGGTGAGATCCGAGAGGGCGGTGAAGTCGTTGTACTCGAGGTTGAGCGAGGTGAGCGAGGCGGCGAGTGAGGCGGGGGGCGGGGTGGGCAATGCAGACATCAAGTTCAGGCCGCATGACAGGCTGGTGAGGGCAGGGAAGTGTGAGGCGATGCCGCAGACGTCGGCCCACGAGAGCAGAGACTCGTCCACAGACAGGTCTACAACACTAGCAAAGGCAGAGTCCGGGATGGCGACGGCGTCGTCGTCTGCGGCAGAATGCCGGAAGCGGTTACCGTCCAGCCTCAAGATGCGCAGGTCGGGCAGCTGCGCGCAGATGGCGGCAACAGTAGCCAGTGACGGCAACAGGTTACGCGACAGGTCCAACTGGGAGATGCGTGGGCATACCTCTGCGACCGAAGATCCGGCCCCAGCGTCTTCGGCGCGGTCGACTTGGGCGCCGTCCACGATGGCGACGCGCAGCTCGTCGAGGCGGGCCTGCTGGCGGCGCACCTTGTCGAACCCGACCTCCTCGGCCACCTTGCCGGAGATGACGATCTCGCTGCGGCGGGGCGCACCGGCGGCGTCGTCGTTGGCGGCGTACTTTGCGCGCACGGCGTCGACAAGGGCGCAGGGCTTGTCCGCGGGCCGCGTAGGCCGCACGAACGAGGCGGCCGTGGCCGAGGGCGACAGGCACGAGAAGTAGCGCGTGCCGCGGTGGCAGCCGTCGTGCTTGCCGCGCGTCGCGTCGTCCCACTCGACGCCGAGCCAGGTGCCGGAAGTGCCGGCTACCTCGCCGGCGTAGCGCACCGTGCAAAGGGCGCCGTCAAAGGAGAGGCGCTGGCCCGGCTCTGGCAGGGAGGAGGAGGGGGAGGAGGCGGCCATGGTTCCGGTCAGGCAGGATCCCGACTGCTGCGTGACGGGTTCCCAGCGCAGAGGGGGCGCGGGTATATGCTGCCAAGCCTTGTATCAAACACACCCCTAGCTGTCGAAGAAGGTGAAGATGAAGCAAGTCTGCCTGGTGTTGGTAGTTGGGATGGACAGTCTGGTGGAGTCAATGCTGGAGCTCGACGGTTGGTTCCGCTGCAAGACCCGCACAAGCTTCGGTACATTTAGCACACCTGAATGTGCATTTTGACAGCCCGAACTTGACGACAATGTTGCGGTCAAATTGATTGGCAGCTGGAAAGCCACCAGCCTAAAACATATCGACTAAATGCACGCACCAACAGATGCGGCGATGCCCGAGCAGGCTCCAGGGACCGAGGCAAAGACGCCTTCGCCGCCACTCCTGGCCGCACTTAAAAAGATAGGCCATTTCGCATCATCCCAGCTGCTTCTTATCGCCTTTGGGCTTGCCTGTCTGCTGGCATATTATTTCCCCTGTGAGTGCCAGTCTATCTCCTCACCCCTATAACCACCCCCTAACCTAACCTGATGCCACAAATAGACATCGGCATCCAGGGCGGCCCCGTCAGAGCCGAGTACACCATCCTCTATGGCGCTGTAGCCTTCATCTTCCTGGTCAGCGGGCTGCAGCTGCCGCTGGAGAAGCTGCTCCTGAACCTGACCAACTGGCGCCTGCACCTCGTCACGCAGGGCGTCAGCTTCGGCCTGATACCCGCCATGACCCTCGCCGTCGTCCACATCACGCTGGCCGCCGGCGCGCTGCGGACGTCGGCCATCGACATCTCGGTCATGGTCGGCATGGTGGTGGTCAGCTGCATCCCCACCACGGTGGCGTCCAACGTCGTCTTCACGCGCGTCTCGGGCGGCGACGACGCCGCCGCCATCGTCGAGGTCGTCCTCGGCAACGTGTTTGGCGCATTTTTGACCCCGGCCGTGGTCTACGCCTACATGCCCTCGGCCCCAGACTTTGACCGCTGGAGGCCCGCCTCGCCCTCGACCCTGTCGGCCATGTACGCCAACGTCGCCAGGCAGCTGGGCCTCAGCGTCCTGCTCCCTCTAGCTGTCAGCCAGTCCCTGCGCCGCTTCTGGCCCCGCCGCGTCTCGTGGGCTCTCGAGAAGCTCTACCTCGGCAAGGCGTCTACCATCTGTCTTGCACTGCTCGTCTGGTATGATATCCTCCTCTTTTGACACGGTAGGGTGACCGCTTACACGACAAATCTGCCAAATCCAGGACCACCTTTTGCGGCGCCTTTGCCACAGAGGCATTATTCACGCTCCCCAAGGCCTCTCTAGTGTTCAATATCTTTATGAACATTGCACTATACCTATTATTTACCGTCGTTTGCTTCTACATGGCCCGCCCCCCACGTCTGTTGATCAGGGGCGTCGAGGCCCTCCTCGACACCAAACCCCTGCGCCGCCTTCCTCCCGGCCTCAAGGCGGTGCTGGTGCCGCAGCGCATGTCCAAAGAGCGCACTGTCGCCGTTTGCTTCTGCGGGGCGGCCAAGACCACCAGCCTCGGTATCCCCCTGGTGAGTGCCATGTGGTCTCACTCGGACAACCTCATGCGTGCCTTCATCCAGATCCCGGTCCTCCTCTACACCATAGAGCAGGTCTTCATCGCCCAGATCCTCGTCTACTTTTTCCGCTGGTACGTCAAGGAGCCTTCCAAATCGGCCCCAAGCGATAGCGAGGCACCGGGCAGCGAGACTTCGGAGCCGGGCCACCAACCTATCTGGGCAACGCTGCCGTCTGCCGACAACTCGGGCGCCGACAAGCGGCCCTAGGAGACTCGGAGCTGTATAACGCTCGATCCGGCTTCTACCCCTGAAATCAAATCTTCCCCAAAGACCCTCTTCCACTCGCGGTATATGCTGTCACGGATGTGCTCATGACCAAGCGACCGCTGCGCCGTCCAGCAAGCTGTGTCAGCAAGCAACTCGAATGCAACGCCGGGCCAGGGTGGGGTGTGGTTAACCAGGCCGACTTACTGGGTGAAAGACCTTGGCGTACGAGGTCGGCACATACCACCCAGAGTTCCCCTCCTGGAGCGTGGGCGTTATCAAGACATGTGCCGGCCGCAGCGTGGGATCCCTCTTCTTGGCCATGGCCATATAGCACGTCGCGAGCAGGCCCCAGTCGCCAGACTCCCTCGCCGGCCCGAGACAGCTATCCGGGTCGACGAGCAGGGCACCTTCAGGCGGGGCCCCATCGTCGGCATCGCCCGTCGAGTTCCCGCCGTTGTCCGGGCCGCCGACGAGGAAGAACCACGTGTCGCTGCGGCCATAGTCGGGCTCGGCGACCCCTAGCTCGCAGAAGCGGTGCCCGTCGAAGCCGCCGTCATAATCAACAAACAGCGCCTTGGGCCGCGCGGCGCCGGCGAAGCGGCCATTGACGCGCGCCACGACGGCCCGCAGCTTTGCGTTGGCCGCCAGCACGAGCTCGTTCATCCGCGCCCGCAAGGCCCGCGACAGCCTGGGCCCTCCCCACCAAACCCCCAACGACAAGCCGTCGCATTCCGCCGTGGTCGCGTCGAAGAAGCGCGCGTAGCCCGTGACGGCGACGGCGAAGCGCGGGCGGCGCTCCCACGCCACGCCGTCGAGCAGCTCCAGCAGCGCCACCTGTAGGCGCAGCTCAAAGGCGTCCCCGGCCACCAGCTCGGCGGCGCGCCCCAGGGCCGCCTCGCACGTGCCCGAGTAGTACGAGTAGAAGCGGAAGACGCACGCGTTGATGACATCGAAGAAGCCGAGGTCGTTGCCGCCCACGGACAGCGTCGCGAAGTCGGCGGGGAGCGCCCCGTCCAGCGACGCGATCTGCCCGCCCGCGTGCAGGAGCCCGTCGGCCGTCGCGCCCGTGCAGCTGCGCCACTGGAACGCGACGGCGGCCGGGGAGTGTCGGGACGCGAGGTCCGCGTGTATCAGCGCCGGGTAGCCGTGCAGCCCCAGCCGGCAGTCCCCCTCGGCGCCGTCGACGCCCGTCCCGATCCCGGCGCTGTACGAGTCCCCGAGGCTGACAAACCCGGCGGCGGCGGCGGCGGCTGCTGCTGCTGCTGCGGTGAGAGGCTTCTGCGCCGGAGAGGGGCCGGCGGGCGTGGCGGAGATGTTGTGAGCGGCCGCGAGAAGCGCCAGGACAGCGGCGGTGGCCCGTTGAACGTGTGCGAGGCGAGTCATGGCTTTCGATGTAGGTAGACCAGTTGTTTAGTCTGTCAGTCAGTGTTTAACCGGCCCAAAGAGGCCACAGCCAAAGGGGTTGGCCTCCAGGTTTGTGAAGAGCGGCAGAGAACAAATAGAAATTCAACTTCTCAGCGACGTTGGGCCGCCTCGACGAGGGCTGACGACGACTTTGACAGCACATTTCAATCGCGCAGGCTCCCGTGACGTGACAGGTCCTTTGATGGCTGCCTTGACCTGGGAGGTGTGGTAATCTCGTGCGTTGCTTGTGCTACTTCTCGGTTGGGAATGAAGCTACCCCACCACCAGCCTTTGGTTCAGCCAACAGCCTGTAAATCAAGCACGTTTTCGAGAGGAGCATGTATATGGTTAGATCGCTATCTTCTGTTTGAGTACTAACGCCGCACATCCTCATGCTCACAACTGCATCTTCTCGGACCACCCCTGAACACCTTTTGGTGGTTTAGTCGAGGAATCTTTCAAAAACGTAAATTACAGTGTCTATCGGTAGGTGATGGTCTCGTCGCAGGTTCACATCCTTGGCCGTCGCAACCACCAACGAAAGTGATAAAACAAAGAACATGGCAGAGAGAAGGACGGAAGACGTGTGAGGGATAACAAAAAGAAAAGAGAAAAACATTAAACAGGGCAATAAAGGGTATGATGAGACAGGGCGCTGCGTGGAAAATAATTTCGAGTCCAGAGCCACCAAAACGTCTATGAGTTGTTGGAACCACGGCGCAGCTTAGCCTTAATCTTGTGACCGAGGCCCCTCACGCCCTTGCGCTCGGGGCTGCTCGACTGGCTGGTGGGCGAGACGGGCTTGGAGCCCACCGAGTCGACCTTTTTGGCCGGCGGCGTCTTCTGGTGGCTGATGCCCTTCTCTTCCAGGATCCCTGTGTTTTCGTGCGATAGCGTCAGCTGGTGTATGAGGCAAGGGTCAAGGGGAGGAAGGATGAGAAAGAAAGAAAGAAAGAAAGAAAGAAAGAAAGAAAGAAAAAAGCAACCGCTTACTGTCTGCCTCGCGACCGGCGCCCGGGTTCGCCGCGTCAAAGTCCCCACCGTCGGCCGCCAGGCCCGAGGCCTTGACGAGCTTCTCGCCGCTGCCGCGGCTCTCCGACTTCTTGACACCCTCGTCCTCCTCTGGCGCGCTGGGGGCCTGCTGCGGCTTGGCGGCGTCGGCGTCGGCGTCGTCGTGGGCGGCGTTGCCGGCGTCGCCGCCGTGCTCCCTCGCGACCTGTTCGAGCGGCTTGGGGCCGGGCCCCTTGATGCTGGCCTGGTCGAGGGGCTCGACCTTTGTGTTGTCCACGTCGTTCATCTCGGCCGCGGCCGACGGCGACGTCTGCCCCTCGCCCGGCGCGCGCGTGCCCGACTGGTGCGCCGTGCTGTCGCCGGGCGTCTTGGAGGGGTGCGCGTGGGCGGCCCCGTTTGTCGGCTTGTTTTCCTGGCCGGCCGCGTCCTTGCCGGCGTCGGCGGCGGCGGTGGGGGCAGGGGCAGGGGTGGTGGGGGTGGGGGCGTCGACGGCTACGGCGTTCTCGGGGGCGTTGCCGGCGTCAAAGGGCTCGCCCTTGGACGGGTCCCCCTGGACGCCCGAGATGGGCTCCTCGTTTGGCGGGGGCGGGGGTGGCGAGGGCTTTCCCGCAACATCGGTCGTCTTGGGGGGGTTCTCGCCCCAGATGGCCTTGGTCGCGGCATTGGCGATGTTGTTGATGGTGTCCATGTTTGATGACGGGTGCGTGACGTTGCCGTCTCCAAGGCTAGGTTTGCTCGGCGAGTGTGTGTCACTTGCAAGGGGAGAGGAAGAGGCGGAGAGTTTTGTTTTTCGCAAGCAGTTCACCAAGCAGAGGAGGGGAAGACGGTGGGATGGAAAGCAGACTGGAGATTACTGAGCATGTGTCCTGTATGTAGAGAAGAGGGATCTGAGAGTCGGAGGGAGGCGCGAGCGGGCTTCAGAGTTAGACCCAAGTCTGGATAAATACCAAACGTGAACTTCCCGTCCAACCCAAACACCAACCTTGGCCCACCCCCCCTGGCCGGCGGCCGCCCACCTACGCAATTTTCGGTGGGATCTGTGAGCCCACGAGCCAATGCCCGAGCGCGCAGCCAGCCCCAAGCGCAAGGTGGCACAGATGAGAAAGAAAAAAAAGGGCTCCTGCCTGTCTGAGAGCTTGCGGGCAAAAGAAGAAGTTGCAGGAGGAGCAGCCGGGTGACGTCTTTGGTCGCATGGTCTGCCAAGCTTGTGGCAGGACTTGGGGGGGCGCGGATCAAAATACGCTCTGCGCCTTTCAAAATAAGCGTGCGCGTCAGCCAGCAAACAGGCCAGCCTGTCCGCCGCGGCCGTACATACGGGCACAAGAGTCCCCCGTGGCACCTTCGCCAAAAAAAAAAAAGGGGGGGATCGGGATCGGGACTCAAGGGTCCTCATCCTCGTCCTGGGAAGGGTGACGGCGTCACAGCACGTGCTGGCGATGGGCATGACGTATGTCTCGGCGGGACGAGCTGGGGTCAAGGGGTCAACCATTACGTCAGTCAGCCCACGCTAAAAATGGCATGTGGGGTAATCCCGCATTCACTTCAGCCACTGGACAAGACCAAGACCAAGAACGGGCTGTTTGGAACGAGCTGTTTGGCGCTTGATTCGCGGCTCGGAACGAGCTCCAAATGCTTGGACGGCTGGGTGATATTACATGAACAGTGAGTGACGTGCCAAAGTGGTGATGCCATGGGATGAGAGAAGGAGTGACAGGCGAAAGCAAACGATACAGAATCATACACAAAGCAGAAGAAAAATATATCCAAACACACACAAATGCCAAACCCCTACAGCTTGTGCGCCATGGCACCCCGGCGTCCACCCAGGATGATGGTAAACAGCTTGGGGTTGCTGTCGGCCACAGTGCCCGCCTGCTCGGACCCGCCGCTCGGCCCGACGTCGTCGTAGGGGAAGGCATAGCCGCGGCCGTCGGTGTTGACCTCGTGCAGCACGCGCGAGTAGTGGTTGCAGACGGCCTCGCGGTAGTACGTCGCCGGTACCTCGCCCTGGGGCTGCGCGGCGTTGACCAGCAGCGTGGCCCGGTTGAAGGCGGCCGCCAGCCGCGCCGCCACGTTGCGCGCCACGGGCGGGTCCGACCCCGGCGGCGGCGCGAGCGCCCCCGAGTCGGACGAGAAGATGTCGCGGGCGCTGGGCCGGGGAAAGGCCCCGACGTCGGCCGAGAAGACCAGCTTGTCGTCGACGACGCGACCCTTCTTGTCCCCCCACTGCGCCTGCGTGTTGACCACCAGGTCGGCGGACGCATACTTCTTCCACACGGCGTCGACGTAGCCGGCGTAGTAGCCGCTGAACAGGCCGTCGACCATGTGGATGCCCGTGTTGGGGCTGACGACGCGCAGCAGCTCGCCCGAGCCGCTGCCGCCGCCCGCCCGCACCACGAGCCTGTCCCAGCCGGCGCCGTCGCGCTCGTGCTGCCGCGCCATCTCGGCCGCCACGCGCGCCAGCCCGTCGGGCTCGATGCCCTCGACGCGCTGCGTGCTTCCTCCGTTGCCCGACTCGAGCACCAGCGCGATCGGGTGGCTGACAAAGTCGACGTAGCTGATGTTTGCAAACAGCTCCGTCTCGTTGAGCGTGAACTCGCAGAAGCTCCAGCGCAGCTCCCGGTTGGGGTCCGACGGGTTCACGACCGACGGCTCCACCAGCGCCGCCTTGTCGCCCGCGGCGCGGTTGAGGAGGAAGGTCAGGCGCGCGTCCTGCACGAACCAGACGCGCCCGCCCACCATGCGCGGCACCGTGACGGTGCGCGTCTGGCCCGGCCCCGCCAGCGGGATGGCGCAGTCGTCCCCGAGCGGCTGGAGGTCGGCGCCCGGGTTGGTCGGGTAGTACGTGGTCTGGCCGTCGCTCCGCAGCATCACCACGCGCGAGTCCCGCCCGACGTCCAGCCCCGTGACGTAGGCGAAGACGTTTGCCGACGACGTGTTGTTGCGCAGCGCGAACTGAACCGTGGTCGGCGTCGCGGCCGCGCCTGGGTCATGCTTGCTCGCAGGGTCCGGGGGGCTGGTCGGAGGTGTCAGGACCGAGTGGTCCTTCTGGAACCGCAGCGCCTGCTCGAGGGTGGTGGCCATATTGGACAGATGGGAAGGAGGGGGTCGCAGCAGAGTTACCTCGCAGGGTTAAAGGCTGATGGTAGAATGGCACCCTCTGATGCGAGATGGCACGCAGGATATATAAACAGGTTATACCTTGCATACATCATGTTCTGGCCGTTGAAAAAGACATGCGTACCTACCTCGCTCCTCCCCGTCTACCACTCGACGCCGATAGCCGAGAGAGCGAGTCACCCTGAAAGTCACTGACAAGCCAAGTCACTGACAAGCCAAGTCACTGACAAGCCAAGTCACTGACAAGCCAAGTCACTGACAAACCAAGAGGTCGCCTTCTTCCTCATTCATCACTTCTCTGACCACCCCGCGCGGCCCAACGCCGGCCATAATGCCAGAATCCGTCTGCTGTCCGCAGACATGTGGCCTCAGGAAAGCAGACACACAGTCCCGCGTGTGGTCACGGGCGATGACCTGCGTGCCGTCCGAGGGGCAGTATCGGTGGTTCCCTCCAGCTAGGGTGGCGAGCTAAAGTCGGCCCAGCCAGTCGGGGTGGGGGTTGGGTCGGATCGGGGGCCTCCGGCGTCGCATTGCCCTTGACCGCATGGCCCGTCGTCCGGCCGCCGGGAGTGGCTGGTGACTGGCGGAGAAAAGGGGGGTGTGTGTTCGTGCTGCGTGTCTGATGTTCTGGCGTCTGGGGAAGGTTGCCAGGTCGAGTCAGGTGCGAACCCTGCTGTGGGGTTTCCGGCGTCAGGTGGCGTCCAGCTACCGACGATTATCAAATCGCTCGCAGCACAGTGGTGTCACGTGCGTTTCCTTCTACATTTGGGCATGCTTTCCGAGATATGGTATTTTACGCTCCTATCATTGCACAAATATACAAGTTTTGAGAGGTCCGCCTCCCAAAGAATGTCCGTCGGGTGACCCCCTATCCCTCCTGCGACACTTGGTCTCATCAGAGCCCCAGGACTGCCAGCGCCGAGGCCGCGACGACGACGACGAGACCCACGCTCGACACCACCCTCGGCGAGCCCGACTGGCCGCCCGCCGGCCCCGGGTCGCCCGACACGGTCTGGTTGTTGGTCATGTTGCCCACGGCGGTGAAGAATACCGGATTCCTGACGTCTGGCGCGCTGGGGATCTGACAGACGGCCCCCGGCGCGCCAACATCGGCGCACCTGCCAGCCCGGTCGCCCTGCCGCGCCGGCGCCGGCGCCGACGAGTTGAAGTAGGCCCGGACGTAGCTGACGGTCAGGACGGCGTCGCGCGGCGGCGGGCCCCCGGACCACAGCGGGTTCCCGTTACTCCAGTGCTGCAGGATCAGGTGCCCGCCGCGGTCCGGCACCGCCGCCCCGCCCATCTCGGCCAGCACCTGCCCGTCGGCGTAGAAGACGACCCTGCCCTCCAGAAAGTCGATGCGATACTCGTGGAAGTCGGCCGTCGGGTCGAACGGGAGGTTCACCTTGCGGAAGTTGCCCGTCGCCTGCGCGTCGTACCCAGCCTCGACCGCCGCCCGCGACTGCAGCACGAGGTTGACGGGGAAGGTGCCGCTGCTCGCGTTGAACTCCCTCGTCAGGAACTCCATGTCGATCTCTTGCGTGTCGTTGTGGTACTGTTGAGTTTGGCGGTCGGGGGCGTTAGCACTGTTGTTGCTTGCCGTGCCGAGCAAAAAAACCTAGAATGGGAAAACAGGAGGACAACGAGAACGCAGCTTCGTACCCAGAAAAACGCGGCGCACGTGCCGGGCACGCCCGTCAGCTTCATGCCCACCCGGTAGGTGCCCCAGAGCAGGTCCATCCTCGCCGAGTCGACCTCGGCGACGGGCACCATGCCGTCCACCCGCGCGCTCCCCACCACCAGCTCGAGGCCCGCCGCCCGCCCGCCGTTGAGCCCGACGCCGGTCCGGGCGGCCGGGTCCCGGTCCGGGTTGGCCCTCGCGTTGGCGACGGCAAACATCTCGCCGTGCCGCCCGCGCGCCCGCTCGCGCGTCACGTTGAAGGCCTGCCTCGTCCAGTCCGTGCTGACGAGCGACATGTCGCCCACGCGCGAAAAGTCCGTCTCCAGGAGGTCCGTGAACAGCTGCGGCTCCGTGTCGTTGCCGACCCTCGCCGCGTAGCCGCATTCGCAGTCGGCTCTTGCCGGCGCCCCCAGCAGCAGCAGCAGCAGCCACAGCGCCGCCACGCTGGCCAGCCGGATCCTGGGCCATGCCCGGCTCGGTGCCGCCTCAGATGTCCGGAAGCCGCCCCAGAAGGTGGCCATTGTGACAAGCATCGAGAGAGCGTGTTGATGGGGGGGCTATCACAGGCAAAGCCCGGCCCGATCAGTTCCTACGTCGCCTTTGTAAATCCTCTTCAGGGAACGCAATGACTTCAACGTTCCGAGGAGATCAGGCGTTCCAGGCCATAAAAATAAGGTTGTGTAACAAGAACGTCGGGACCGGATCCTGTCCGAGCCCGCCAGCCAAGGCTGTAAAAAAAAAAGGTAAAGAGTAACTTGCGATGCGAAGCGAACGTAAACAAAAAAACGAGTGACTGGAGCGAAGTGAACGTGGGTGAGAGTGGCACAGAGGTCTGACGGGAAGGCGGTGGGGAAAGAAACTACGGACGACAGAATCAAATAAAACACCGAACACGAGGGAGGTAACGGCGCATGCATCTCGGGAAGAGGGGGGATCACAAAAAAAAAAAAAAGGCCATGTCCTTCCATGCCAAGCCAGCGAACCGCAACGAACCCCCTCGCCCCGCCCTAGCGAGGGGACCTGCAGTAGCCCCCGGGGGATGAGGAGGCTTCAGCTGACGTTTGTAGGATTCTATCAACTACCCCATACGCACCTCAGTCTTCTTAGATCGAAACACGCCTTCGAGCCTTAGTGGCGGGAACCTAATCGTCCTGCCTGTCTTGCTTGCACATACGTATAGACAGGCAAAAAAACCCCACGCGCGGCGATCCTCCTCGAACCCAATCCCCCCCTCGTGAGCGACGCCCACATGGGCAGATGCAACCACCCGACCTGTTGGGCCAAAGGGGCCGGCGCCCCCTTGACCGCCTGCTTCCTCACCGGCTGCAAGCGTCCGTTGCCCGTTGAATCACAGCCGCCGCCACCTCGCCTGCCCAAGTACCTAGGTGGCACTTCCTCAGCAGCACCTACCAACGCAGCCACACGACAAAAAAAAAGAAAAAAGAAAGGAAGACCCACCACCCCCGCGAGAAGCTGGCGAGCCAAGTGCGGGAAAAGGCACGAGGGGGTGCACGAGGGAAGGTTATGGGACCGGAGGCAAGCTTGGATCTCTAGTGTGCCCGTCCGCCTGTTTTATATCTTGGCTAGCCTTCCCTTATTTCGGGCTCGTGCATCCATCACACACCCCTCCCGCGCGTGCAGATATCCACAGCTAATGGTTTTCTGTGTTCCTGCACACACATACGAGACGCGAGAGAAGCTTGTCCCAGTCGGGAGGGTGCAGCCCACGGAGATGAGCAAACCTCGAGTCCAACGGAACGCTTTGCTCAAGAGGTGCCTAGGCACTTACTGCCTCGTGGGTGGTCTTGGCAGTATGCCGACCTCTCAACATGGCATATCCTGTGGGGGACCGTTGGGTCGATGGCCCGGCATCGGCCTCAGCACTAACGTCTGCATCTCCCCTGCTTACCCTTCCCGAGGGTCACTTTTATTTTTGCCCGCAACTCTTTGCCCGCTGGTTCCATGTCCAGACACCCATTCCCCAAATGAAAGGGCTGACTGATCCGCCTAGCTTGGGGACTAGCCTCGCCCCTCGCTCAGCCGCAAGGGGACCAAGGGGGAAGGAGGAGGCCCGAGTGCCTGAGCTACTGCCTCACCCCGCCTGCACCAGGCTGGATAAAGATGCGCACAGTTTGGACTTGACGAAGGGTCGATAGATATAATCAACCAATGTAGGTTGCCTGGCTAGTCACTAACTACATTCCTACAACCATGTTCTTGAAAGCAATTTTATCACAGTGGAGAACGACAGGTCTCGAGGACAGTATACGAGCCAGCTTTCCAACATGTCAACAACATGAGCGCATAGAATGAGTAATAGGCAGGTAAATTGCGAGTGTTCGACAATCCCAGCAGACAAAAGAGATCAGACGAAACGGCAATTCTTATATCGAACAAAGGTATCAAGGAGATGGACGGATAGGAGACATGAGAGTGACAAAACGCGCAACGAACAAGTAAATATAGAGATGAGGGAGAGGTGGCGGAGTAGAGGACTCAAGATGGCAGCAGAGAAGGATTAATAGATGTGTAGGGTCGCCGTAGCTAATTGGACAAGGAGAAAAAAAGACCTCCATATGGACCAGCCAACTGTTTGCAAGCAGATATTAGGGCGCACCAGGGGCGCGGAGATCCCTTCCTGTGTGGATCGTGCGAAAGCGGTTGACCAGCCTGCCCCGGTGCATAGCCAGCGGGCCTTGAAAAGACACAACGAGAACGCTCTATGCAGACTTGAAACGGAAACGCAACTGCGGCTGGAGGAAACTGACCAGTAAAGGTCGAGAGAGGTCGGCGGGTGAGTAAAGATAAAAGAGACAACGAGAAGCCAGGACCAACGCAAGCTGGAACATAGGAATGATGACTGTTTGGAACGAGAAGAGCAGAAAGGAAAAGAAAAATAGTGGTGGAAAGAGAGAGAGAGAGAGAAAGAGGATTGAAGAAAAGATAAGAGATGGAACGAGAAAATCAGCAAAAGATAAAATGTTTAACAAAAGCAACCGCAAAAAGCACCGCCGCCAACCACCCTCGCGCCAGACCCGAGAAGAAGGTCAAGAAAACTTCGACAGGTATATGCCTAAATGATATCCCACCCCCCATCAGTACAAAAGAAATCATAACTTCGTATCGATAATTAGTACACGCTATCCTCATCGGCCCCCTGCGAGGTCATGGATGGTGTCGAGGCATTCGATGATGCCTCCATGTCGTCTACATAGCCAACCAAGGCTTGTGAGTGCAGTCGGAAAGATTCACCCATGAGGCGCGTGATACTGTCCACAGTGTTAGCAAACACGGTCCTGAAAGCTAGTCCACGGGAACGCAACGGGAACTCAAAACTTACCCCCACACAACTACTTCATCCAGCATCGAGCCCCAGAGCCGGGCGACAATGGAGCTCAGCTGGGAAACATAAGCCTCGTCAAGATCCTTGTCGAAGAGCTGCCGGATCTTGTTGTACATGGCAAGCTCCTCCTCGGTCGCGGGCTCCTCGTCGTGTTCCAGACGGTACAGCCAGAGGCTGAGGATGATCATCAGATCCAACCCGCAGAGTGGGTGCTCGATGCTCCAGTTGGTCGGCGACGTGCGAGCCACCCAGCGAACGCCCTGGACCACGGCAGTCTCGATGCAGCTGAAGCATTCCTGAATGACCTTGATCATCTCCGTCGAGCGCTTGACCTTGTCCCGCGCGCTGGACATGGCGGCGGCTACCTCGTAAGCGTCATGGTACCGGAGCGCCTCCTGGACCGCCTTAAGGTCGACTTCGAGGCGAGCGCGCGCGTTCCGGAACATGGCCTTCGCATTAAAAAGGAGCGGGTGTCCTTTGTGAGGGGCGCTCAGCGGTACCGAGACCACCTCGGGCTCGCACAGGTCCAGGGATTTCTCCCACGTCTCCAGAGCGAGCCGGAGCTTGTACTCGGTCACGACGTCTTGTAGAGCCTCAGGACTGCGCTTATGATACCAAACCTCGAGGAAGAGGGCGTTGATCATGACACGCGTGGCAAAGGCGCTGTACTTCAGACTTTCGCCCTGAAACAGGTTCTCCTGCGTCTCCATGAAGGTCATGGTGGGCGAGGCCTTGAGGTTTTCGAGCCATGCGGCTTCGTCGGCGACTACCAGGTTCCAGAGACCTTCAGTCGACGGGACCTGCAGATCCTCAAACTCGTTGAAGCTGATGGCCGGGGTGTGGTTGTATGTGAGCGTCAACAGGCCAAAGAAGATATAGACTGCATAGTACGTGCGGCGGCAACCCTCGTCCTCAACCCACTCTGCACGCGTAGGCGGGCGGCCCTCACGGGCCTCCTGCCTGAGCTTCAGCTCGTATCGGTTTCCAGACACCATGTTGGCTAGCAGGCTCTTGATGGAGCATGCCCATTCAAGTCCCTTGGGGTCCCCACTCCAGCTCGCGAAGATCATGTTGAGCAGAGAGCTCTGCATGGTCCAGAGAGGGCACTTGCGAGAGCTGAAGTTCTCCTTGTTCTGGAGAAACTGGTTGACGAGAACCTTGGAGCCGATGTGCAGCGTGTAGGCCTGTTCCTGGTCGAATGCGTACAGCGCACCAATAGACAGCACAGCGAGCAGGATAGCCGATGATACCTCGGTGGGCTGGAAGGAGGACGGGTGCAGGAATGGCAGGTGGTGGTGGAACAACCCAAAGTAGGTTGCCAGGTACCTGTTGAGGGATGCTAGGTTTGGCAGGCGGAAGCCTTCTGGGATGGCGTGCTCAGTGTCGCTGCTGCGGATGTTGTCCAGCACCATATTCCTCTCCTCATCGCTGTGAACCTGAGGAGCCTTGAAGCCCGCGCCAGTTTGCGACTGCGAGTCAGCAGGCGTCAACAGACCGCCGTTGGCCAGAAATGGCGAGTGTGGGGGAGCTGAGCATTGCGCGAGATAAGTTGTTAGTTGCCAAAGCCTCATAGCGGATGACATAGAAAGAGTAGGTAAGTTGGAACTGACCATTGAGTGTGGGAGTGTCCAGTGAAGGAAGCTGGTTAGCATGCTGGGAAACAATCGAGCCGTTGAATGGGGGCTGCGACTCAAACGACCCAGACGCGCTAGATGCAATAGAGTGTGCCTTTGGCTCAGCAACGGCCTGCGGCATGAAAGTATCCCACTGAGGAATAGCAATGGCGCCGGAGGGAAAAGGCACAGGAGACTCCATCATATTCGCCCCGCCATGCGGATAAGTAGCTCCAGAACTGCCTTCTGAAGGACCGCTATTAGCACGCATCGCGGCGGTGGCCTTGTGATGGAGATCCGCCACCAGCATGGCGGCCGTTTCCACGTCAAAAATACCTTCGCTGCTGGCTTCTATCTGCTCCAGAGCAGCCGCGTCGATGGCAATAGGTTCTTTTGCAGGAGTTCCAACGGCCCTCGGCTTCGCCCCGCCGCGTCGCTTCCCATCGCTGTGAAGGGGAACACCGCCATCCTTGGCGTGAACGGTGCGATCATGACGGAGTAGCAGGTCGCGCCGCACAAAGGTACTGCGACATTTTAGGCATTTGAAAGGTCTTTCCTTAGTGTCTGGAGAGCGCGAGAAGCATCGTCGCAAAGTCAGCGCATGTCGCGGCAAAACAGGTTGGGGCGGGTTCGAGGGGAATGAGGGGAGCGCGATGGGGGCAAACTCACGAGACCTTTCGTGCCTGCTGCGATGCTCACTCCGGCTGAAGGCGCGGTTGCAGAATTGGCACTTGTACTTCCTTTCCGGTGCGAGTGAGGCCTTTCGCGAGGCCGGCGCCGGCGATGCAGGTGCAGGAAGAGCTGCTACACTTGCGGCTGGCATTGTGGCGGCGGCGGCGTCGCTGTGGTCGCGTCGATGGCGGAAGGCGGTGGTGCTGTGGTTTGATGGCGGCACCAGAAACGCGACAAGTTTGGTTGCAAACAACGGCTGCGGCGGCGGCTCAAACGGCGCCCGGAAAGCTTCTGGTCCCCTCACAGAACGATGACTGAGATCGCCCTACTCCTCGCTCGCACTCGCTCCCGTGGGGTTTAAAGGGTGTCTGTTTGACCTTGCGGGGTGACGTTGGTCATTGGCGATGATCTGCCGGTCATGGATCGGATTATTTAAATGTTGCGATTAATGGCCTTGGCCTTGTTGGAACTGGTGCCCGTGGCTGAGGATGCTGTCGTGCCTGCGCAAAACGATGGCGGATGGCGACGATGGATGGGGTTGCGCAAATTCGCCCGGTGGTGGTGGTGCTTGCTGATGCTCGCGGGAGAGGCTGTAAAGAGGGGTGGGTGCAGGTTCGAGAGTTTTTGGGAACAAAAAAAAAGGAGGGGGAGGAGGGAGCAGCACAGCACAAGAGATTGGGTGAAGGCAATGAAAACTGAGGCGGGGGGTACTCGGTACGTACCCAGTGTGAAGTACAAGGTACGGTTGTCTTACCTAAGTGCGGGAGGGTGTATCGCACACATGAGAGGCGGGGTGAATTGCCAAAGTGGAGTCGGCAGCAAGAGCCAGGGCTCCGCACAGTGCTGGGCTTGGTCAGAAAGCCAGGTGGGTGATTTGGGTGGGGCACGAAAGCACCGCGCTGGGAGAGTGGTGGGATCCCGGACGGCCATGTTTGCCCAAATTTGTTCAAAAAGGAAAAGGCGGTGCTGGGTTGCTGGCTCTGGCTTTCCAGACTAAGATTAGCGTGGCTGTCGGGGCAGATGAGGATTGGCTGCCCCTATCCATTGGTGGGGCCCGAGGCACGAGCTATCCTGGCCTGCCACCAGCTCACTCTCCCGGAAGCCTTCCTCAGCGGGTTCCATCCCCAGGCCCATGTTCTTTCAGTGGGCATGCGAGCAAGATGGTCGGGAGGTGTGTTGTCTCGATCTCACCGACTTGTCGCCACAGTGCGCCGGACCGCGCGCTGTTGTGCAAGGAGGTGGTTTTGCATCTCTTTTCGTTGGTTTTTATTTTTATTTTTGTCGCAATGTTTTTGCTGTGGCCTTGAGGGGCATCTTTGCGGTCAAGGCTGGGCGTGCGCTGTACCTTTCTCCAAGTTGGCGGGGATCGGCATCGACGGAAACGCGCCAGAGGCTGGACCTGATAGCTCCCGCCCGAACTCGACCTTCACTCGGTCCCGTCATTAGGCAGATCAATGGGGTATGTACCTCACCTGGAAAAGTACAGCCACCTAGGTCGATACATCCTCAACCGACGCGGGTACACCAAAGATACCTCGCCAGCCCACTTTTGTGAGGCCCCTCGGCAAAGGCGCTCTGTGCCCGCGCAATCCGCCCCTGATCTGGCCTTCGTGTCCTTGCTTCCCGGTGAGCTAGCCGAGTCACCTGCTGGCCGGCATCAAAGCCAGGTGGTGGTGGTGCGATTTCGCATCCCCTCACTGGGCTCCCACAGGGCGGGGAGATGCCCACGTTGTCACAGCGAGGAGGGGGTTGGCCTGCAAGCACTATTGCGGATGTCCCTGGCATGGATGTCCCTCCTCTCACCGCGTTGGTGCTTGCTGCCCAGCAGCGGGCGGGCGCCTTTTCCCCTCCACGCTACCCCACCCTCCTGCCACTAGCTGAGCGACTGTTTGCGACTCATCAATAATAGCATAGAACGCGCGCCTCCGTATTACTTTTCTTTTTGTGCCATCGCCCACTAATCTGTGCTTTCCTGGGGCTCTACCAGCCTCGACGGCTTGACCAGCTCGACCTTATCGCGGCCAAACATTGGTCTAGTGGGATGAACGAAGCAGGGCTGCATCAAGGCGGTGGTGTATGCCTCGTGCGTGCTGGGATCACCTTTGGATTGGCGGTAAAGGGTGCAGGTAGGCGGGACTTCTCAATGGATGCCACAACAGGCTTGTCAGGTTCATTCAGTAGCCACCACCCCGCTTGGTGGCATGGAGGAGGGTGTGTCCGTGTGGAAGTTCTGCCGATGCGTGAACGCAGTTGAACGCGTATGCTCCATTCCAATAGGGAAGTACCGCGTCAAGCCCATTCAGCACGAGACTGCCAGACCCGGACTTGATAAGAGCCGAGGGGATAGATGTGAATAGCATGTGCCTCTTTACTGAGTGCGTTATGTAGTTGAGAACATTGATGAATGTATTGATACGGAATTAGGCTTGCCAACTCCCGTCTGTAAGCTTACGCACTGCGTTGGCTTCCGCCCGGAAACCTTTGCCAAGCAAGGACTTGCCTACCTGCTAGCGGCTATATTCAGGAGGTGCGTCTTGACACAGATACCACCTCCCCCAACGTGCGAGTCGACAGATCCACTCACCGACCGCGAGGCAACAGGACAATGGATGCACAGCGGGGACAGCCGACATTGCAGTGAGCTGGGTCTTGATCAATGCGCCCTGACTCGGATCAAAGTACACAACCCCACCTGTGTCGAAGGATGGTGGAAGGCTGGAAGCTCTTCGTGGGCGACATGGAACCGAGCTTGAGCACCCGCGACGGCAGTCTGAACGGGATCTAGGTAGTAGCTGGGGTGTACTTTTGGGGTGCTTGGGGGTGATAAGGGGCAGCTAACCTGCGTGGGAAGGTGGCGCCTTGATGGATGATGCACATACGGTGTAGGTCTTGGGAACCCAGCTGCACCCAGCTGCACCACAACTGTCGTGATGTGGAGGCAGTTTGCCATTTTGCGCCATTCAGAGCCCATCCGCGCCCACCGCCTGCAATCAATCTATTGAATGCTGGGGAAAGCGTGGGTTATCACCGCTACAATCTACTAGAGTCCCGCTGCTTGGCTCGAGTCTTTCTTTTGCCCCAACTGTACCAGAAAGGGGGCACTAACAAAATAAACAAGAAGAAAAACTCTGCCTGCAGGCCAGCCAGGCGACCTTGTCGCTCCCCTGCTTCCGGCGCCGCCGCACTGCACAGTGCAAGCCTTTCGCAACCATTACCGTACGGGTCCCATCTTTCTGGAAGGGCCCCAGTCGCCGGGTAACCTTGGGCGGGACATTCCTTCGCAACGGGACTCGTGTGCTGGCATCCCAGTGGAGGCGACAGTCGAGTGACCTGGAAATTGGCGGGGCTTGCGAAAACCGCGGGAGCGTTCCGGGCCCCGCGTGTTTCCCTCTGGGTCCACCGCGTGCTGGTCCCGGGTCTGCCACCACCTGGTTTTGACGCGTCGGTCGGGCTGTCCTTGCCCTGCATCGCCTCCCTCGCCAACGGGCCCGTTGGAGGACTTACCGTTTCGATGTCACAAGGTCCGTTGACGGTGTGGGATGGTGAGGGCGGCGGTGGCAAGAACACGGGCAATCGAGCAAAACAATGGCCTAGGTGATCCAGCTTCCTCAGGTCCGGTCTTTCGATTGCTAAACGCGACAGGCCTGGGTCCCTACCTGTACCAGGTACTCGGGGTGGGCGAGGGGGACGGACTGGTGTTTCCTCTTTGCTTGGCAGTTATTTGCCTTTGGTCAATGGGACTGCCTTCCCGCCGAGGGGCCCAGGATCTTGCTCAGCTGGCGCGGATGGCTGGCTCGACCGCGCCGATGGACCCCCAGCATTCGTCCTAGGAAACGGGCTATGAATCTCGATGGGTCCAGGGAAACAGCCCTGACACCTCGGTCGCCTGAGATTTGACTACCCTGGCAGGCGAGGGCACCACCAGCCCACCACCAATAAGATCAATCTACGGTACGGTCTGTGTAGCATCAGCATGCACGTATTTCAGCATTGATTTGCAGCACGACATCCAAGATACTTTATCGTGGTGTTGAGATTGCCTGCCGGTTGACAGTGGCCGCCCCTTACACAAGTATGTTGCTAGTAGATTGTTCGTCATGATGTTCGATGAAGCGAGCGCTGTGGCCTCATAGGAAGGAAGGGGGAGAGGAGAGGGGACGGAGGAGGGGGAGGGGGAGAGAGCAACGAAACCGGACGACGGCCTCCTGGGCTTTCACCCCCCACATTTGACGGGGCACGGTCCGCACAGAGAAACCTTCTCGAACGCGTCTGCAAGGAAGGCGACTCATGGCCCTGGCGCGGGATAGGGGGCCTAGGAGGCGAGGCGAGGCAACAAGGGAGACAAAAAATATGCCAGAGAAATTTCCAGACCCTGCAAGTGGAAAGCCCCAAGCGAGCGTCTCCGGCTGTGGTATCCCACCCTAAAGGGGCCTGATTCGAATTGGGATTCGAGAGCCACAATCAGCAAAGCCTAGAGCCTTGTTAGGCCCTGACCATCACGTGATATCCCTGCCAAAAGTCATGCCGGCGCCTTGTTGGCGACGACGGCGTGGGTGGTAAGTCCGGTGCGGGGTATGTGGTATGTACAAGCTACCATTCTGTATAGATAGGTAGTAGGCAAGGTACCGTACCATTCAAGCCACTCCAAAAGTATGTTCAGAACAGATCACCGCTATCAAGGTGCACGAACTGTGCGTTCATGCGGCATTGACAACGTGCATATGTCCCAACGCGGATTCCAACGAACCAACCGGTCTTACCACGTTGCATGGCTACCCGGCATGCATTAGTGCTTCTGGTCAGTGCGGAAGGGAGGTGGTAGCCAGGCCGCAGAGCATCCGTCTACATACTGGGCTCTGCGAGCACCGGCCAGTAGGTGTCCTTGCCAGCGACATTTCCCCCAGAGCAAGCAGCAGCCGGCATCGACAACGTCGTCATCGTCGTCATCTGCGCATCCACGTTCCTGCGTTAGTCCCGTGCGTTTACGTACTGTGGGTTGTCCAGCGAAAACTCCGGGGCTTCCCTGGCCGAGCCGGATGGCGGGCCGGAGGGCAACGGCCCAGAGCGAAGATCAGCAAAGGACATCCCAGGCGAGATCGGTCTTTGTCCATCCAACCATGTCTTCCCTACCCCGCATCGAGCAGTTGGCGGACTTGTCTTGAGGCGGCGGGGGAGTGCATGCGTTGGAGCTCTTCCGTGGCCCGGGTATATTGTTTCCCATTGGGCGGTTAAGTACAGACGGCAGCTTGTGGTTTGAGGTGCTCGGACCCGACCTGCCAGTTCATGCATTATCGAATACGGCAAGAGATCCCAACGTCAGAGGGCATTGTATTACTGGGTAGTATACATGCCATATCGTCGTGGACAGCGTCGTTTCTCTCCAAGACGGTCGAATGGCCGGATCTTAATAGGACATGGATGTGCGCCCAGGTTACCAGAGTTGTACGTGCGCGGGTGAAGCCATGGTCCTCGAGATGTCTCTACGAACAAACCAATGTGTGTAGAGTTATATACCCGATACGTATTGTGATGGCGTCACGTGTTGGGTCAGATGTAGGGACAGAGGGTCAGTCAACTCGTGCATATCCTTGAAGCGGTCAATTGGATGGACACATGCGGAAAATGTCGACAGTTACGTGGGACAAGCGCCTTGTATACCTAGCTGATGTGTGGTGATTCGAAATGGGCCAGGAAAACAGCAGATCGGGTCAGGAACATATTCGAGAGGGCTAACATCAAGATGCATATCCACACAGCGCGATAGCCTTCGGTGTATCCTTCGTCTTCGAAGATAGATAGGCGGACAGATAATGCAGGATCCTTATCGAGATGTATGTAGAAGGGCAATCGTTGTTAGCAAATGCGCGACTCAAGCCTAACTCCTGGCACGACTTGGGGATAAACCCGATGGCGCGGGAGCTATCTGACTGGACCTAGACCCGCCGCACCTTTTCCCCTCAATCCTTTTTATTTACTTGCTCAGGTTGCATTTGTTTATTTTGCTTCCCGTCGCCCAGGTCTCACCGCAGCACGCCTGGTTTCTGTACAAAGGTAGATTTTGGGTAATCATTGGCCTCACAGTCGCTCTGCATTGCATAATTTTTCTAGGCTGTAATCTCGTTGTCTTCATGTCCTGGGCCAGCTCGGCCGCCCCTCCATCCAGCGCTTAGGCAGGCCGCTTGAAATCACTGCGGGTTCAGAGCCGGCACCACCGGGCGGTAAAAGACCGGGCTGGCGAATTGGACTGCTTCCACCTTTGGCCTCCGCCCTCACCCGTTGCTCGCCCACCAGCCAACCAGCTGCAGCCAACGCCAGCTAGCCTAGGTTCCATACAATTTGGTCGCGCTGCGCCGCACCCCTCTACTCATCCATCGCATTAGCGATTTGGCTCGACGCACCATCTGGGCGCAATTTTGGACATCAGCATCACGCCCACCGCCGTTCCCCCCTCGCGATCAGCCAACTCGCCAAAGCGCCGATTCCTTTCCAATCGCTCCAAGACACTCGCTCTCCTTGCTTCGTCCGTCACCCGACCCGCCGAGACATTCCAACATCCAGCCAACCTGACCCCACAGGAGACGCTGCCTGCCTGCACGGACCTGAAAACACCACCGCGGCGCCTGCACAATCACTACCATCACTACCACAACCCACCACACCCCTCCGCCGACTTCCACCCAGCCCACCTGCCGTCCCACGATACCAGAACCATCTGGATCACCGGGGCCATGGGAGGCAGGTAGACGAGGGGACCATGATCTAGAAAGGACCCTTTCTCCGCCGACGCTGGATCACGATGCTCATGACACAGACCGCGGTGTCGGCTCTTGGTCAGGCTCAGAACTCATCCGCTCCAATCTCCTCATCGGCTCGCCTTTCGCGAGCAACACATTCCCAATCGTCGCGGCAGCCGTTACCAGGCGACTACGACAGCGATTTCCACCGATCCCACCACGCAACGCGTCCCCCGACGGCGCACATGAATGGCATCATGGGGACGGCGCCTCCCGGCTCTATGTACGTCCGTGCTTTGTACGACTACGAAGCAGACGACCGTACCAGTCTAAGCTTCCACGAGGGCGATGTCATCCAGGTCATCACACAGCTTGAGAGCGGCTGGTGGGATGGCGTCATCAATGGTGTTCGCGGCTGGTTCCCGAGCAATTATTGCCAGATAATCGACGACTTTCCCGAGCCCGAACAGAACGGAGTTAGCGAAAATGTCGACGAAGAGCCCGAGGAGGATGTTTACGAGGAAAGCTTCGATGAAGAAGAGGAGGAAGACGATGACTTGGACGGCACCGGCGTCGTGCCCCTGGAGAAGCCCGACTCTGGCACCAGCAAGTCTGGAGCCGACTTTTGGATACCGCAGGCGACGCCCGATGGCAGACTTTTTTACTACAACACCATGACTGGCGAGACTAGCGTCGAGCTGCCCCTAGAGTCGCCCACATCGCTCGGCGAAACTGGGCCCCGTGATCGCATGAATGTTAACATCCCCGAGAAGACGCGCCCGCCACCAGAGATGATGGCGCGGGGCCTCACGCAGGATGAAGATGACGACTCCGATGTTAATTCCGCCTCGGAGCTCGAGGGCGAATCCATCATGCTGGGCGGTCCCAGCCGTGCCATGGTATGCCAAATACCCCTTCGCCTAGTGACTTTCAAAAGCCCCTTTAGCGATGATTGCCAATCCCAAGCACCAACCAAGCTTTACCCTCCCCAAAGCCCGTTTGCATAGATAATCCTCAACCATGCCTCTGACAAATTAGCAGCAGCCCCGCAACCGAAGGTCGAACCCGAACGACATCCTCTCTCCGTCTGCATCTATGGATTCGATGAATGGCCAGACACCCGTAGTCCGGGGCCGGAACGAGATGTTCAACGGAGCGAGCAACAATCTCAACCCGACACCAATGATTGCCTCTGCCACATCCTTTTCGACTTTCAACCTCCCTAGCGCCGCCAATATACCCCGCTCATTCTTCGACGACGGAAGCACTCCGCCCCTCACATGGGCTCGCCTGGTGAACAGCATGAAGAGGTCCATAGAGCGGTACCGTGAGGCCATAAAGAGCAACAACAGGTCCGAGTACGTTGCGCGCGCCGAGGATATCTCTGACCACCTCCGCCTCCTCCTGGCAGCGGGCTCCGGCACCACCGACAACCACTCGGGCCAACCGTCCATAATCTCAACCAACAAGGCCCTTTACCCACACTTCCGCGACATGATGTCGAAGTTCTCCAAGCTCGTCATATCCTCACATATTGCCGCGGCCGACTGGCCCAACGCAGAGTCTGTCCAAAAGTGCCTCCAGGAGTCGGACGGGGTTCTTCTCGGGGTGTTCAGCTACGTCGAAGTGGCAAGGCAACAGAGGGGGGAGGAGATCCCCCGGCTCTTCCCCGGATTCGTCATCGGCAGCACTGCTGGGGGGAGCTGGCAGAACAACGGCCTCGGCGGCCGCGACCCCATTACTGCGAACTTCCTGGACGACGACGAAGGGGCAGTAGAGCCCACCGCAGTCCTTGACGGCAAGCTCCTCGAGAGACTGGATGAGCTCAAGAGGATGCTGGTCTCTAGCATACGCGAGCTGGACAAGAGCCTGGTAGTCACCGACAAGGTCGTTGTCCCCTACCGCCACGAAGTGATTGGCAACAACGTCTGCTCTGCAGGAGGCAAGGTGCTGGAAACTTTCAAGCCGTGGATCGCAATGATCGAGTCGATCGACCTGTCCTCGCTCGGCAACACGTTCCAAACACCTCAGCTGTCGGATTTTAGCACCAACAAGCAAAGTCTATATGACAACATATCCGACTTGATCCTTGGCTGCCAGGCGGTTGCAGGACCCCTCGCCGACGAGTGGTCCGAGGTTCGGGGCGAGGCGTTGGAGAACAGGCTTGAGTATGTGCGACAGTGTGGAAGGGCTCTCGAGACCAATTCGTCTCACATTGGTTTCTCGCTGCAGCTCCTGTCAGAGCAGGTCCAATTCAACACCCAGCAGCAGATGGAGGCGCGGGCGCAGGAGAACCAGTTCCAGCGCGAACCTCCTAGGCGTACAGAAACGATGCCATACCAGCCCTCCCACCAGCGAACCGAGTCTCAACGAACTGAGCCTCGAGTCACCGCTCCGCAGCGGCCACCCTTTATGCAGTCGCAGTCTTTCACCGATGGAGATCCCGTGCCCAACCCGACCTTCCGACAGGTCGGAAACTCCGCCAAGCTCAAGAAGCTGCTGGGCGAGGACCCCTCGCCACAGACACAGGCGGACGACACACCGGATTTCCTCCGTTTGGATTACGAAGAGGACATATCTTGGGATACCAAGCCGGAGTCACCCACAGTCAAGGGCGGATCACTCCTCGCCCTTGTGGAACAGCTAACACGTCACGACAAGCTCGATTCGAGCTTCAACAACACCTTCTTATTGACGTATCGCTCCTTTACCACGGCCCGGGAGCTCTTCGAGCTTCTGGTCAAGAGGTTTGGGATACAGCCTCCCGAAGGGCTTAGCCAAGCGGACTTTGAGGTTTGGAGAGAAAGGAAACAGAAATTGATTCGTTTCCGCGTCGTCAACATTATGAAGAGCTGGTTCGATAACTTCTGGATGGAGGATTCGAGCCTAGACGAGACGAAGCAACTGATCCGTGACGTCTACACGTTCGCCCGAGATACGGTCAGGTCGACCGAGACGCCGGGCTCGGCGCCGCTTATGACCCTGCTGGACCAGCGGCTGAGCGGCAAGGAGGCAGGGGCTCGGCGCCTGATCCAGAACCCGAACCAGCCCACGCCGCCACCAATCATGCCCAAGAACATGAAGAAACTCAAGTTCCTTGATATCGATCCGATCGAGTTCGCGCGACAGCTCACCATCATCGAATCCAGGCTGTATGCCAAGATCAAGCCCACCGAATGCCTGAATAAGACGTGGCAGAAGAAGATCCCAGAGGGCGCGCCCGAGGCAGCGCCTAACGTGAAGGCCCTCATTCTGCACTCCAACCAGATGACGAACTGGGTGGCCGAGATGATTCTGGCACAGTCCGATCCGAAGAAGCGAGGAGTGGTCATCAAGCACTTTGTGACAGTGGCTGACGTGAGTGCTCCTCCCTTGTTCATCGAATTCTTGCAAGGTTTGCTGTGCTGACAGTGGTCTACAGAAATGCCGTGCCCTGAACAATTTCTCAACATTGACGTCCATCATATCTGCTCTCGGAACTGCGCCCATTGCGCGCCTCAAGAGGACATGGGATATTGTCACCCAGAGGACATCAACGACACTAGAGACGATGCGGCGACTGATGGCAAGCACTAAGAATTTCGGAGAATACCGAGAGGCACTCCACGCGTCGAACCCACCCTGTATACCCTTCTTCGGTATGCGAACGCCTGCAACCCCGGCCATGCTGCCCTTGCCTCTCGGTTCTGCAGCTGCTAATTGCTTTGTTTTTTTGTGTCCTCAGGTGTCTACCTCACGGACCTGACCTTTATCGAGGACGGCATACCCTCGATTATCAAGAAAACCAACTTGATAAACTTTGCCAAGCGCGCAAAGACGGCAGAAGTGATACGCGACATCCAGCAGTATCAAAACGTCGCGTACTCGCTGCAGCCAGTGAACGAGCTACAGGACTACATTCTTAGCAACATGCAAGCTGCCGGCGACGTGCACGAGATGTATGACAAGAGTCTACAGGTGGAGCCTCGCGAGCGTGAAGATGAGAAGATTGTGAGGTAAGTTTTTCGCGCCGCCCCGACTAGACGATGAACTCTCAATGTCTCCTGCCTGTTTTATGGCCGCTGACGTTATTTATCTCGGTCTGCAGGGTTTTGGCCGAGTCCGGCTTCCTATGAGCGACTTATCCCCCTTCGACACGGGCAGCGCGCACACGGGATACACCCACGTAGCCGTGCACTAAAAAAACAAACGCACACGTCTCCAAACAACAAGGCGAATAGCCACCGCTGTAGGCCTCGTCGGCCCATGGCCGAGAGGTGCACACGGGGCTCCTGCAAGAGACGCTCTAATGACTATTCCGGGCAAGCCCTTGTTTGTATGTACATAAGTCTCTTCCACAGCCTTTTGTTGACGATCACGATGACCGCGGCGTTCATGGAGCAAGGAGAAAAGACAAGGGCGAGCTCATGGTGACGACAGAGAAAAGCACTGGCCAAGGTCTGGATGCACACGGGACAGGGCAGGGCAGTACGGCAGAGACGACGGGCCGGAGGCTGCGAGGCTGGCCTGGATGATATCGCCGATGCTGCTACCCCCTTCTGGGGCGGGTCAGGCCCTTGGTAATTCGAAGCGGGACAGGCGGTAGACTTGATTGGATTGGCCCGCGTTGGGCTGGGTTTCTGGGAGGCTTGGATGAAGGGGAATCAAGGCCCTGGTGGGAAGGGCAATAGACCGTCCGCCAAGCGTCAGGCAGGCCAGGACAGCTGCCCGGTCCATGGATAAGCACGCGCAGATTTCGTTCGACGGCATTTAGCGGACGGTGTTGGTCGTGTCATTTGCAAGGCAGCGTCGATATATACAAGTCATCTCGTCGCTTCGTGATTCAAGTAAAGTAGGTAGCTATATCAGCTACGGTGGTGATTGTGTGCGTGGGATATCTGATGGTCATATAAATAAAAAAACAAGCAAGAAAAACCGATGCAGGATGCCAGAGGAAGAAAATGGACATAAAAAAAAGGAAAAGAAAAAGAGGTGAACAGAAAACCGCAAGAGGAACGAACACTAAGCTTAGTCCGCCCGATCGTCCTTGGTCTGCGGGGCGGCGGCGGCGGCGGCGTCGCCCTGCTGGAGCGACGACTTTTGTAGCCTCTCCTCCTGCCGCTTCCAGTGGCCGCCCTCCTCGTAGTCCTTGCTGATCTTTAGGGCGCGGCGCAGCCGCTCGCTCTCCCTGATCTTTGCGTCGGCCAGCTCGTGCACCTGGTGCATCTTGAGGTCCCTGCGCGGCGCCGCGGCGCCGCGGGCGGCGGCCCTGTCCGACTCGGCCAGCAGCTTCTGGCGGAGCTCGTCGCAGCGCTTTTCGATCTCGTCCTCGTCGACCCTGATTTTTTTTTGGTGTTGTTTTGTTAGTGGGTGAGACTGGCTGGCTGTCTGGGGAGAATGGAGGGGGTAGGGGATAGCTCACTCCTCCTCCTCGAGCTTGTCCCGTAGCTCAAACACCTTGACCTCGACCTCGCGCTTGCGGTCGTGCTCCAGGATGGCCTTGTCGGGCTGGCGCTGGCGGTGGCGGAGGCCGTCGAGGTCCCGCGGTGGGTAGGGCGCGGCGGCGTCGCGGGGCCGGATGTGGGCGAGATTGCGCTGGACGTAGCCCGAGGTGCCGCTGCCCCTGGGCGTCGACAGGCCGACGTTGTCAGACATTGGAGGACTCTTTTTGTGGCTAGGTCGGTGCGGTGTGGTTGATGTTGGGTCGCCAATGGATTCGACCCCTGTCGGCGACGCGAGCGCGTTCCATCACTTTGGACACTTTGAGGCATGAGTGACGCAAGAAAATCCCCCAGCGGGGCTGTGGGCTGGGGCTGGGGCGGGCCTCTGGGGGGGTTTTCCGCCACTCAACAAACCCCGCCAGCGATCGAAGTTACGCGAACGACCAAAGCTGGCCGGGCAGATATACCAAACGGGAGGCAACGACATTCCAGTCTGAGTCACAAGGCCTTTGCAAACTTCTCACACAAAACGCCTGCCAATTTGGACACTTGCCATTTGCAAATAGTGTCCTGCCCAGTCGTCAGGGACATATAGTTGTACTCAGCAGAAGTACCTCTTGGCACTTGGGGGACGAGCAAACGCATGACAGCTACCTCAAGGGGACCAATAACAGCAAACAGCAAACAGCAGAATGCCCAGCTTCGAGAATGGGTCAATCGCACAGGAGCCCTCGGGTTCGACCCCAGCCCAGCAGCCGCCGGCACAGTTTCCACCAGTCTCCAGGAGTCATATATTGAACTGTTCTTATGACGCGTGGTTCCCAAGGTATTTTGCTGAGAACCGGCTAACATGAATGACAACGCTCAATGCTAAAAGCACCGCGCCTAGATACCGCACATCCTGCCTCAAGTCGTCTATCATTAGGCTGTCACCAGAGTTTGTTGATTATCTTCGGGAGGATGGCATCATCCTGGCGGACGAGGAGGCTACCAGTCGTGAGGCCGGTGGCGACGAGGGACCAGATGATGACTGGGAGCCGTCGATAGCTACGGGAGTCTTCCAGCCTCAGCCTGGGTCGGACTCGGACAGCGACTCGGAAGACGGCGACGAGCACCATGCACGACGGCTGCCGCCCAACTTGCGCTTCCCCGAGCTGCACCAGCAGATCAGGGATGAGATCAAGCGGCTCGGTGGCCAGGTTGTCCCCAAACTAAACTGGTCCTCGCCCAAGGATGCGACCTGGATCATGATGGACAAGAACACCATGCGATGCACAACACCCGACGACGTCTACCTGCTGCTCAAGAGCTCTAGCTTCATTAGCCACGACCTCGAGAACGCGTTTGACGGCTGCATATCCGCTGCGAACCACCGCCAGCAGCAGACCAGAGGGACACCCGATGCGCCTACGACACTGGGGTTCGCACCAGTGCTGGTTCTTCGCCCCTACTTCAAGCCCCAGACGGCACTCGAGTTCCGCTGCTTCGTCAAGCAGAGGAACCTGGTGGCCATCTCGCAGCGCGACCTGAAGCACTACCCGTTCCTTGCGGGTCTTCGAGAGTCGATAGTCGACCGTGTAATGGACCTCTTTGAGAGTGCCCTCCGATTCACCTTTCCAGACGGCTCCTTCGTCTTCGACGTTTACATCCCGGAGGGCTCCGACGGCGCGTCGGACGGGCTTTCGAGGGCCCGGCTCATCGACATCAACCCCTGGGCGCCCCGGACCGACTCGCTCCTGTTCGACTGGGAGGAGCTCCTGGACATCCGGGTGCCGCGGCCCGTGCTGGGCACGCGCGGCGAGTCTGACGGGCAAGACGCGGCGGTGCCCGAGAGCCAGAGCGACGCGGGCGAGACGACCGACGAGGACGACGGCGAGGACGACCTGGAGCCGGAGCTGCGGCTGGTGGACGAGGACGACCCCATCACGTCCAACCTGCTCTCGTCGCAATACTCTGCGCACAAACTGCCTAAGGACGTTGTCGACGCCAGCGCGGCCGGCGAGGGAGGACTGAGGGTGTTTGCGGAGGAGTGGAAGCGCATGGTCGATAGGAGCAGCAACGCGAGGGAGTAGGTCGGGGTCTGTCTGTACTGCTCTTCCGCAAAGGGCTAAATGTGACCAAACGAAGCGGACAGTATGACACACGGTGTGATTCTGTACAGGTACATCGACACTAGTACCGACCCCTGGTGGGGGGCAGTCAGGGTACCTAGCCGGCCAGGGATGCCAAGTATCGGTCCACCAGCCACGCCCCAGTTGACACTTGCGGTCCGAAGCTGCCCCCATCCACTTCGAATCGCCGACCCGCCAATTGACGAATCGGTCGGACCCTTTCGCTTTTCTCGCGCCGACGCTGGACAGCTGACGCCAGCTGCTCTCCGTCGCCGTCTTCGCTTGTGCCTTGCTTCTCCCTCCCATCGCCACCTCGCCGGAGCTGCCTTCTTCGGCGCCCACCCCTCCCCCCTGGCTGACCCCGCCGGCCTGCTCTGCGCAGCCAACGACGGGACGACGCACCACCACGCGAGTAGGCGGGGAGGGCGACCAGCCAACCCAGTGCCCGCCGGCCGAAGCCCATGCCGGCATGACGGGCAATGTCCGCCCCGCCCGCGCCGGCCTTAACAAGGTCACCAAGCCGTCGTCGCCGACTGCTGCTGGCCGCCGGCAGAGCCGCCAGCTGCTGACCGCCGCCGCCGTGCTTGCCGAGCAGCAGCGGCGCCAGCAGCAGCACCAGCACCAGCACCTGGCCACTGCTGCCGCCACCCTAGACGACCCCCACGCTCTCCTGCACCAGCACCACCAGGAGCAGCAACAGCATCAGCAACCACAGCAGCTTCAGCATCATCATCATCAACAACAGCAGCAACAGCAGGCGCATGCGCATCCACACCACGGGCAACACCACCACCAGCACATGGTTGACCTGCACATTCCTGATGCCAATGTCAAGCCCGACCACGATACCCTTCACGACGACCACACCGCCCCATCCAAGGTCGTCGAAATTCCCGACACGGTGGTCCAGAACATGGACCTCAGCGCCGATGCTAACCTCCTTGCCGCCGGCCCCAGTCTGCTCGACGCCTCCGGCCCGGTGCCGTCATCGGGTTACAGCTCGCCGCCGCAGGTCGGACTCGCTCAGCCACACTCCCATGCCCACGGCCTCGGCCACCACCACGCTCACACCCACTCGCTCAGCCACGGCCACAACAACGGTCACGGCCAGGATGATGACGATGCCGAGCAGCACGGCCACAACCACGACCACGACCACACCCGCGCCCACGGCCACGGTCATCACCACGATCCCGAACACGACCCGGACCACGCGCATGCCCACGACCACGAGCGCAACCCGTCCGCCGCTCCGGCGCATCACCATGGCCTCGAGTTCATGAGCCAGCTGCGCCTGACCGAGGACATGGCGAGCACGTCGGGCTACTCGGGCTTCGTCACCGAGTCGGCCCTGGCCAAACGCCTGGCCAGGGAGCCCGGGCAACGCCTCGCCCAGCAGCGCCGGCCCGAGCAGTCGCTGAACCTGGCCCGCCGTAGCAACGTCGAGGCGCTGTTCGCCCACATCGCCGGCGAGGAGGTGCTCCAGCCCTGCAAGAACTGCCGCAAGGGCCACGGCCCCTGGACCGTCTGCGTCATTGTCGACGGCCAGATGTGCGGGAGCTGCGCCAATTGCTGGTTCAACGCGTCCGGCGCAAGATGTTCTTTCCATGGTCCGTCGTCTCTCCTCTGCCCCGCCCTTGCCTTGGTTGCCATGTGTCCACGCTTGCTGCCCATGCTGACGATTGCAAACCTGCAAAACAGAGACTCGGAACCTGCAGGGCCACCCCCTCTCCCAGCAGGCGCAGCAGCACCACGTCCACCCCTTGCAGACCGCCGCCGGCGGTCCCACCTCGCAGGACCCCTACGCCGTCCCCAGCCCCCTGGCACTAGCCCCGCCGCCCGGCAGCGCCCCCGGCAGCGGCGGCGGCGGCGGCGGCATCAGCTTCGGGCCGGGCCTGAGCATGACGGACGCCGCCGTCAGATACACGGTCGAGCGCTGCATGTCCGACGTCCGCGCTGCTGACAGGAAGGCGAGGCAGCTCATCAAGGTCGAGATCGCCGCCAAGCAGCTGGCGCTCGAGATACTCGAGTACGAGGAGATGGCGGCCGCCGGCCAGGGCGACCACCACCACGACGCTGACGGAACCGGACAGTCCGTCCAGGATCACGCCGTCGGGGATGTGGGGAGTTCATGAGAACGGGGGAGCCGGGCGCCACGGTGCAAGCAAAGCCTTTTTTTTTTTTGGCCGTGGGCTGCCCACCAAGACGGAGGCGTCCGGCTCCGGAGCAGCATTTGGATACCTATCATCGTATTATCATGTATATAAGTAGGCCCGATGCGTCCAGTGACGTCGCATTCTCACAACGCAAACAAGTGCTTCACGCGAGTGTGGTTGTATAAGTTTCCCATCATTGGTTGCAATTTACGAGCTCGTACGTTCCGATACGAACAAGGTGATCAAGGGGCATTAACCATTCGAGGGATCATATCACATAACCCGCACAAGCACCCAACATGGAAGATTATTAAAAGCCTTGTTGAGCTTCTCGCTTTTCACGTTCAAATGCAAATAGATTCCCCGTCCGATCTCCAAATCGTCGAAAGCCGTAAATCTGACAAGGAGTCCCGCTACTGTATAGCGTCATAATCGAGCAACACCAATGTCAAGTGAGGAAACCAGCACGCGAGAGAGTAAGAGAGATAAGATAAACAGAGAAATAACGTGACACAGTAAAAAATAATAGTCGAGGGGGTTTTGGCAATAATAATACTAGAGAAAAGCGTAGAGAAATAAAGCAGAGAAAGGAGAAAAGAAAAAAGGGGGACGGATAGTGGTGATCGGGAATCCCGAGTCGGCTCGGTGCCCGCCCCCCTTATCGTCAAGTACAGAGCGCTCAAGCGCTGCGGTACGTGAACCGTAGTATGTGTGCCGAAAGGTCGTCGATTATTTGATGCATATTGGGTATCCGGTGGTGAAGATTGGGCATGGGGTAAGGGGGCTTGGCTTGGGTCTAGATGAGACCGCATAGGCGGAGATTCTCCTGTATGATGATATCTGCGAGAGACGATCCGAATTAGCAAGGCTTCGTGAAATGGCTACAATACTTGTCAGGGAGGTAAAGGGCATTGTACCGTTGACAGCAGCCATAACGAAGCGGATCTGGGTGGTGTCGGTTGCGCAGGTGAAGTGGGTGTAGATCTGCTTGGTCTCGTGCTGGTTCAGGCTGACGAAGCGGTTGAGGATGTAATCGCAGGCCGCCGCGTAGTCGTCGCCGCCCTCATAATCTGGGAAGTAGTTCTTCATGGGGCTGATGGGGAGCTTCTCCTTGAAGCGATCAATCTTGTTGAGGAACAGGATGATGGACGTCTTGATGAACCACCTCGAGTTGCAGATGGAGTCGAAGAGCGTCAGAGCCTCCTGCATACGGTTTACCGTCTCGTCCTCGAACAGCAGCTGGTCGTACTCTGATATGGCGACCAGGAAGAGGATTGTCGTGACGTTCTCGAAGCAGTGGATCCACTTCTTGCGCTCTGATCGATGGCCACCGACGTCGAACATGCGGTACGTCAGGTCGCCGATGATGAAGGTGGTCTCGGTGATACCGGTCGTCTTGACACGAGACCGCAGCACGTCCTGATCGTTAGGCATGTAATCTGGTGCTGCGATGCGGGCAATGTTGTCGAAGTAGCTGTAGTCTGTGCGTTAGTGCCTAATCCTACACGGAAAGAGCAGCGGGAGGGTGTTATCGGCTTACTATCTGGCCGAGTCGTTCAGCTGGTATTCCCTCGAGCGCTTGAAGCACTCTTGCACGCCACGGTCCTTCCACAGAGCCTCAATGGCATTTCCGACCTCGGGCGGCAGGACATCGCCCTCGATCTGGGCTGGCTGCATGAAGATGGTCTGCACATGGTACTCCATCCGTTGGTCCTCGAGGGGCAGCTCCAGCGACTCCATGGCCTCGAGAATAACGCGCATCGACTGGACCGTGTTGCTGAAGATGATCTCCTTGAAGGACTCGCGCTCGTCCCGGGAGTAGCCGCCCTCGTGGATGAGCTTCATTTGCTTGAGAATCGTCGACTTTCCAGATTCACCAGCACCTGGTACACGTAACCAATTGGGTTAGTCGGCGTCTCGCGCGGATGGTACTCTTGCGGCGACAGCGACCCTGTTGGTGGGTGTGAGGATAACGTACCCAGAAGCAGCATCTTGATCTCATTGCGCTGTTGCAGGCGATCCCTCTTAAGCTGGTTCTCAATCTCCTCGTTCCGGGCCTTGCCCTCCTTCTCCTCCGTGCTCATCCCGCAACCCATCTTGACTGATCCAACCCCAACCGGGCGAACAAGATGACTCTGCGAAGCGCAATGAGGTGTGTGGGGATTGTGCCGACGCTCTCGGGTTGAACTGATTGACGGGACGTATTAGTGCGAGCTCCTGCTCTGTCGACCGCCAGGGCCGGGAGGCGTGGGGAGGAAAAAAGTGATCGAGTCGGGTCGTGTTATTGGGGGTGGTGTTGCTGTTGTTGGTCGCTTCTACTGGAGCGATTCGGGATACAGGTGGAGCGACGTCGTCGTGTTCAGAGGCGGCGCAGGTCGGCAGGAAGCAGACGGGTAAAAGAGAAAGAATGAAAGGATGGGATGGATCACGAAACGGAAGCGCAAAAGATGCGAGGCCCTTGAAAGGAGCCCAGATTGGAACAAGACTTACCCAGGGAGTCGGCGCACAGCAAGCACCTGCAGACAGTGGGTCGTCAATTGGGATTGAACTGGTGTGCAGTCGATCGGCGGCGGCGGTGGCGCGAAGGTGCAAACACACTCAAGAAAGCAGTGGCGGAAGAGAGCGAGAATTGGTCAGAAGTGAAGGGAAATCAAAGGCGGGAAAGGAACGGATGTTTGGTCTCGACGATGGGTGTGCGGTTTGGAGGCTGCGAGCGGGCGAGGAAGGAAGGAAGGGGAAAGGAGGCGGGATGCATTGGCGCTGGCTGTCAATGCTGCACCACCGCAATTTTGCAGCGAAGCCAGAGGTCCCAGTGTTGGAAGGGTGGGGACGCATGCATGGGCCCGTCCGTCCCGAACCAATCACTAGGCGCAGCCGCCGCCTCTGTACCCCCGTGTGGAGACCTCCAATTGAATGTCCCAGGTCCGCCTCCACCCAGCTCATCTCGTCGGCTGCACTGCGCTCCATTGCCGAGATCAAATATCGCGACGCCGAAAAAGCTGTCGCGACGTCAACCAGGGCAAGCCCACTCCTCGCCCGCCTCCATACCCACCCCAGTGTCCATCCGTGCCAGCGGACGGCGCGCCGGCGCCAGCGGACGTTCCCTGCGCGAACCCTTTCCAGCCTTGCTTGGGCAGGGCATCCCACGCTGGACCACGCTGGCACGTGGGAGCTGCTAGCACGTCTCCCCGAGCAATACTACGGCCCCCAGGGCGGGAAGCCATCTCGACGGGTATGTGCCTGCTTCCACAGATTTGTCCAAGCCAGGGTTGGGAATTTATTTAGCTAGTCTAGTCACCCCTTTGACTAAGACTAACTAATTTAGTCACGTCAGTGACTAAGACTAAAAGTGACTAACTAATAACTAGCTAAAGCGACTAAATTAGTCACTTTTAATCATTTAAATAAATATTTAAATTATTAAATTAAAAGCTTATTTCATTTAATAAAAAAATAAACAAATAAGTACGTAAATAGCTATGCAAATAAATAAGCAAGTAAACAACAATAAATACGTAAATAAGTAAATTAAAAATTAAAAATGTATTACGGTTGTTATTACCGTTTTTATTGTTAATAATATTACTGCTCTTTTATGTTATTTTTATTACTACTATTATTATTATTTTAATATTACTAAATACCAAACCGTTAAAAAAACCCCCGAATAAATATATGAAAATTTGATGTAAAAATAATTAAAAATGTCTAAATTAGTTACTTTAGTTAGTTAAAAAAAAATTAGTTAGTTATTAGTTAGTCAAACCATTAACTAAGACCAACTAAACTAATTTAGTCGCGACTAAGACTAATGACTAACGACTAAAATTCCCAACCTTGGTCCAAGCTCACGATCAGGCACTCGATCAGGGAATGTGTTCATCTGGGACCATTGGAGAAAAACACGATATCGCCGACATCTTTGGCCATTAACGACTGAACCTGTTCTGGGGTACCTTGCCTAGCGAGAGACACTTACGCAGTAGCAGTCCCGTCGTTTTGGAGGGTGGGTATTCGCAGAGTCTGTACCTGCATCCGTGCTGTTGAAGATCACCGCAAGCATTCAAGCCTCATTCCCCTTCCTTTGCCTCCTTGCCTCATTTTCCCACGACTCGTGTTGCTTCCCCCGCCCAATGCCTAGCGACCGGAGAATTTGCACACCACATTCCCCGGCACTGACAGCTGAACATATCAAGACACAGACACACCGCACTTCTCATGCATGCGCACGAAAGCCAAGGGCATGCGCGGCTGTGGATTATTTGCTTCTGCAGCTGTCCCCACGGATGCAAATGATCTCCATCCACAACCCTGTCCGGCTCGGAAAGGGGCTGGGGCAACAAAATATGGACAGGGGACGGACGGGCAGGTGGTGTGGTCTGTGGAGACTCTGGCCAGTGTTATTGGCCCAGCTGATTCGAGTAGAACGTCTTTGTTACCATCCCTTTTTTGAAAATATCGTGACACTGACGCCTAGATGGGCGTTCAGAAGCAAGGACATGCTGATCGGACACGAGGGGAGATGCTCGTCGATGCTCGCCAGGAAGGCTGTGGCAGAGCGCCTGAACAAGGCCAATGTTGGAAACAATATAGATCAGAAAGACAAGGAGAAGGAGGGGAAACAAGGCAGGCACGGAAGGGGCGCGACACGACGGTCCATGCACGGGCGGTTCATGTCGTAAACAACATGGGGCCCATGGCGGACCAAAGAGTCTGAATCAGGGGATCGGGGATCCAGCTAGGCAATCCGCCGTCCAGCCAGGACCTGCGCCAGGCTGATTTTTCCTCTTTTACGTACCCTCCCTAGCCAGGAAAGGACGAGCGGGCAAAAAGCAGACTATAGTTGGGCCGGTCTGCCAACCTAGCTGGCGAGGGTGGGGATCCGTCGCCCAAGCCGCCAGTGGCCCTGCGCGTCCTCACAGTCGGGTCAAAAGTCTTTACTCGCATGTTGGCTAGTACATGCAACTAAGGCGCAAGCTGGAGGAGGGAGGGGGGCGCCCGAGGCGCAAAGGCCGGACATCCCACCCTCGGCTGGCCGGCTGGCTGGCTGGCTGGCTGGCTGGCTGGTTGGCTGACCGGCGTCTCCTTCATTGGTGTCCCTTGTCCGTCCGCCTGCCAAGTTTCCGCCGTCCTGGAACCAGCACCCCACCTGAACAGGGAAAGCTTAAACCCGGCGTCCATGGGATGGGTCCCCGTCCTTGATTTGATTGCATCAGATTGATTCGTTTCCCCGAAAGCCTGGCCCCCCGCCGGGGCTTGCGCTGCGAATGGAAAAAGCGCGCGGGCTCTCGGCGCCTCCAGTTGTGATCCCGGCTTTTGTTTGTTCTAGAAGGCCGCGCTGGAAAGAACCTTTAGTGAAGATATTACCGATGTATTTGACTTTGACTAGGGTAATGATTTATCACCGGTTTGCTGGAGATTCGCTAGTGCTTCTTCAGCGGCGCGCCCCTGATCGACTTGATGAGATCGCATGAAATTGCCTGCACGTCGCAGCTCTAAACGCAGCAAAGTCGCTAAAAATGACAACATCTTGTAGGAGCGAGTAAACTGGTAGTTATTTTCATCGCTTATCGATGGTGCGTTGAATAAAACAAAAATGACGTTTATTTTCAGCACATACTTGGCGCCGCGGGTTGGCCCAAGTGGCTCGAGAAAAGCAAGGAAGCAGCCAATCAAGGACGGCGGCGCCAGCTGTGTGTTGTTGGCCACACCGCACCCTGCAGATGTAAAATGCCTTGGTATGTCGGCGGTCTACCGAACATCCAAACCATCGTGCAAACCCCTAGATCCCTAGATTGTGTGCTGCTCTGCCCCATTGTCCTCTCAACACCGACATCACGGCGACTGCAGTTCTCTCCTTCCCGCAATGTCGATTTCAACTCGACTGGGCGGCCCAGGTGAGTTTCGGCCCGGCCCGTAGGCTGCGTCAGTCCCAACTGCGGCCGCAGCCTCATCGCATCATCCATTCCCAAGCCCCTTGATATTCCCTTTCTTTTCATAGCCAGAACTGCCCATCCTCGCCGGGCAAGCGAAATGGCAGATATCAAGTTTTTTTTTAAAGAACCTTCCACCAATGCATTATCGATACCAACGTTGTTAATTACAATCTGAAACCTCCCCACAACCCGACTCCCTAGCCTTCAACCACAGTGCGGGCGACGATGTCGAGGCCGAATATGACCGCCTCCGGGATCTCGCCCGGCAGGAAGCAGCCAAGCGCGGCGAATGCTTCGACCGGGTATGTTCTAGTTTGCTTCTTGCTCGCTGCCCATCTGCTCCGCCGGCTCCCGTGCTGGACCCGTACGAGACAGGGCTCTATGGGTTGGGAACGATACCCCTAAGGTGTCGTGAAACGGCAGGAATGTAGCTTCATGTCGCTTGCTCAGACGTTAACTGGATGGTTCCGCTATCGTCCTCCTCGCCGCCCCCCTGCCCCCCTGACAGTCCCGGGATGCCTATACCAACGGGAATGGCGCCGAAGCCAAGCGCCTGTCGGACGAGGGCAAGAAGCACGGGGCCATGGTGGAGAAGTACAACAAGCAGGCCTCGGACTACATCTTCCGCGAGAACAACAGCCCCGAGCGCGTGCCCGAGGACACGATAGACCTGCACGGGCAGTTCGTCGAGGAGGGCGAGAGGATCCTGGAGGCCCGGATCCGCGACGCCAGGAATCGGGGGCAAACCCACCTCCACGTCATCGTCGGCAAGGGGAACCACAGCGCCGGCCGCGTCCAGAAGATCAAGCCCGGCGTCGAGAAGCTCTGCCGCGAGCTCCGCCTGGACTGCGCGACCGAGGACAACGAGGGCCGCATATACATCGACCTGACGGGCGCCAAGGTCGGCACGCCCCCGCCTCAGTCTGGTGGACACCATGGGCCAAGCCACGGCCAGAACCATCACCAGCAGCAGCAAAGCCACCACCAGCCGCAGCAGCATCACCAGCAACAGCAGCAGCATGATGACGACCCTATTGGAGATCTGTTTAAAAAGCTACCCTGCTGTATCGTTATGTAACGATATGATCCTTTGCGGATTGCGAATTTAACGGTTTATGAAGCGATTTACACCATGCGGGATACGTGAAGAGGCAAAAAGGTTCAAATACACACAGTAAAAAGCTCACTGCGCAACCTCGAAAGGGTGGGCAGTTTCGAAACCAGCGGCGAGTGGTTTACTTCGAATGATGGGCAGAAAAGCTGTACTGCTCAAGCTGGAGGGTGAAACAGTTGCGAAACCCTGCACGTGCCCCGGTGGCTATATGTTTACTTCCGACGCCGTCTGTCCGAAAATCGTGTGCGCATGAGGGAGGTCGAATCTGGGCTCTTGGAGCGGCATCAGGGTGTAGGTGCACTCTGCAACCATTGCACTAAACTGAAAACGAGAAGTGTGTTAGCATCTGTTGATTGTCGATGGCAAGACGCGGAAGTGGACTTATAAGGTCTGGGGCACGGCGAGGGCAGGCACAGGCAACCACGCACTCTACGGCATTATTTGATATCTTGGATTCTCACCAGGCCACAATCACCTGTCGTCTAATGCCCCGTTTGGAGTTTTGCTGCCGCACGTTAAGCACCCCAAAGATATCGCGATTTCCATCTTGGCAGTGCACTCATACAACCAAGTCTCAGATGTGTGCAACCAGATGCCTAGGTACCTACGCACGTACGTATATAAGTCGATATCCCAAATTAATGGCGACCAATGCGCCAGCGCACACAACATCATAGCAGAAGTAATATTACGCCAACGCACGCAGCAGAGAAACCTGGCACCGACGCATTCACCCCGCGCAATATATGTACAACAAGCGCACCGCACACGGTCTCCTCACGTTTGGTCTGTTAGTCTTCTTTCTTTCATGACATAAATTACAAGGACGCTTCCGCGAAGAAACCCTTAGCAGGAGGCGTGTGAGGGTAAGCAGACGGCACCACTTCTCCATACATCAGGACCACATCCGAAGAGAAGAAATGAGTTTTGCTCCAAGGCTCCTGGCCAGTAGCGAACCGCAACAGAACAAAAAGAGTTTAAGGAGGTTGATATGCATTCAAGACTACAGGAGGCACCGAGGTGTGCGTGGACAAAGCGGCAGCACGAATAGTAACATGGAAGTGTGCACACACGGGGAGGGGGACATTCAGAAAGATAGTTGATGATGCTTTTGGTCTATCGTCACAAATCTATCGTAATAAAAGCCAAGGAGGGGGCAATGCCGCCCATTCTCCGGCCATTGAGTGAGCAGCTAAGAGAATGTAACCTGGAAGGGGGTAACGTAGGCGCCATTCATCCATCCATCCTTCCACCAGCGCCCTAGCCTAGCCCGGCGGTCCGCTCAGTGGCGGCGGCGGACATACAACCGTGCCTCTCATCGCTTGCTCTGCCCCAAACGCCCGGCTATACAGGTATACAGGTGGCGCATCGCCAATCCGCCACCCCTCGAATCAGAGACGGGGCTCGAGCTCGTTACGCCTGCTTGCGGATCTCCCTGGACGCCTGCTTCAGGTTGTAATTGCACTCCTCGTAGGCCCGGCCGGCGCCGAAGCCCGTGCCGACGAACGCAGGCCATGCCCTGCGCTTGAACAGGAGCACCGAGAACACCACGCCGAAGCCGAGGCCGAGGGTCGACTTGATTAGGAGGTTCGATAGGCAGTGGTCCCACTAGGCGCCGCGTTAGCAAGTGGTGGTCGAGGATGGGCGACAGAGACGGTGCGGTGCGGGGTTCAGGGGTCCGTCGAGCGGGAGATGCCAACCCATCCATACCTTCTCGTTGAGAAGCGCCTCGCTGACGGGGCGCGAGACGGCGCTGGGGCGCCTAGGGGGAAGTGACGTCTCTGACATGGTGGCCGGCGGTTCGCTGTCGCGGGGGAATTCTCAGTCAGCTGTTCTCACACTGCAGATGTCAAAAACGCTTCAGGCCTACCTCAATTGCGCCAATCGCTCGGTTCCGGTGGTTCCTGGTGGATGGTGGTGGTGTTTGTGCGAGTTATCGGGCCGCTATGAAGTCGGGAATTGCCGTGCCGCCATGTTCGTTGGAGCTCCTGTCGGTCCACTTATGACGAAGGCGGTGTGCTGGGGATTTTGCTGCCGAGCGCGGCAGAATTTTTATTCACAACTTTCTTTGGCTAACCCCTGTCCTGCGATTCTGGGAACAGCAATTGGTCAGGTGTTTGCGAAAGGAAGAGGGAAGGAGGTAAGAAAAAAGAAAAGACAATCCTAGAAAACTGCCAACCCAGCTGACATTGAAAATTAGAAAATCAAAAAGAAAAAAGAAAAAGAAAAAGAGGGCAAAAAAGAAGGACAAAAAGAGAGCGAAACACAGGACCTGGGGGACATCCGTCCTCCACCACCCCAGACATGGAGGCCGCGTCGCTTTTGAAGCTGACCACCGCGCTGGATCAAGGCTCCTCTGAGCACATGCCCCAAAAGCTCGAGGAGCTATGGCAAGCATTGACGGGATGTGTCTCTGGCGGGTCTCACGCCACGGAGAAGGTGATCCTCAGATGGCTGCTCAAGGCCATGAACGGGCCCTCGCCCGATGCCGAGACGCTCCGCCGGTACCCCCTGACATGGGCCATCATGGGATGCGTGTTTGCACGCATTCCCCTCTTCTCGCTGGCCAAGGCTCTCGCGGACCGGCGCTTTGTTGGGATCCTCCAGCGGACGGCAAAGGATCTGTCCACGCCCTGCGCCCCAGACGCTGCCGCGCGACCAGACACAACTGCCAAGGCTCCCAAGGACTCACGGAAGCGCAAGAGATCATCCACGGCGCCTTTCGATCTCGACGCTCTCCGACACCCCAGAGGCTGTCTTGAGTCGGCCGGGCCGCTGTTTGCAGCCCTCGAAGTCCTGCTGTTCAGGGCGGCCCCGAACGACGCCAGTCCTCCCGCCAGCGAGCGAGCCGGGGCCGAGCATATCAAGGCCCTCTTCCGCGCCCCGGCCTCTGAGGCCATCGCTATCCTGTCGCCTCTGCTGGCCATCTGCGATCTTGCCATCAAGAATCAGGGCTCTATCGATGTGTTTGATGGCCAGCAGTCATGGATCCGCACTGCGACCGGGCTGTGGGAGCTGCGCCTACACAAGGCCACCGACACCCTCGAGTTCGCCATCCACACCGCCGGACCCTGCTGTCTTATGTTGTCAGAGTTGCCCAATGGCGGTAGTGCCTCTGCCTCACTAGGCCTAAACCGAGAGGTCGGCGTCGCTTGGGCTAGAGATCTTAAGCGCCTGATGACAAGAAACTTCACTATGCCTGCCAGGTCCGAGTTTCTGACCCAGAAGCGTACCGAAGTCATCGGCACCCCAGTCAGGTTGAACAATCTGCAGGCCGCAGTTCTGTCTCCGGCCATTTTTCTCCTGGTGCTGGAAACCCCAAGTGCCATTGGTGGAACGAGCGTGATTAGGGACAACAAGGAGTGGCTCGAGGCCGTGTTTGATCTCCTCGAGTCCGCTCTGCGCTCTTTGGACACCGTGGAGAGAAATACGATCGTGAAGCAACTTCTGAGAATGGCTCTGGCGCATGGCTGCACACCGTCCCTAGCCTCCCTGCAGTTCATCTGCGGGTTTTACGCTATCAACAACGAGAACGTGGACTGGGCCCTGGTGTCTGCCCTGGCAGAGTGCGACGCAGACGTTTTCCTTGCGTCCGAAAAGGGAAGAAGCCTGCTTTCTGATATCATGAAGCGTGCTCCCCACGCATCCATATCTGATGGCGTTGACCACGATTCTCTATGCTCCATGATGCTGTCACTTGCTAGCGCATCCGTGAGGGCGAGAGAGTTCCCGAGGTTCGTCAACCAGTGGTTTGACAATCTTACAGAATGCTTCGCGGCCGCCGCTTCCCTCGGGACGTCTCTTGCCAATGTATTCTGGTTCGATGTCCAAGTCACTTCGGCCATCTCGGGCTTTGTCCAGCAGGCCCTGACGACCAAGCAACTCACCAACTTGCTCGGCAACCTGGCCGAAGCCAAGAGCCCGTCGGCACAGGCCGCCCGAGTCATCGTCTTCGACGCCATCTGCCGGGGCATCACCGCCGAGGATTTTATCGACGCCGCCGCCCAGGCCTTGTTCCAAACGGTGTGGACTGATCCCATCCCGTTCAACATGGGCGAGGCGTCGGCTGCTCAGTGGAGGATCGCATCCAAAGCATTCACCTGGGGGCTGGCAGCGCGGGGAGATGGCATGGGACGCCGCGTAGTCAAGGCCTTGGGGAAGGTTCTGGGGAAGAAACGTGCGCAGACTTCGGATCCGGCCATCTTTGACGCCTTCAGGTGCGCTGCGGCGGCCTGGTCGTCGTCTTACGTCGGCGACGGGTCGACTGCCGACCCTGAATCGGCCATTCCCCTCTTTCTGGGCCGGCTGAGCCTCGAGCTTCGCGAAACAGGCCTAGACTGTAACGATTCTCTCCTCGCAATCCGTCCGGAGCCGACCCAGGATGTTGCCGCTGCCGATCCGTTCCGTCCATTCCAACTAAGCAGCATATCAGCAACCACATATATTGCCTGGGTATTGCTGTGGTTCCCCAGACTCGTATCGTACGTCTATCGGCTCCCGTCAATCACCACAGAACTGCCCTGTGTGTACTATGCTAATTCGCGCAGAATCCTCCCCGTGGCATCCGCCGACGCACCTCCCGAGTTCGTGACTGCCATGATGCAGTCCATTTGCAGCATAGATATCGCGGCTGGTGATAGCGCTCAGGCCTGTCATGATTTGTGTTCTATGGAGTTGATAAGCTCAATGAGCGCTATCCACGGCGAGAAACCACCTCGTAAGCCCCTGTCATTCACGGTGCCCATGTCGTAGCACGAAGCTGTGATGTGAGGAAAGAGCTGTTTCTAACTGGGCGTCAACTGCTACCCGTCAGTGAGGGACCTCGTCGACCCTGTCATCAACATCCTGTCTGGCTTGGACTCTAATCTAGGGGCCACGGCGGGTTTCCTTGTCAGACTACCTGGCGAATGCATATCTCGAAACGACCGTGAACGAATTGTGTCAACCTTATTCGGCCTATCACTCAAACAATCTACGTCCGCCGAGGATGGATGGGTTTTCGGGGAGAGCGCACTGGGCGCCATGGTTCAGATGATGAGGGTGAAGCCTACGCTATGTCCTGTGAGTTGACTTGATCTCTTCCCACCCCTGAACTCGTCTACGCTTATGTGGTGCGTGGCTGATAATTATGGGCAGGAGCTGAACTTCCGTGGGCTGCTTGAACTTGGCTCCCGTGTCGTCCCTGGTGTTTCCAAGCGCGAGAAGCATGATTCAGAGCGCCCCCTAGGCACTGAGGCTGTTGCTTTGAGGCTACTTGAGGAACTAGCTCGATTAACACTCGGGTAAGAAAGACCATCCAGAGCGATAAAACCTGAACGGTGCGTGAGGCCGGAAACTAAATGAGAAATAGGCAAATGACGGTCTCCAACGGCGCCAGGGAGATGGTATACGTCCGAGAGATATGGCCAGTATTGTCCGAACACATACAGAAACAGCGACAGGATGGCGGCCCTGTAGCCCTCACGCTTCTATCCGTCTTCGTCTCATCCATGAGGCAGCTTGGCCCCTCGAAGCACTTCACACAAGAGGTGACTTGCGTAGACGAGGCTACCAAGGAGCTTTGCCGCTTGGTGACGGGGGCCATGACGAAGTTCGTCGAGGCTATGGAAAAGAAGGAGAGGAAGAAGAAGGCAGAGACAGATGCGAGGTCTCTCTTTGGGCTACAGACGGCTTTATCGGCATCCGAGTCGTGCTGGGGCCCTGAACTTGAAGCATCTCTTATGCCACTGCGAGAGAAGATATCATCTGTATATCCGGCGCTCTGTCATGTCGATCCTGAACTAGGGTCTCTCCTCACACCGCTTCTCAGCGATCGTCTTGGCCTGCATCCGGCGGCCGACCAGGGTGATCCCTTCGACAAAGAGCTGAACCTCAACAGAGTGCGAGGCTTAGTCGACGCTGAAGGGGATGTGGCCAAAGCGAGCCTGCTTCGAAAGGTGACAGCACAATTGAGGCAGTCACCTACTCGGCCAGAGCAGCTGCTCACTGCCCGGCTAGCCTTGAAGCAGATGACAGGTCAGTTCTATCGGTCCTTCATAACCGGATTATGTGATCCGCGACATGTTGCAGTATCTAACAAGTGGCCTCTACAGCTACCTACCCGCCCGAAGCCGCAGCTGACCTCAGCATGGCGCAGAGCGCGCTTGCGCAGCTCCTGGTGCAGCCTGGGTCTCTGACGGACTTTGTCGACGCCGCGCGGGCAAGTCACGCGCTACTGGAAGAGAAGCCAATATCGGCCACGCAGTGGAACGTGGAGCACACGCTGGCCAGCATATGCCTGCTCTGCTCGCCCGACAACCCTGCAACCGAGGTCGTCCGGCGCTCGGCGCAGACGTTTGAGTGGCTGTGCCACCTGGCCGAGGCCGTCCTGAAGCGCCACCGCCGCCGCCTGGACGGCCACATGCACCTCCTCGTCGCCACGCTGCAGTCGCTCCTCTCGTGCCTCGTCCGCCACCCCTACGACTCGGACCGCCAGGGCTGGGCGTCCGGGGTCGCGGTGGGCGCGGCGCCGGAGAAGTATCCGCACTGGGAGAGGCACGCGCGCGTGTTTGCGCGCCTCCTGACGCTCGTCTGCGAGCCGAGCGCGGCGTCGGTCGCGCGCCCGCAGCAGGGCGCCACGCTCGACTCGGCGACGGACGCGGCCAAGCGCGTGGCCGGGCAGTACATGTACCTCGTCATCGTGGCGCTCATCAGGCTGCAGCTCGAGGGCGGCGTGCCGCACGGCGTGCGCGAGGCGCTGCTGCCCGGCGTGTATTCCATCCTTGACATCACGCCGCCGGACCTGCGCCGGGTCATGGCCGACGCCATGGACTCGAGCGGCAGGGCCATTTGGAAGGATCTTTATGAAAAGTACCGCAAGTTTGGGAAATGGAGGGGGATCTGAGGCGTTGCGTTGCGGCCCTGCTGGGATTGAATAGAGCGCACGGAGTCACAGAAGGAGCTTGTATAGAGAATCATGATCCGAGAACTGTAGTTTTACATGTCCGGCTGTATACTGTAGAAGTAGACCAGACGAAAGCCTACCTCTTTGGTAGATGGCTCATACAGACTGAGTACGGGTATATGGTGTATTCGATTATAGGTCTAATCATGCGCTTCGTAAGGAGTCGCCGGCAGCAGCAATCTCATGCAGCTTTGCGATGCATAACTACAAAGTGGAGGCCCAAAGGGCGGCAGGCAGGGTTTTCACTCCTTCTTGGGATACGTGCTAGGGTGGCCGTGCTTCTTCGCAAAGGCCTTGATGTCGCCGTGTATGGACCACTGGACAAAGAACCAGACGGCGGCGACCAGCCAGGCGCCAGCCGTGTCGACGAGCCAGTTGTTCCTCACGGAGCTGCCCAGCCCCGCGAGGCGCAGCACCCCGCCGAGCAGGCCGATGGTGACGAGGTAGCCGCCGCGCTCGAGCCCGGCGACGGCGGCGGCGGCGACCTGGTCGGGCGTCAGGCGCGGGTCGTCCTTCTCGAGCTGCAGGGTGACGTCGGGCTTGGTGCGCTGCTCGCGGTCGAAGCCCGGGCTGAGGATGGTGCCGGGCGCCACGACGTGCACGCGCACGGGGTGGTCCGGGTACAGCAGCGCCTCCTGGCACAGCGTGTCGGCCAGGCCGCGCAGCGCGTTCTTGGACGGGGTGTAGGGGCCGTAGCCGGCCAGGGCGAAGAAGGCGAGGACCGAGGCGGTGAAGACGAGGTGGCGGGCCTCCGACTTGGGGCCGGGCCCGGGCCCGCGGGAGGGGTCGTACCAGGCGCGCAGGACGGCGTGGGCCATCTCGGCGGCGCCCCAGTAGTTGACGTCCATGTTGCGGCGGGCGGCGGCGACGGCGCCGGCCGAGTCGGCCCACAGCATGGGCGACGACATGCCGGCGACGCACCACACCACGTCGGGGACCGAGCCGCCGTTCCACGCCGTCGCCTCCTCGACCACGCGCGTCGCGTAGCCGGGCTCCGACACGTCGGCTGCGATGTGGAGGAACCGCTGCGTCTGCGGGGACTTGGCCGCCGCCTTCAGCTCGCCAACCACCTCCTCGAGGCGCGCCGCGTTGCGCGCCACCACGATCACGTTGGCACCCTTCTCCGCCAGCTGGCGCGCCGCGCTCCGGCCCATGCCCTCGGAGGCGCCGGTGAGGAGGATTGTCTGTACGTTTAGTTAGCGGACTTGCTTTTGGATATAATGTCTGGGGGGGAACGAGGTGTACCTTGCCCTCAACCGGCATTTGGTTCTTCCCAAACAGCCCCATGGCGAGGACGGTTACTCCGAGGACGCTGGCAGATCCTAGAGCAATGGTAGAGGCGCTGGGGTTCCGCGCGGCCTGTAGCCAGGAATCCATCGACGCGCGCAGTTGCGGGCTGGAGAGTAGGAGGGACGACAAGAGGCACGCAACGCCGTCAGGGGTCCGCCTGTGGTTCAGGGGGCGGCAAGCTTGCTCTCAATGGTTTGCTCCCAATAGACACGTTGCACGAGGTTTGCGTCTGCAGCAGCAGCAGCCCTCAGCCTCTAGCGCTTAGGTATTATTCAGCTATTTAGGAGGAGACTGTCCGGTGGCTCTACTATCATCATTGGACCGGCACTCGGGTTGCAAGGCCTCTAGTTTACGCGCTTGAGGAGAGTCTCATATACAAGGGATTAGCAGGCCTCTAAACCGTTGCATCCGAAGTGGATACCTCATGCACATGGCGCAGACCAAGGGTCCAATGGATAAGACTGATAAGTCCAAATTTAAGGTGGGAAGTGGGGTAGCTGGTCGACAGTGAAAGAAAAAAAAAAAGCTAGAACGACAGAGACGCAACCGTCACAACTCTCAGCGACTTGAAAGGCCATCATCTCACCACCCGCGCGGGCTCAATTCTAAGGAGGTGGCTATCTCTGTACTCCCGCAACTCTCAAGGGCTGCGGCCAGTATCCGCCACCATGGGCAAAAAACGAAAGGCATCTCGTCAGCCTGTGGCGCCTTCGGGGCCCAGGGACGTGGATCCTGCCGATGCGCGCCTCCAGGTCAACTCGTATGAGGATATCGCCGATTCGGAAGAGGAGTACTTTATGAACAAGGACAAGATCCTCCTTGAAGATGGCCCCAGTGCCAAGCGGCGAAAGGCCGACAAGGAGGATGACATGTTCGAGTCCTCGGACGAGGAGGTTCTGGACGGCGACGATGACGACGACAGCGACGACGACGGCGACGACGAGGACATCGACGGGCGCCAAGAAGACGACAGCGGCGACGGCGGCGACCCTCGGGCCGACGGCGGTGAGGCGGACGATGACGACCGGGGTTATTGGGGCTCGTCAAAAAAGGAGTACTATGAGACGGATGCGCTCGAGACCGAGGCCGATGCCTTGGCCGAGGAGGCAGAAGCGAAGCGCCTGCAGCAAAAGAAGCTGGCCAGGATGTCCGAGGCCGACTTTATTTTTGACGCAGACGAATGGGGCGCGCAGGGTGGGGATGCCGACGAGGAGGACCAGGGCGGCGACGGAGTTCTCACCGAGGTGCTCAAGGACGTCGACATCACCAGCGACTTGGGCCCCGAAGAGATCTACAAGGCTCTCCAGGCCAGATACCCCGAATTCGACTTCCTGGTCGAAGAGTTCCAGCAGCTGCAGCCCCGGCTGTTGGAGTACAGGCAGGCCGCCGAGGGCAAGCCGTCCAAGTCTCTCGAGGTTGTGCAGTACTGGACGCTGGGGTGTTACGTCGCCGCGCTCGCCAGCTACTTTGCCATCCTCACCTCGCCCTCCCGGGATGGCCATGACCAGCCAAAGGCCCTCGACCCGGCAACGCTGCGCGACCACGAGATCATGGGGACATTGGTTAGCTGCCGCGAGGCGTGGTCAAGGGTCCAGAAGTTCAAGGGCCCCGGCAGGGCTGCCCGTCTCTCGAGCGATAAGCAGTCGCACGATGTGGCCGCCGATGAGCTCCTAGCGTCAGAAGATGAGAATTCAAGACGGACCCTAAAGGCACAGCCCGACGACAATGCCGGTCTCAGTAGTAAAAAGAAACGTCTCGACAAGCAAAAGCTCGCCAAAGCCAAGAAGCTGGAAGAATCGCTGGCCGACCTTTCGGAGCTCTTACCCAAGTCACAGCAGAAGAGGAAGACACAACGGAAAGCTGCCAGTGCCGGCGCTGCCGGCGCTGGAGAGGACGACAACTCGGACTTTGGCGACGAGGACACTCTGGACGCGCGCACCGCGGAGGACAAAGCTGCGCGCAAGAAGAGCCTGCGGTTCTACACGTCCCAGATTGTGCAGAAGGCCGGAAAGCGGGCCGGAGCTGGACGAGATGCAGGCGGCGATATGGACATTCCTCATCGTGAACGGTTGCGTGACCGGCAAGCGCGTCTCAACGCCGAGGCGGAACGGCGTGGCCAAAAGAGCTCCAAGCACGGCGAGGAGCTCGGCGGCGATGACGACGATGACGACGACGACCAGGAGGCGCTGGCCAACGAGGTGCGCGACGACGAGGACGGGTACTACGACATGGTGGCTCACGGGGCGCGGCAGAAGAAGGCGGACAAGGCGGCCCGGCACGAGGCGCTCCAGGCGGCCAACAAGAACGACCAGGTAGTGGAGCGCGAGGAGGTGGGCGAGGACGGCAAGAGACAGGTGACGTACCACATCCTCAAGAACAAGGGCCTGACGCCCAAGCGCAAGAAGGAGGCAAAGAACTCGCGGGTCAAGAAGCGCAAGAAGTTCGAGGAGAAGACCAAGAAGCTCAAGAGCATCCGGGCCGTCTACGGCGGGGGCGAGAGCCGCGGCGGCTACCAGGGAGAGCTCAGCGGCATCAAGACGGGGCTGGTCAAGAGTGTCAAGCTTTCGTAGCAAGGGGGGCTGTAGTCGATGCCGGGGTTGTAGTAAATATCGAGCGGGTGCATTGCTGCTGTGGTCGCCTTGCTTGCGTGAGCATAATTCTATGTGATGATTTCTTGACCCGTATAGAAAGTCTTTTTCTGTCTGTTCAAGGTGGTTTGAAGGGTACATGCAGGTGGAAAGAGCACACACATCCCAGCCCATCTCAGTGCCCACTTGGTGGGGCCCCACATCACCACCGCCAGGGATTGCCTCTAGAACACATGGCAGTCCGACCTCAGGCAAATGCTCAGCTCTTCCTTGAACACTGCCCTTGGTTCAGAGCCTGCCACTCGATCTCAATGCTGATACCACAGCCGAGCCGGGCATCCATCTAGGCGCCTGCCTCGGAAGCCTCTGGAGAGACTCCTCCCATACCGGTCGCCATCGTCCTCCTCCCGCGCAAGCCAATAATGGCCACCCCCTCCACAATGGACCTGTCGGCCATCACCTCGTCGGCCCAGGTGTTCACGTCGCCCCAGAATACGCTGCTGCAGATCCGAGCCATCCACAAGGCCCTCCATGTCGAGATCGACGATCGCGCCGCCCGCCTGCGCACCCAGGTCGGCTCCTCGTACCGCGACCTGCTAGGCACCGCCGACGCCATCGTCCGCATGCGCCGCGACATGCAGCAAGTCCAGGCCACCCTCGACCGCATGGGCGGCCGGTGCGGCCGCGCCGTCGTCGGGGCCAAGGTCGAGGGCCTGCGCCGCTTCGACTCCCCGCCCGACGCCGACGCCGACGCCGCCACGACGACGGACCGAGACCTCGCGCGATCCCGCCGGGCGAAACCCAAGCAGATGTCGGTGGCCGCGCGGACGAGGCTGCTCGACGCATGCGCCCTTAGTGCCCGCCGCGTGCTGAGGGTCGGCCTGGGCCCCGCCGGGGCGGCGGCCGGTGGCCCAGGCTCCAACGGCGACAGGCTCCTCGTGGCGGCCAAGGCGCTGCTGCTGGGGCGGCTCGTGGGCAAGAGCCTGAGCGACGCGGGCGAGGCCGTCGACCCGCAGGTCAAGGCGTCCATCGAGAGCTCGTGGAAGAGCCTGCTGGCCAGCATCGAGGCAGCGCTCGAACGCGCCAGCGAGGCCGTCGTAGACCGCGACGACGTGCTCAAGGCGCTGTGTGCCCACAGCCTCGCGCGCAACGCCGGCGCCCGCGAGGTCCTCGGCTACTTCCTGCGCGCGCGCGGTCGCGCCATGGCGGTCGCATTTGAGCTCGAAGATGACGATGACGATGAGGGCGGCGGGCGTGACGGCGGCCGTGGCGGCGGCGGGCGTGACAGGGGCCCGGCGGCCGTGCTCGACTGCCTGGGCCTGTACACGCGCACGCTGCTGGACGTGCAGGCGCTCGTGCCGGGCAGGCTGTCGGACGCTCTCAGGGGCCTGAAGAAGGCGGCCATCGTCGAGGACGAGGCGCTGCTGGGGCTCGAGAGCCTCCGGCTCGACGTCACGGCCCGCTGGTGCGGCGACGAGATCCGGTACTACAGGCCCTACATACGCCACGACGACCTGGACGGGAAGCAGGCCCGGGAGATGCTCGCGGGCTGGGCCGAAAAGGGTGGCGAGACGCTCCTCGGAGGCCTGGGGAAGACGCTGGGCCAGCTGCACGACTTCCGCTCCACCATCGAGCTGCGCACGCAGGTGCTCCAGGGCTGGATCCGCGACGGCGGCCGCGTCAGGGGGTTCGACCCCGCCGCCATGCTCGACGGGCTGCGCGGCGCCGTCAACGCGCGCCTGCTCCAGATGCTGGCCGACAAGGTGCACAAGCTCCGCCTGGTCGGGTCCGAGGTCTCGGCCACGCTCGACGGCTGGCACCAGGGGTCGACGGGCACCGGGGGTCCGGGCCTGTGGGACGACGACGACGACCATGACATGGACCTGGACCTCGCGGGCGGCGCCGCCTCGTTCACGCACGACGTGGTCTCGCGGCTGTACGGGCGCAACGACGCCGTGTCCAAGGCGGCTAACTGCTACCGGTCGTGGCACCGCGTCATCGACGACGTCGGCGACGTGGTTGGGCAGCTGAGACGCCAGCGCTGGGACAACGACGTCGATGAGGTCGAGGACGAGGAGACCATCGAGCACCGGCAGCAGCTGCTCAGCAGGGACGACCCGCAGCTGCTCCACGACCGGCTGGGCGAGTGCCTGCGCGAGGCCTTTGCCGAGCTGGACGCCGAGTTTGGCAAGCTCTGGGCGGGCGTCGAGGGCGGCGGCGGAGAGCAGGCAGTTTATTTCATCCGCGTGCTGCGCGACGTGCGCAGCCGGCTACCCGACGTCGAGAAGGCCAAGGCGCTGGGCCTGTCGCTCATCCCGGCCCTGCACGACAGGGTGGCCAGGACGGCCGCGCAGTCGCCGCTCGCCGAGTTCTCCGGCCGCGCGCTGACCCGGCGCACGGTCGCGGGGAGGGCGCTGTGGGAGGGCGCCGACCCGGACCTGCCCACGTCGCCGTCCCCCGGCGCCCTCGGCCTCCTGCGCGACCTGGCCGGGTCCATGCAGGAGTCCGGCACCGACGTCTGGAGCCCGGCCGCCGTCGCCGCGCTCAAGGCGCACCTGCGGAAGCGGCTGCGCGAGGTCTGGACCGGGGCGCTGCGCCGGACGGAGCAGCCCGAGCAAGAAGGCAAGTCGGGGGACAAGACAGACGACCCATCCAGCGACCATGACGACGGCGGCGGCGCGGAAAAGCCCGACGGCGTCGAGGAAAAGGCCAGCAGTGGCGAGGAGGAAAAGCCCGACGGCGGAGACGCGCAAGCCGAGGACGCGCCTGCTACGGAACAGGACGACGCCGGTCGGGAGGCTCCCATGTCGCTCGAGTCGCGGCGCGACCTGCTCGTGCAATGGACCTTTGACATAGCGCTCCTACGATGCAGCATGGGGGCCCCGCCCGACCCGTCGTCGCAGGACGAGCTCGAGCAGCTCGAGGAGGATGTGTACCAGCGGTCCGGGCTGGAGAGCGGCGCGGCGCGCCAGCGGCTGGCGAGGTCGGCTCAAGAATACTGGAAGCGGACGAACCTGTTGTTTGGGCTGCTGGCATGACCGGGGAGATTATGATAGTATAGAGACTAGAAGAGGATGGGCTATGATGATATAGATGAGGACATGAAAATATTGAAATAAACATGTTAAAAAAAAACCAAATCATAATCCCAAAGCCCGCCGCCGTTCTGCGACATGGCCGTCTAGACACTCGCTGTCTACTGCCTGCTTCTGCGCGCATAATACACGGCTCTACCGCCCGCATTCTATCCTCTGGCCTATCTCATCAAAGCCCGTATTCATATGCCTTTGGCGGCCTCCGTCCTGGGCTACATTGTCCATGTATATGTATACTGTTTATATTTTCTCTTCTCTCGCCACCGATCCGCAACAAGAGCTCACAGCTTGTGCCGCTTCTGCCCCGACGCGATCTTCGCGAACTCCTTCTGCGGCACGCCGCTAACGAAGCGCTCGAGGCCGGCAAACACCTCTGCCGCGTTCTGGCGCTCGAGCACGTCCATGTGCGGACGGCGGATGAGGGCCTTGATGCCGACGAGGCTGTCGCCGACCAGGTGCTCGCCGAACGAGGAGTCGATCTCGGCGAGCACCTTTTCCCGAAACTTTGCGTCGCCGCCGTCGCCTTCGCAGCCCTCAAACACCTTGTTGACGAACCCGGACGCCAGCAGCTCCGCGGCCGGGATGCGGCGGCTCATGATGAGGGCCTCGTTGGCGCGCGACACGCCCAGGCGCTGCACGAGCGCGTGGGATGCGCCGCCCTCGGTCACGAGGCCCAGGGACGAGAAGGGGGTGAGCAGGAAGGCGGACGGCGTGCAGTAGATGAAGTCGGCAAAGGCGACGAGCGCGGCCGACAGGCCCACGACGGGGCCGTTGAGCCCGACCACGAGCACCTTGGGGTGCGTGAAGAAGGCCTGGGTGACGTTGAGGTTGAAGGCCACAAAGGTCGTGAGCCACTCCCGGCGCACCTCGTCGGCCTCATCGCGCGTCTGGCCCGGCTTGGGGGCGGCGGCGGCGGGGAAGAGAGAGACGTCGGCGCCGCTTTTTTTATTTTATTTTTAGTGTCAGCAAGGTTCGTTTACATGCAATAAAAAAAGATGCGAGATACTCTTACGCTGAAAAGTAGCGGCCCTTTGCCGTCAGCAGGGTAATGTAGACCTCATCGTGGGTGGCGACCTCGCGCAGCCGCTGCGACAGGTCGTAGTAGCCCTGCTGGTTCAGCGCGTTGAGCTTCTTCTCATTGTCGATCGTGATTATGGCCAGGCGGCCTCTGTACTCGAGGGATATGACTGAGCCAGACATGGCTGTTGCCGGGGCGCGGGTTTGTGATGAATACAACGAAAGAAAAGGGGGGGCTAGAAAAGAGGAGGCTTGTGAGCCCTGCGTATTTCAGGGGCAAAGGCTACTTGGATTTAAGGATACAATGACGGGTAAGAATAAAGATGAGATCTCTAGATGGGCTTGTGATCAGGTCGGTCCTGTCAGCAGGAGTAATAGCATAAACTGGGCGGCTGGCACTCCAAGGGATGAGGAGTGCGACGGCATTGCTGGAGAGGTTGTGCCTCGGCACGAGCGCGCCCACAAGACGCCCCATACATGCGGGGGCTCCACTCCTTGCCGAGCTTACCCCAGGCTGGGGTTGAGGGCAGTGTTTATACATAGTGTGACACTGTGGGCTCACCTCACATATTGCCGATAACAATCCAGAGTGAAGGGGAGCACCTAGGAGCGATATACCACCGCTTTCCAGGAGCTCAAGCTCCGTGGTAGGGTGAGGGGTAGGTTTTTTTATATACAACGCTAAATCGTTGTTTTTCAAAATATGTATATATCTTGCCAAGATTTTGGTTGAGTTTTAGCAATAATACTGCTTCAACATGACAGGAAGTTGAGCTAGCCCAGGAAATGGGATGTAGTGCAGGTGCAAGGGGTTATGAGACGTCCCAGGCTGGAACATGGAAGACGCCCTGGTTAAATAGAGAAGATGACTTCCAGGCTGGTCATACCTGTTTGCAAATTCCGGGCGTCTTGCTCAGTCTCGTCGAAGTGATTACTCCAAACAGAATATACGTTGCGGCTCAACTTCGACCAAGCTAAACTGAGCCCCCCAAAAACACGAGTGCGTTTGGCAATATGTAGTCACGCATTGCAGGCTATGAGCTGCAGGTTAGAGAATACGCCTCATAACACACCTGTCTTCCAATGATACCGGTGCGTGAGAAGTTGCTTTCCTCGATTTGTCGACACCAGAGCCAGGTAACTCGCAGACAAGGCTCAAAACTAGCTGGCATGGCTGATATCCGTTAGAAACACACAGAAAAACCAGCCCAGACAGCCGTCCAGCCTCAAGAGCTCGGCGCCAGAGCAAGCAAACTAAACGCCCCATCCTCACCCCCAGGCATCTTCAGGACAATGTCCCGGACGACAGCCAGAGCAGCCTCGCCCAGCAGGTCACCGCCGCCGTCGTCGTCGCCACCGTCGCCGCGGCAGGCGCCCAGGTCCACGGGGCCCACGAGGTCGCCGTCGAGCTCGTACAGGCGGCCGTCGCGGGGCGACCGCACAAAGCAGATGTAGTGGTGGTCGACCGTTGCGTCGGCCGCGGCGGGGGCCTCGGTGTCGCCCGCCACGGCGGCGGCGGCGTGCGCGGCCGCCACGTC